GCTTAAATGAGTGTTAGATGTGCAGGAAGGGGCGTCGGCTCTGCTCTGCTCTGCTCTGCAAATATGTCTGCTCTCCATCCTCTGAAAAACCCCTTGAGCGCCCTGAAGAAGTTTGGCACTTTAAATGCCAAATGCCAGCCGGGAAACCACTCTCCACTAATCCAGTCCCAGAGTCCATCACTCCCCAAACAGTTCGTTGCAATTATCCCCGCCTTGCGAACCCACCTGAGGCTATCGGCGAATCTCTTTTTCATTTCCTTTATGGCCAACCGCATATGGTACGGCCATAGCATATAGTTAGTGCCGCTCCCCGCCCTCCCTGGAAAATTTCCAACAATTGTCATATTATACTTTTAGGTTCTATTCACCTGGTTCGCTCCATTGTCCTCCTGCCTTCATGTGGCCACTCCCTGGTTTCCCTTTTGATAACCATGTCGGCGAAGGGCGCCACTTGCACCCTGTGTACCTGCAGCTGCAACCTGGATGGCCCGACGGCGAGGAGTGCTTGAAAGATATGGGAAATCAGTTTGAAAAGGAGGGGGAGATTCAAAGATAGACAGTCCCTTCAATATTGTGATTAATAAAATTCAATATTAAATGCAGACATATAAATATTTGTTTATTGATCTGAAATCTAAACTGCCTGCTCTAATTTAACAAATTTTAGAAGAGCAATATTTATGATTTCCAAAAAATATTCAGGCATTTATATACCTTATTTTCAGTTTAGAGTTTTGAGTAATTTGATCACTTTAAAACGTTATATTTTGAGAAGGATGGCCTTCGAATTGGGGACACCTTTTATGGAAAGTTCTTATTTGCCAAGATCAATTTTATAAGCAACTAATTAGGTCTTTCATTTTATTTTTGGAGGTCAGGTAAGATCAATTTTTTAATGGTCTCTCCTTCTGCTTTGTTCCCCCGCATATGAGAGCATTTGAGTTAGTTGACAGGCAAGTGTGAGAACTTTTTATGGCCTCTGCGGGGGGTCACCACAGAGAATAGAATATTTTACCACTTAGGATGGGGTCATCTCGAGGAGAGAAAGTTGAGCCATTTGGCTAACTGTAAGAAGCGTATTTGGGAGAGGTGTCACCACTTGACGAGGTCACCCCACAAATGGGGTCACCCAACAGGCATTTTTCAGACATTTAAAGGCACTTGCAAGATGTCAATGTCAGTTGGCTTGCCAAAAAAAAGAACATTCCAATCCATGCCGCAATAAGAAATCATCCCTGACTCTCGAGCAACCCTCGTGGGGACTAGGATCAAAAACTCCGTGGTTTTCCCTTCCAAGCAGGGCGGTTAATGACCATTCATTGTCTTACCTGACCCACTTGTTCCACTGCCTCCCGAGTTACGAGTTGCTTCGAGTTCGGTGAGTCAGAGCCTTGATGTATAATTTGTATTTAAAATGCAACAAACCATAATTTTAAAGTCGCCGCTGTGCGTGCAGTTTGTCAAAAAGAAGGTGGGCAGGATGATGGAGAGGAGGTAACCTGCGGTGCGACTGAAGGAACGGAATGAAATTATTAAGTATTTGCTTGGGCCGGCAGTTGGTGGAACAAAGGCCAAAGCTTTTAAATATTTAATAAGTATACAAAAACGGAGGAATCGAGAGGGAAACACAGGGACATTCGCCTGTTGTTGAGTCATGTCAATTGACTGACTGAGTGCCCCGCTGTGGCGAGGGAAATGGAAGTGGGAATGAAAGTGGGAATGGAAGTGGAAGTGGAATCAATACCATGGATGGCCGCCCGCAGGGTTCCCGAGTACTTGTAAGGATATACACACACTCTCTGACGCACTAACGGTGACAATAAATGAGTAAAAATGACTTCAACGAAACGAAAATGAAACGACAAGCCGACGGACAGACGGTCGAAATCTGTCATCAACACGCTGCCAGTGAAGAGCAAAAGATACGAAGCGAACCTGGATACGACGCACTAACAGATACCCACGCACACCCATGCGAGAGCCATGAAATTTGATACGATGCGTGTGCGTCAGTTGGAGTGAAAAGGGAGGGGGTGTGCGGTGGGGGCAGAAGGACACAGGACACAGGATAGACCAAAGAAATTTCCATTTAATAATTTTAGCCGTCTTGGGTATATTCCAAAAATCTTATTTAAACTAGCTTAACAAGATTTTCCTACTAATCTTGACAATTAAGGACGAAGTGATATTCAGTTTAACAACCGTTTAAAATTAAAGTTTATTGTTATATGCTGAATCCATTTAGATTCATAATTTATTTTTAGCACCATATTGTGATGGATTAGCTGTCGACCGAATCTGCAAATCACCGCTTGACTAAAAGACTACATTTTGCGTTGGGAGGGTATACCTATGTTTTGCATACGCCATTAAGCGAGCTGTATTTCAAATAAATTGTTTACTATCATGATCTCTAGTACCCAGAAGATATGCGGTGATATATGTAAATGGATAGTTTATATTTAACAATAATTAAAATATAATTATTACCCTTTCCAAAGAGTAGTCTGTCCGGCCGGTGCGATAGGCCCTATCATTAAAACAAAACCATAACCTTTTAAATATATCACACTCCACCAGGCATCGATCCAAAGTTCAAAATGGGGTGGTTCCGGTCAAATTGATGAAGCGCTAAATTTTATATTTGTTTTGCTTTGTTTGCCCAGTCATTAAAGACATTTTCCTTATACTTCGTCTAAGAATTAATAAAGAATAACGTGATTTATGTTCTGTTATGGGCTAAACTTCCGCTTTATTGGCCAGACATATGACGGAATGACAGTACTTTGTGGTTATGTTTCATTTATGCTGTTGTTTTTATTGAGCCTGGCAAAATATGAACCATTGATGGCATTTTATTGTTATTACGAGATAAACTGCGGGGTTCCCTTGCTTTTGCGGGATTTAACCATAATTTAAGTATGTTGTTTTGCCACAAGGAAGGGGAATTATGATGGTTTTCGGTGTAATTGGAATTTTCATTAGGATATTTCTTGGGTTATGTTATTATGTCGTGCTGTCAGAAGATTAATTTGGGAATTTATGAATTTTCTTGATGATTTGTTTACCTTCCTTGGGAGATTGCGTATACTTGTGGTCCATAATGGAACATCCCGGCTTGGTGTGCATTTCGTCGTCCACATTTACTCGTCAACCTTTTGACTCCAGGGGCGACTCTCGTGGCTGGTGAAATTTACAACCTTACCTGTCCTAATCCCGGTGATGCAGCATGCTCGCAGCAACATAATTCACTTCTCTTGGCTAGAACAATGCGAAGGCTTTTAGGGGCGGCGAAGAAGACGCTCGCTCTACCTGACCCGAAATGCGGAAAACAAAAGCCGAGACGAAAACAATAACAAAACTACGTCGCAGAGAGCTCAACTGCAACACGCATTGCACCTGGGATTCCGGCGGGATGCAATGGAATGGGATTGGGCAGGGGATTTTGGGTGGACCTGGCGCACGCCTCAGATTCTCCCTTTCGGTTTTTATGGATTTGTGAAACATTTTATAAATTTACATGGAAATGATGTGTGTATGCGAGTGCCGCAGGTGGGGCTGTTTATTATGGTAACCTCGAAAACAAGTTGAAACCCGAGACATGGCGACAAACTAAATAATGCCCAGCTTTGTGTTTGTCCATTTCGATGATGAGCCCACACAGTCGAGATAAAGATAAATACGAGATAAATGAAGATTGCGTTTCGGCACTCGAGGCGCCATTGTAATAATAAAGCCACCAAAAAATAATAATAAAATTCAAGCCCAAATCAAATAGAGCATAATCTGCTGAGGGGGCAGGCCCCGTACACTTGATCGTCATCATCACTTGTTGTTGGGGGCAGATCAAGAAAACGAAAACGAAATGAAAACGAATGCGTGGCACAAATTGAATCTGATTGTTCAAGTAGTCGGGTCTCGGTCGCTGTATCAAATGTAAATCAGAGGCGGACATCCATCCCCCTGCATTCGCTTTATTCAAATTCAACTCAAAAACAGCTGCTACACTTCATTACCATAAGGTTCGCCTTGGATAGCACTCCCAATTCCCCGGCAGTCCCACTTTTCCGAGTCCCCTCTCGCCGGGGCATGCAATTTGAAGTGTGATTATGCCTTTTTGTTGCTTATCAAAATGAAAATTCAAATTCAACTATAACAGCACATTGTTTACAACGCCCCCGAACCCCTTCGTGGACCCTAAAAACATCCAAACAAAACCCAAACAGCAACATCAACGGCAGCAGCACTTGGAGAGCTGCAAAAGTGACACTTCTAAGAGATTAAAGTGACATGTAGTGGTCCGTATATTCAGGCTATATGGCGACGGATAGCGACGGACTGTCTGACGATGAGGCGGACCCACTGCCGACACCTTCCTCCACTCGAAAGTGGGGAAAGTCGAGGGGCAGGGGCAGTGGCAGCGGCATTACGAGTCGAGTGCGAGTATTTGTTGGGCTCTATGCATAGATTAATAAATTATAAGCCGCTTCTCTGAATGGAGTCGCTCTGATTACACTCACAGAAAATAGGTGAAAAGCGAGCTTACGCTCTCTTGAACAAATTAAAGTACGAGGGGGAGTCTTTGTATTCCCAGAAGCAGGAATTATTCTAATTCAGATTAATCAAAGGGTGATTGCGCATTTTGTAGGCAAATTTTCTAAAAAAAATCATGCTTACAGTTCTTAATTGGGACAAATAAAACAAGGTCAAAAACTAAAGCATTTCTGGGAAATTTTAGCTTGGCGCATTCTCTTTGATCAATCAGCTATCAAGCTGAAAGTTAATTTGATTGGTTCAATTGAATTCGAAACAAGAATAAAAGGTTATTGATCAAAATTAAATATATATTTAAAATAAATAATAAATATATACAAATACAAAAATAAATATATGTATGTTGCTTCTAATTACATTTTAAGTGAATTCGTAATCATCGGCCTTATTCTGGTTGGAAAATCATTAAGCACATTAAACATTAGCTAGTCTTCGTAACTCTGAATTTAAAATTAGTTGTTGTGTGATCTTCGAGCTTTTATGATGTGTCTAAAGCTAAAGCTTGTGATCCATTGCTGGCTGACCATGTACTTAATCAGGGAAGTAAGTAGATCTACAGTTAAATGAGCTGCAAATTTTATTGGATTGCATTGAATTTTAGGCATTTTCTTTGGTTGAGTTTAAGAACATAAAGTGTGAATCGACAGATAAGGAATTTTGCACTTTCGACTATTGTCACCTGAAATCTGTGAACCGGACATATAAGTATTTTTCGCTTAGAGTCAAGTTATTAAAAGTTCCAATAACGAAAGCAAAGGTATGTGCAAAAATACATATATTGGAGTTTGCGAAACTTAAATATTGGGAATTAGGTGAATGGGGCACTCTACCAACGACTTAATGGATACAAACCCTTCATGTACAATGTAACTGTAGACGCCTGTAAATTCTTTAAAAATCAGAAGTCTAATCCCGTTGCCAGTTACTTTTACGATTTTTTTAAAGGATTTTCCAACATAAATCATTCCTGTCCCTTCAACGTAAGTAGTGACTAAAAATCTTTTATTCGTACAAGATATAAATTTGGTTAAATTATTTTTTTTAGCATGATCTTGTGCTGGATAAACTAACAGCTGAATCTGTAAATCACCGTTTGACTAATATTTTACCCTTTCCAAAGGGAGAGTATATGGTGAATATGAACTGGATTGCCTATGACATCATCCGCGCTGTCTTTAAAATATATTTTATATTATCGTAATCAAACTCAGTTATTTTAAAGAATTTAAACGCATCATTTAAATTTGACAAAGAACAATGTTCATGGCTAGTAAAAATTTGTTCAAACATCAATATATGTATTTAAATGAGTCAGAAATATAGAAAGATACCACCAAATTATCAGAAGGCTATATCGTTTCATGCATTTGGCTTCGAAAGCATTGCCAATATAAAATTATGTTAACAAGCTTCATAATTTCCTTGAAGAAATCAGAATTTTCTTCAGTTTCTTGCAGTGCACCTTTCGCTACCCTGTTCGCTTTCTTTTCCACTCAACTCCTGGGGGAAAACGGCAGTCAGTCCCCTGAGCATATGTACGCCCCCTACCCTTGGAGTCCCCCCCTCCATCGGATTTTCCTCCGCCGCCCCCGCATCTGAATGTGAACGTGGATGTGGATGTGAATGTGGAGCAATTAATGTTTGTGTTTTGTCATTTCAAGCCCGACATTGCCCGCTGCTCCTTCTTCTTGATGTGGATGCTGTTTTTGTTGTTCTTACATTTTATGCGCATAATTAAGTCGGTGTATCCGTAAAAGTATGCGACACTTCCGGCTTGGACAACTGTCGACGAGAGTCCCTATTGGAACCGTGCTTTGTGCTGCCTGCCTTTGCCTCTGATTTTATTATGTTTTTTCCCCGGCTTTTTCATTGTAATACAATTCATTGAGCATTGGACCTCGGAACTCTTTCTTTCCGAGATGTTCTTTGGCATGACATTCTTGGGAGAGGGGGTGGGAAATCACAAAGAAAGAAAGTAGCTGCGGAAATGCCAAAGCACGAAAGCAGAAAGATGATGATCAGCGTGGAGGATCGCTGAGAAGGAAATTGGGAAAATATTTTGATGTGCTGTAAATTGTCGATTATATCGCCAGTCCCACATCAAGAGATACAATCTCGATTATCCACGCTTGAAATTAACATTTACATTTGACAGATCTTTCCTGTTCTCAGCCCGTAATTGATATCTGTTGTTGTTTCTTCTTTTTACTGATAATTATCATTTAGAATCTCTGTGTAATATAATTATGGGTCTCTCTAGTTTGACATTCCGTCTCTGTTTTATTTCATTTTTTAACATTTTATAGATCCATAATCGTTGGATACTTGAGCACTAATTGAGGGTCTCATGTCTGGCCATTCGAATTGGCCTGCCCCACAAAGCTGCTCATCTAAAAATACATATATGTTTTGGGTGAACCTGTTTTAGGGAGTGGGCACAAATTCCGAATAGTTGTCTGGTCTTCATCTCCATCTCCATCTCCAGCTCCATCTGATATATTGATTGTTTGCACTTTGTTTTTCCGTTTCTGCTTTGTCAACAATTTTCCCCGTATTTATTGTGATTTTTTTCTGTTCCCATTGATTAAGACCCCCGACATTTACTCCATCTGCAGCTCGACATGTTTGACTTTGGGCACGCTGACTTCAGCCTAATCCCTCGGTGGGCGGAGCGGGATGAGAACTTTGATATGGCTTATCTCTGTCTCGGGATTATGGGGAGGGGGGAGTACCAGGGCAGAGCGATTTTGACACATGTCATAGGCAATGGACAAACAGAGTCCACCTCCCCAAGAGGGATTCGCCCGCTCCACTAACCACTCCTCGTGTAAGCCACAAAAAAACAAATCACTTGGGGGCAACCCCTCCATCTGGTCGCTGGCCCCACATCCCAGTGGCATTATTTGAATTAAGTGCATACTTAAGCGTAATTTATTGGAAAATCCACAAGAGCCTCCAGGCGACTCTCGGCGGATTGAGCTGGGCGCCTCCTCCATCTACCATAAATCTATTGTTTCAGTTGGTGCGAGGTCGCGTCATTAATCTGCAGACGACTCTCTTAGTCCAGTCTGAGATTTCTGAGCACCAGATGACATTCTATCTATGTGTCTCGGGTTTATTTGTGCCCGGCTCTATTTGAATAGTGCTCCGGCCAATGTCTCACTCTTCCGCGCACTTCTTATCTCTTGGTGTCAGACCAAATGGCAGTAAAAAGAGTCCAGATGGGGAGGAAAACTCGTTAGAGTTAGTACAATGTGCGGGTGGGTTGTTTATTGGGCCGAGGATTTCTGCAAACGACATCGATTCCATTTAATATGCCAAGTGCCCATTTTAAAACCATGTTAACGGCCATTGTTTATGCATTAAAACAACCATTTCTGCTCATAATAATAAATGGAATAATCATCAAATCACAATATTTGGGCCAACATTTATGTGTTCAATGGGAATTTAAATTAAATTCAACACACATTTTAATTACTTCTAAATAAATATTTATGCCAAAATTGACACAAATATGCATGGATTTTAATTTATTCATTTAACTGGAAATGTTGGTGAAATTATAATCTTTTGTTGACCGAAGCCGAAGCATAATTCAATACATTTCGGTACTATTTCTAGATAAATATTAGTTTGTGATTTCGGTTAATTTGGAATATGTGTGAATTATACTCTTACCTCACTGGTTTATTTAACTAGAATTCTAATTGAAAATTTTCCTATTTCCCTGTTGCCCATTTAATTTGCAAACACAAATCACTTTCTGGTTATAACTCTCTACTAAATTGATATTGAGTGCCTTGGATTCTTCTTGGTATCAAATTATTGTTGTTTTCCTGGCTTAGCTTAATTCGTTGCCACTCTAGACCGTCGTCCACTGGCAATTTCCAGTTTTAGTTCGACTTCAAACCGGGCTTCATGCTGCGTCTACTCCCCGGATTCTTGGGCTTTTACTTCTTGGGCACAAGAAGAACGAGTTATTGGCATGCATTGAATTTGCTTCGGAATTTGTTGGGTTCCAAGGGGCGAAGGGCTTTGGATTGGGGGTGAGGATGAGGATGAGGGGGGCCTGTGGGCCATGAGGAGGAGTAGTAGAGCAAAAGAGTAGACAATCAGTGGCATGTATAGAATTTCACTGATTTATGTTTCATATAAGCGGACTACGAGGCAGAGATTCCCTCAAGGCAGGAACGTGGCATAACCGAAGGATGAGCAGGATGAGCTGCTGGATGGAGGAGCAATCCTCCGGTCGGGTGACAATGCAGTGATTACATCTTTGAGCATACATATACGTATACACACCCCCACAATTTCCGTGATGTGAAAGGCATGCCTTTGCTGCCGTTCAAAAAATATTTTCTCTCAAGCCTCGTCAGAGCTTCGGCTTCGTAAGGAAAGAGGGGCTATATGATAAATTTTTGATTAAAGGCCCCCATGCCTGGTCTTGATAGGTTCCACCCCCCTCCACCCAGTAGTACATCTTCATGTGTGTATAATATGCATTCCGTTTGTGTGGAAAGCTTTCTCAAATTACGTTTGACATTCAATTGAGTTTAAGTTGATTGCCAGTTAAGTGAAACAGAGAAAGATATACTAGGGGAAAGCGATTTTTGACAGCTCAACGCTGATTACTCCAGTTATCCAATAACCGAAGATTCCACTTGGCAGTCAGAATCAATCGCGGCCGTCATTTATCCAAATGTTAATTTAAACAATTAATATCCGTAGCTGCGAGCGAGCGGGCCGGAGTTCCTTAAACATGTCAATTTGCAAATTAAGTACACAACATGACAGACCAGCAGCGAAAGAGATGGCAAGACTGCGCGCGAACGAGAGGGCAGACCACACAGAGCCAAATATAGATCGAATCTGAATAGTTAGCCTCGGGAATGTAAATGAAGACTGGCACTTGAGAGGGCAGAAGAAACGAAGGGAGACGGCAGCAGAGGGTCATTAGAAACCAGAGATTTAATTGGGCCAGAGTACTCTTAAATATGATTTGTGAGTTCCCCAGAGGAATCGAAAAGCGGAAGCCCAGAGATTACGTATGCGAGTAATTACTAGATGAGCTTCCAGATACCATAGTTCCTCGGTTCTGGTAGGTTAGGGCAATATGATCATTTCAAATGGAATATTTAGGCCGAAGAAAACTCTTTTATTAAGTCAACTTGCCCCGAGGAATGTTTATGATACCATATAATGATAATATTAGACCAGAGTGCTCTTAAATATGATTTATAAGTTCCCTAGATGAATTAGAAAGCGGAAGCTTGGGTTTTACATTACTAATTTGGTAGGTTAAATTAATTTAAAGAACATAATTCGCTAATATTAAAGTTATTGTTTCATACCAAAATTCCTTAGTTCTGACAAGCTAAACCAATATAATCATTCAGAATGGAATGCTTATCCAAAAGAAAACTCTTTTTTACTTATACTTCTTATGTTTACTTGTTGATAGGGGATTTTTTCCTGAGAAAACATACCATATGCTATCCAAACAACTGATAATTGTAGTATTCTGGAGGTGATTAGTGGTCGTTGCTACTGCTCATTCCGACAGGTGTTTAAGGGGATGTTTTTTTTTTTCTAAAAAAAAGAGGAGCTAATTTGTGGCCAAGTCATATATCATGGCATTATAGACGACAGTTGAGTTTCCGTACCTCCAACTTCTTCCACTTCTTCAAGTATATATATGTAATTTTAAGTGAAATAAATATACAGCGCAAAGCGCATAGGTTTATATTTAAACGCTCAGTCAACGGCAATTTCCTGCTGTTGCCGGCGATGCCTTGCCGAATTTATAGATAATTTTTCATGATTTTCCCGACACATTCTTTCCCAATCTCGTTGCAGATGCGCTCAGCAGGTCGCTGCGACGATGCCTTCGAGCTGGTGCTGCCGGCGATGCTGATGATGATGAAGTTGCTGCCGCTCTCGGTCCGCTTTAGCTGCTGACAGCCAAGTGCAGTATCCGAAAGATACCAGATACCCGAAACAAAGGAAAGGAAAAGTGCATTTCCTGCTACCTAACTTGTGCGGGGAGTTCTGTTCTACCTACGTGCCGGATTCTACCTACGATTTCGTAGATAGTTGAAAAAGAGAGTAGCTCGCCGAAGATACTCGCTACTAGATACTCCATACTCCATACTCGATACTTTTCGAGCGCTCAACTACAAGACAGCTGCCAGCCGCTCAGTTTGGTCAAGAAGCGCGTTCGCGACGGCTGGAAAAGAGCGTACCGCCGCAGGAAAAACCAAGAAAAGAGCGGACATTCCACCTCCCTCTCCACCTCTTCGAACCAAAGGATTTACAGTGAAAAAACCAGTGAAGTGAAAGTGCCGGCGAACGCATCATCAATCCTTTTTCCCCGCCAAATATTTACGCAGTGGTGATTGCTGTTGACAAAGTGGATTGGCATTCGGGGGACACTTTCAATTAGGCACGTTGCCGCTGCTTCATAAATGTGCCACAATGGCCGCGCCGTCCAGGACGACGTCGATGCCACCACCCTTCCGGCTCCAGCTCCGGCTACTGATACCCCTACTCCTGCTACAGCTGCTCCTGCGCCATGATGCGGTCCACGCGGAGCCGTATTCCGGCGGATTCGGCAGCTCAGCGGTGTCCAGCGGAGGCCTCGGCTCAGTGGGCATCCACATACCCGGCGGCGGAGTGGGCGTCATCACGGAGGCCCGTTGCCCCAGAGTCTGCTCCTGCTCAGGATTAAATGTGGACTGCTCGCACCGAGGACTCACCTCTGTTCCCAGGAAAATCTCAGCGGACGTGGAGCGACTGTAAGTATTGGGGAAATAAATATAACCAAATGTGGATTACCCTAAAGTGACCCTTGACTTGTTTTAAGAAGGCTACAGTGACCATTTTTTTCTTATTCCTGGATTAAGTGTCAAATATATCCTAGAGATTAACACCACATCTTAACAGTTTTCTAGTCTTTTCTCAGTTTTGACCATTGAAAATTCCCATAATTTTGTATTCTGCACCCATAAAATTCCTGCCTTGAATACGACTTAAAAATCAATTTGATATGTGAATACTGCTTTCAGCATTCAATTACCACTCCCCTTCAAATGCAGCCATAAATCAATATTAAATTCACAATTATATTGAAATTCCGTTATGCAAACAATCTGAGCAGACGTAAAACCAACAGAAAGACACTTCCCCCATGGGACAACAAAGACTTCCGTTAAGTCCCGCACCAATGCCATATCGAAACCTTGCCATTTCGCTTCGTTTAGTTAGGATCTCCATTCAGATACTTCCTCTTGGGCAGACGGGCAACTGCATGACAAATTCCAATTATGGAAGGCCCCTTCCTTCTTCCTTGGCCGGCCAATTGTTCAAACATCGAGCACACTCTATTAAAATAATAAAGCCGGACCCGGACCCGCTCGCACACGCCTGCTGCTGGCCGGGATTGTTCCGATTTGTATTTATTTAAAAATCAGCATAGGCAAACAACAGCAGCGGGTTCAGGGCAGTAGGATTGGTGTGGGGAAATAAATAAATCCGTGACCATGTCGTCGTGTCGATAGCGATAAAGGAGGAGGAAAAGAAAAGGAAAGGAAAGGGTCCCGAGGGTCCGGCCAACCATCCAGCCAGCCCCAAGAGTTGCACAAAAAGAGAGCTGTTCCTTTGGCGAGCTGCTTACATTAAATCGCCATTAAGTTTATTAATTGTCGCCGAAGGAGCCGCATAAGCGCATCAGTGGCCAGGCGGCAATAATTGTTGCATGTTGCCGAGTTGAATGCATTAAGCCAATGTGGCTGTGACTGCGATTCTGCCAACCATTCCGACTGCATTTCCATCTCCATCTCCGCCTCTGTCCATCGCTCACAGTCGCCACATAAATTAACGCGCCGGCAATTAGCAAGTGTATGCAAAATACCACCTCCCAACGCCCCATCCCGACCACCTCTCAACTCCAACCTCAGCGGCCTCAAAAGCCTGCTGTCGTGGCTGCAGTTTTTCTACATAAATTAATAACAGATATCAGCACCGGCACCAGCACACCAGCAGCAGCAGCATTAACGTTATAGCATTATAGCCCAGTTATAAGCAGTCAGGCAGGCCAACTCGGTTGCAAGTTGGCTGGCAACGTCGCTCAGGGACACATTTGGCTGCTGTTGTTTGCGCTCTTTTATTTTATTTTTTTCTTTTTGTATTTATTCGCTTTTAATGTTGAAAACAGAGAGTAATATAAAACACAGAAACACAGAGCAGTGAGCCAACAGAAACAGAAAACATATCAACATGCACGACATATTTGCATTTTAAAATAGAGAACCGAACCCAACTGAACCGGGCACACGATATATACAATACACAGGGTGCCTCAGGGCCCCCGGAAAATATATATTTTTGCCATTTTGAATGACATTCCATTGGGAGAGATGAGCAGCCGAGTCCGAGTGTCAAAGTGCGCAGGAGAATGTGTCAAGAGTCTTAAGTAGAGCTTAGGAGGGGCTGGAAAAGAATCAAAATAAGCGGCTGCCAGGTGAGGATGTGATGGAAAGACTCTTGGGGGAATTATGATTTCAACAGATTAGGTAGAAGCGGGGGAATTAATTCCCCAAGCCATCAAAGGGAGGCTCTAAAGGTGGAAAATACTTTTGTTTCAACGAAATTGAATACAGTCTACCCGCCGCTCTAAGTCACATTGTCTGTGGCACGTATAAATTTGAGGAAGTTTCATGGCTCAAATTTCTTTATAATAGAAATCACTTCTATTTTAAACATAATAGTCGGAACATTTGACATCGCCTTCATAAATCTTTCCTATCCTTTATTATACCCGTTACTCGTAGAGTAAAAGGGTATATTGTATTCGTGCAAAAGTATGTAACAGCTAGAAGGAAGCGTTTCCGACCCTATAAAGTATATATATTCTTGATCAGGGTCACTAGCCGAGTCGATATAGCCATGTCCGTCTGTCCGTCTGTCCGTCTGTCTGTCCGTCTCTCTGTCTGTCTGTCCGTATGAACGCTGAGATCTCGGAAACTATAAAAGCTAGAAGATTGGCATTTTGCATGCAGATTCTAGGAGTTCCTACGCAGCGCAAGTTTGTTTCAAAAAGGTGCCACGCCCCCTTTAACGTCCACAATCGCTTATATACGATTTTAAAAATTTAAATATTTCGGAAAAGTAAAAATGCAGTTTTATTGTGTTTATCAATACCTATCGAAATGTAGAAGAAATTTTTCAAATCGGACCATTCGTTAAAAAGTTATGCGTGATCAAAGTTTCTATCTCCATCTTCCTCGCACTCCCTTTACCTGAGTAACGGGTATCTGATAGTCAGGGCACCCGACTATAGCGTTCTCTCTTGTTTGCATTAAAATGGTTTGAAAAAAGTTTGAGTTGAACTTTATTATATTGAATTTCCCTGATTGATGTTATGAAAATACGACTGTAGTACTTACTATATAGTTACTTCAAAATCTTCTTGAATCGCATTTTAAATTCGATTTTAATAAAAAAGTTTCGCGGATTAAGTCCAGCCTTGAGGCACCCTAGTGCTGGCTTGAGCAGAACAGAACCTTCTAACCCGGCACACGAGCATACATCAAATATTGAACATGCCCACAACTATTGGGCCTGTCGATGTGCACCGAACGTTCGAATATTGAGGCGCCCAGAACAAAAAAACAATGGCAAAAGCAAACTAGGGCTCTGCTCTGGCAAATTGTGTTCCTCAGCCCCCTTTTGACGCCCCCGCTCATGTCATTGCCATTTAATTACAAAGCCCCCGAGCGGAGAAAGACCCGAAGAGAAGTGCCGGAATAGAAGAGTTCTAAGCTGACAGGCTGCCAGTCACCCACACAGTTGATTCAATTGACACGACAGCATTTTTGCATATCTAATTTGCGGAAAGGGGGAGGGCGGGGCTTGGTCGGCAAGCGGTGGCCCTTAACACCTGAGGACGACTAATTTATAGCTGAGGTAGCTGTGGCAGCTGCTTTTGATGTTGTTCCCCTGTTCTTCGGCTCGGAATACGGAATACTGCAAAAGGGAAAAGGGAACCTGGCCACAGAAGAGCAAACCCCAAGATGGCACCTAATTGGCAGCGGAGGGCGAAAACCAACAAAAGGCTTTTATATCGGGCCCCACACGCATCTAATGAAGTTAAATGTTTAATTATAAGCCAGGGAAAATGGCAAAAATTATGCATACGACCGACCATTCCAACCAAAAGTGATTTAAACAAATTACATAAAAACCAGCGCCAGAAGCGTTTGAAAAATGTTTGGCAATTAGGCGGCGACGAGCAAGACTTTTGTTTTTATTTTTACACCAACAAAAGCAAAACAAAGCATATTGAAAGTATGCTCGACTATCTGATGTTGTTTGTTCTACACATAAAAAAATTATGATATCTTATACTTTAAAAATCGATATGCATCTCGACAATGTTTCAAAAAATACATTGAAACATATTTTCAAGAAAACCCCAATACTGTGTACATATATGTAAGGTATACAAATTCGGAGCTTAGAAAAGAAACTTTTGAAACTGATAAGCGATAGGCCATCAGAAAAATGGGATTTTGATCAGGATTTTTCATCGTGTAGTTACTATGGTTGGTCGTCTGTAATCAGTGGGATCCGCGCCTGAGATGCCCACATCTCAAAGAGATATTAAGCTCATTAAAAAGACGTGTATGTGTGGAGAGCATGGGTGAACTGAGGAGCAGGCTACAGCCAGCCGCTTCTTCTTCGTCGGCAACTTGATGCGAGATTCATTAAGGCTTAAGCCGCACAGAAAATATTTTACGTTTGGGTCGCCGAAGGTCTTCCTACCTGTTGTTCGGGCCTCGATACCCAGACTCGAACCTTACTCAAAAAGTGAGCAGCTGGGACCGACTTGTTGTTGGATGTGTGGTTGCTTGTATGTAGATGTGATGGTTGCGCATGCGCACACGGTTAAGTTAAGTCTTTTGTATCTGCTTCTCGGTTGCATTTCATTGTTATGACATCTACAGGTAAGAAATTGTTTGTTTCTGTCCGAGAAACGAGTTCTGGCTTCGTTGGAGGGTTGGAGGCTGGGGAGTATCGTCCCGTGTTCAATGATTAAATATCATATTTTCGTTATCAGCAACAAGCAGCAGAAATCTCTTACTCTTTCTCGCTGCATCCCCCCCTCTCTGGTTTCCCCTTGGCAGCGGCAGCCAGCTGCATTCATATCTCAGATTGCTGTTGTCTTCTTGTCTTACAAGCAATTAAAAAAAATTATCGCCCTGCCTGCCTGTTCGAGTGAGTCTTGGGTTGCATCCTTCCTGCTCCAACTTGCAACATAATTAATGCAATTTCTGTAATCGTAATTTCTTTATCTATATTTGCAGCGAGTTGCAGGGCAATAATTTGACCGTGATATACGAGACGGATTTCCAGCGGCTGACCAAGCTGCGAATGCTGTAAGTTAAATTATAGTACATTAAATCGAAATTGGCCGATTAACTTTTCGTATTTCCACAGCCAACTAACGGACAACCAAATCCACACGATCGAGAGGAATTCCTTCCAAGATTTGGTCTCACTAGAGCGACTGTGAGTAGCCCCCAGTTATATACCCATAACTCGTTTATTACCAATGCTAGTTGCATGACATATATTTTTGAATATTGAACTCACTACTAACCAATTTTTGACGATCTCCACCACGGATCTTAATCAATTCATATTTTCTTAGACCTAGAATATAGCTAGCGTGCAAATTGAATTTAGCTTGATGCCAGATTTAGTTTCGATTGTTAACATTTTGTATCTTATTCCCGTTTTCGTTCTTGTTTATTTTTATTGCATATCTCTACCGTTCTTTGTCTCTCTCTGCTTTCGTTACGTTTCGTTTTGCGTACCTAATATGCTCGTCTCTACACCAAAAACCATACCAAAATCAAAACCAAAATCGAAATCGAAATCAAAACACCAAAAACCAAATCCAACATTGTAACCAATCAGACGCCTAAACAACAATCGATTAAAGGCAATTCCTGAAAACTTAGTGACAAGTTCAGCGAGTCTTTTGCGATTGTAAGTAAACTCCAAAGTAGCCGATAGTAGTCGACACTTGTAGTCAAGTCTGTTTCCTTATCGGATCACATACTTATGGTTCTCTCGATCCCTAGGGACATCTCCAACAATGTCATCGTCACGGTGGGAAGACGCGTCTTCAAGGGCGCCCAATCGCTGCGGAGTCTTCAGCTGGACAATAACCAGATCACCTGTCTGGATGAACACGCCTTCAAGGGTTTGGTGGAGCTGGAGATACTGTGAGTACTTTTTGACTTCAAGAAACCAAAGTGAAGGGGCAGAATAACCAAATTAGCGAGTCAATCAATGGAACTGCGCACCAGTCAAGCCGAGTAATTAATCAATGATTTTAGTGCCTTTTTTTAATCAATCAAACGGGAATTAATCAATGAATTAAAAATCAATCAGTTAATGCTCTGACTAAATTACATAATAAATGGCTAAGCTTAGTGGCCAGATAAACCAATCGCAGCCGAAATGGAGCTCATATATCAACTGATTAGAAGGGAGTAGGCACGACCAAATTAATGTATGGCAAGTGGTGGTGTAAGCGTTTAACAGTTTGGCAAGAGAGTGTAAATCGAGGTTAAACTTGCACTATCTAGTAAGAAAAAAGATTATATGGAAAATAAAAACAAATCGATTTGTATGAATTAATAAAAAGAAACTAATCACAAAAAAGTTTGCAACAAACTAGGTCACATTGATGCTAAAACAAAGCCGACTAAATTCCTAGTTTTCCAATTATAAATTCTCAGTAAAATGGAAGCATTTTAAATTGGGATGTTGCATATTATTTGGCAGTTGGCCAAGCAAACAGCACTTTAAACTGAGTATCTATCAACCAACTATATCTATTATCACTTTAATGATTATCTAGTACTACAAGATGTGTAAGATAACATTTGTAAATTTATTTAAAAGCTAGTAAATATAAAAAAGTAATTAAAATTCACTGCTAAACAAGAATAAGCTGTATGAAAAATGGAAAAGTAAAGTCAATTCCATATATGAACCAGGAAACGCGATGTACGCTGAAAAATTTAATTAAAATTTGATCGGCACTCGATTTGTGCTGTTTTGGCCATGCCCAGCCCTTAGAGCCATAACCATAACCAGCCCATAGATATAGTTGGTTGATAAGGCCGGATCATCTGCGCTGTACTGACCATCTCCCCTCCTCTCCTTCCGTATTTTGCAGCACACTGAACAACAACAACCTGACGTCGCTGCCGCACAACATCTTCGGCGGACTAGGGCGTCTGCGGGCGCTCCGACTGTCCGACAATCCGTTCGCCTGCGACTGCCATCTGTCCTGGTTGTCGCGGTTCCTCCGCAGCGCCACCCGCCTGGCGCCCTACACCCGCTGCCAGTCGCCATCGCAGCTGAAGGGCCAAAACGTGGCGGACCTGCACGACCAGGAGTTCAAATGCTCGGGTATGTAATGGCCGATGGCCCGGTGTTTTGTGCAACATGTTGTGGCAGCTTCCACTCCCTGAAATGCTACCAAAAATGGGCAACATTTGGCTGCTCCTCCCCTTTTACCCTCCTCCACCCGTTCCATAGAAGAAATTAATTAGTTTTTTATGCCAAAGCGAGGAAAACAAAGCATTGCGGTTATAAATCATAAGCAGTCATATGGGCACGCCCCGCTGCCTCGTACGCCCACGAACCAACCACCATCAGCACCACAATATCTGGCGAGAAACCACTTGGTGCTTTGGTGGCTTCATCCATTGGATGCGATTGCCATCCCCCTCTTTTCCATCAGCCAGGTCGTGTGTTTGCCAAAACGTTTAACGCCGTCGAAATCATTGCCTGGTGTTTGTACTTTTTGGCTTCTCCGCTTACCGAAGATGCCGATGCAGATGCCCAGCGAAGGCTTAAGACTTGAGCAGGAGTCGGAGACGGAGATGAAGATGAAGATGGAGCTGCGGGCCAAGTGAATGGGAAGTGGCCAAAACGAAAAGCAAAGCTGAAGACCGAGCGTGAAGCGCTCAATGAAGCGGAAAATGCGCCCCAAAACGATGCAGCCATGAAACGAGTTTCTTGGCTCAACCATTTCTGCTGAATGGTTAGGGTATCGCATTGTTTTGCGCTGTGGTTGGTTTTTCTGGGGAGCCTGTAATCGATATGAGTATGCAGATGAGATGGTATATCCCTGAATGACCCGTGTCAAGTTGGATAAAACTTTAGTGCCTATAATAATGGGAAATGTGGGGGTTTCTGAAGTGATTAACAATGTTTCTGAGAATTTTTCCTAGGCTAGAAATCCTGATGAACAGATTGCTGGTTTGAGGATTTAAGAGTAACATTTTTGATATAAGTCGTTTTGTATTTTCAAAATCGCTAGATCTATTTATATCTGTCTATTTTATATTTGGGACCATTTAGTTGTTATCTTGCAAAGCTCTTAGATTTCAATCTCTCCTCCAAGCATATTTACCTAACGAATCCATCACGAAAGCGTATCCACACTTCCACCTTTCCACTTGAGTGATCTATAATTCCTTGCTTGTTTGACTTTCGTTTTGGATGAAATGCTATGGAATTATGTGGGTAAACATTTATGACCAGCGGCTGGTTATAGTTGCACCTCCCCAAACCCATTTCCCCCAGCCCCCCTACACCCCCTTTACCCCGCCGCTGGAGCGAGTTGTGCAGTAGCATTGATAATTATGCTACTGCTGGTGGAAAAGCGAGCCAGATCCAAATCGGATGCTTGTTTTCCCAGCTACCGGAGCTGGTTAATGCCAGCTTTATTTCGAGCAAGAGCGAGCTACTTATCCTGATCTCCCCACTAACCATATTGTTTGTCCATCAGGTCTGACGGAGCACGCACCGATGGAATGCGGGGCGGAGAACAGCTGTCCGCACCCATGTCGCTGTGCGGACGGGATCGTCGATTGCCGTGAGAAGAGTCTGACCAGCGTGCCCGTCACCTTGCCCGACGACACCACCGAGCTGTAAGTGGTGCATCTCATTTGGATAGGGGATTGCCTCGCTGACTCCCTTCCTTTACACTCTGATTTTTACAGCCGCCTCGAGCAGAACTTCATTACCGAACTGCCGCCGAAATCGTTCTCCAGCTTTCGACGACTGCGACGCATCGACCTGTCCAACAACAACATCTCCCGAATTGCCCACGATGCCCTGAGCGGACTAAAGCAGTTAACCACTCTGTAAGTAGATAATGCCCGTTGGTGGAGGTGGTGCTGCCACTTTACCTGCCAGTGCAACAAGTAGCCATTGCAGAACAAAGTGTGCACTCACTTGAGCTGCCCTGCACTGGGGCAAACTCACCTGAACCGAGTCGCATCGGGAGGGGGAATGGGCCAAGAGGTGCCTTTGGGCCGGGCCAGAAGCGAGCTAATCGGCCTACGCTAAGCGTTCCTGCCAGCTCACACCGCCAGGCATCGGCTTACCTGTGCGAATCCCCCCTCGCCAGACACCCAGCCACTCCTTCTCCTCCTCGACGAGGATGTGTGCGCCGGAGCTGGAAACGTGACACGGACTTAATTAATGCTAGCCACATTAGAAGGGATTTAATTTCTGCATTTTTGAGTAGGTTTTGGAAGAGTGCCTTTGTACAATTTAAACTCTTGTAGGGGATTATACATATTATTATTATAAGCATAATACCATTTTAATGAGTACCTTACAAAAACAAAGGAATATTACTTGTACCGAATTCTTAAAGGGATTGTACGTACTAATTTTCTCAGGCCAATTAAATATTTATGAGTGGTTTATCAAATAGATGCATTTTACGCAGATAATTCTTAAATTAAATGAAGAAAGGTAGTTAAGTATATTAAGGTAGAGTATTTTATTGGGATTAGCTTGGTAAATTAACTTTCTTAAATATTTAAAAAAATAATGTTATGGATAGACTTTTAACTAAAGAAGATGAGTTTTCTTACCAACTCTTGAGTATTAGATTTATCTAGAATTTTGGCGTGTCACGACCTACAGGCGAAGCCCATCTCTTGGTTTTTCAGTGCCAAACAAACCAGTTGCCGCCCGCAACAACAACAACAACAAGATCAACAAGAAGAATGACAGCAGCGGCAGTAACAAGAAGAACCTAACCACTTTGTCTTTGCCCGCAGAGTGATTTTTATTTTTTGTAATTTTTTGTGCCACCTCCTGGCGGGGCTTGTGTTTTCTTTTTTGTGTTTTTTTTCGAGCTTTGTTAACATTCGTCGTGTGTTCTATTTGTGTTCTTTTCCATGTCGGCTCCACCCATCGTCAACGGGCCATTGTACCATCGTGGCATCATCCCATCAGCGTGCTGTACGGCAATAAAATAAAGGATTTACCCTCGGGCGTGTTCAAAGGACTCGGCTCGCTGCAGCTGCTGCTGTTGAACGCCAACGAGATCTCGTGCATACGCAAGGATGCCTTCCGCGACCTGCACAGCCTGAGCCTGCTCTCCCTGTACGACAACAACATCCAGTCGCTGGCTAATGGCACATTCGACGCCATGAAGAGCATCAAAACGGTGTAAGTACATGGAGTCCCACTCCGCCCCCTGAACGCCCACCATCCACACTCGAGTGGGGAACATGGGTCCCGAGCCCATGTCGGGATCCCATCTTGAATGGAGCAGGCACTTTGGTGTTAAACCTCTGAAGTGCATTTAGTAGTTGCCTTTGACTGCGCGCCCCTCGCCTCCCTCCTCATCTTGAGTCCGCTTCAGAGTTCGCGTTGACATTTGTTTAGCAGCAAACAAGAAGCTTCTCCCGCCCCCAGCATCCATCCATCCAACCATCCATCCCCCTCTCTGTGAACCGTGAAGACTTTCGGCCCTAGGAGCGAACAAAAGGCGAAGACGCCGAGAAGAATTCTCCTTTTGGCATCGATAAATGTACGCTCGACTACGAGGCTGCGACTAAAAACTTGGATGGGCGTCAGGGTCTGAAAAAGGGGTTTAGGGCGGGGGGTGCCATAAGTACGGGAGCCAGGGGATTTGTATGCTTGAGTGGGTTAAGTATTTGCCAGGGTTGTCGGCTTTCCGGTTAGTTGGGTTTCGCATATTTCAGCGGAAACTCAACGGATCTTCAGGTCCTAAGCAGTTTCGATATGCTAAGATATGCTAATGATCATATTGACATAGCGAATTTGTTATGTTTTCTTTTATTTTTTAGAAGGGGATAAATCATAAAAAAGAACAAAGTTGGAAACATTCTTTTTAAGTGATATTGATATTATGTTAAGCCTTTCTAAAAATAAATTAGTAAACCCTTAGATAAATAGATTTCTCAATCAAACTTTCTCCTCTCCAATAATAATACTAAATACTAGTAAGTCCTAAAATTTTACAGTAGACTTTCGAGCTTAAATTGGCAAAGCATTTTTAAAAGTTATGAGTTCGTGCAACTTTTAAAAGCAATGCACATCCGTACAAATAATGAAAAGTGAATGCTATCCAATTTTTATGGGCCTCAACCGACTTTATCCCAGAAGGCATAAAAAGCATTTTAAATAGTAGCCAATAAAATCGATTGAGTTGCGACTGGCTAACAAGCTAAAATATACTTCTGGGACCAGCCTCTCCGTAACTCAATTGAAATACTAAAAACATTTACTATTTGCACAATCCCCAACCGTTTGGCAACCCTGCCGGGAATCGCTTTTAAATAGTTGCAAAACAACAACGGCGAGCGAGGGAGAACAACAACGGAAATGTCGTAGCCACAAGGCTGGTGCACTTTTAAGACGTCTCAAGCCTCCTCCCTTCAGTTTCCCGGGCAGCGTCTTGGTATCTGGACCCGTCCCCCTTGAAGTCCTGCTGCATAACCATTTCAGCCATTCAGTCGAATGCTCAATGCTACTTTCTTTGCTTACTTTCTTTCCTTTTGCACACGCACACTGCCACACTCGTACACTCGCCGCACACAGACATCTGGCCAAGAATCCTTTCATCTGCGACTGCAATCTGCGCTGGCTGGCCGACTATTTGCACAAAAATCCCATAGAGACGAGTGGAGCCCGCTGCGAGTCACCGAAGCGGATGCATCGTCGTCGGATTGAATCGCTGCGCGAGGAGAAATTCAAATGTAAGACTGCACCCAGTGTCCTTGTACTTAACCAGCCAACTGAATCGCACCCTCTTCCCCCAACCCATTCAGGCTCCTGGGATGAATTGCGGATGAAGCTGTCCGGCGAGTGCCGCATGGACTCCGACTGTCCGGCGATGTGCCACTGCGAGGGCACCACCGTCGACTGTACGGGCCGGGGTCTGAAGGAGATCCCGCGCGACATTCCCCTGCACACGACCGAGCTGTAAGTCGACTTCCGGATGCCATGTCCCTGCATCCTGCCCCCCCCCCCGCATCCGTAACTCAATATATTATTTCATTTGGCAGTTTGCTCAACGACAACGAACTGGGACGCATCAGCTCCGATGGCCTCTTTGGCCGCCTGCCGCATCTGGTCAAGCTGGAGCTGAAGCGCAACCAGCTGACCGGCATCGAACCGAATGCCTTCGAGGGCGCCTCCCACATCCAGGAGCTGCAGCTGGGCGAGAACAAGATCAAGGAGATCTCCAACAAGATGTTCCTGGGCCTGCACCAACTGAAGACTCTGTAAGTATATACTATATTGTTGTGGATTTTACAATTTACCCCTCATATTACTTTTCCTTGAATTGTACTACAATTATATTCCCCATTTATACCTGATTAAGGCCTGATTACCCTTTAATTAACGTAACCACTACCTGTAAACGAGTACCTGACATTACGCAATCTCTTTTCGTTTCAGCAATCTGTACGACAATCAAATCTCATGCGTTATGCCCGGTTCGTTTGAGCATCTCAACTCGCTGACGTCGCTGTAAGTAACCAGATTCCCAGATTTCCTTCTATCCGAATTCCTTTGCTGCTGTGCGTAGCAATTAAAACTGTGCCAAGTGCTCGGGATGCACTTCAATAGATAAATGATTTGGCTTAAGCATTAATTGCCCGGCGGGATGGTGAGGAGGAACATCAGCTCCTCGCTCGTAAAATGAGGTTAATGGTTCTGATTGTTCTCCAGTTGAACTCTGCTGTCTGATGTGGCTGCTCAGTGTGCTCCGTCTGCTCTGTGTGCTTGGTCTGCTGACTTCAAATCAGTTTTGCTTTACCATGGCAGCAACCAAAAGCACAGCAAACTATTGTATATAATTCAATTGAACTTCAATTTATAGCATGGGTTGCTCCTCCGCATACGTACTTGTGTGGGTCTCTGTCTGAACTGCTGCTGCGATAACAGATACCACTAGCTCCTCTTTCTTTCCAGCCAAGTAGCCCCTGCTCCCCCACTTTCCCAGCCTGTAAATCATCCCCCGAGCACACAAAACCAGAAGGGAGAATACATACGGCCATGTGTGTGTGTGCGCCTTCGATGATTTAATTAATTAAAATTGAGTTCAATGGAGAGCGCCCAGGCGAGTCGGGAAGCGAGAGAAGAGGTGCTATGTGGTCCGCTGGGCTGCTCGCAAATTATTGTAAAATTCATTTAAGTAGCTAATAAATAGCATCAATGAAATTCATTAAGTGCTGTGCAACACATGACACCCACCACCGCATCCCTGATCCCGCCCACCAGCCACAGTCCCTCAATTCACCACCTTCAAAGGTGTTGCGTGAAAGGAGCCCAAAGTGTTAGTTAGCTGCCTGCGGCCTACACACACTGATACACTGGGAAAAAAATATTAGAACTGAAAAAAAAGATGAAATTAGGATGGTTACTTATTTTAAATCATAATATTTTCTAAGCATATTAATCAAAAGAACAGTTAATCATCAGAAATCGTAACTCCAGGACCACAATCTTTATAAAGGCATCATAATCCCAAGTAGAACATTTTAGTTCTTGCCTTAAGAACTCCTAGAGTATGTTGTACACGTATTTGGGAGAACATATATAGTAATTGATAAGTTCAGTGTACACTTTCTAACATATACACATGTAATTGGGAGCTGGCATAGCTGGTGGCATGACAAAGCAGAATTGCTTATTAAATTAGTCTGGACTCGGCTGCAACTTTGGAATTGCCAATGTAATTTGTGCGCCATTGTTTCACTTGCTCCGCTCCTAAAACCCTTGGTCCGCATAATTAAAGTGCCTGGCATGGATTTTCAGGCTTGGGAGCAGAGGGGGAGTAACATATGCTGAGTACGGCACCGAATGAATACGGAATTAATTTATCAAACAGTCATGCAGCTGGAAGGGAAAATTGAATTATAAGAACCCTTTATCAACGCCGTTATCGTAATCGTTTTTGTGTGGCCAATGCTGTCACATTTTTTTTTCGCCAACACAGGAACCTCGCCTCGAATCCATTCAATTGCAATTGTCATTTGGCCTGGTTCGCGGAATGGCTGCGCAAAAAATCGCTGAACGGCGGAGCGGCACGTTGCGGAGCCCCCTCGAAGGTACGTGACGTGCAGATCAAGGACCTGCCCCACTCGGAATTCAAGTGCAGCAGCGAGAACAGCGAGGGCTGCCTGGGCGACGGCTACTGCCCGCCATCCTGCACCTGCACCGGTACCGTGGTCCGATGTTCGCGCAACCAGCTCAAGGAGATTCCGCGCGGCATCCCGGCCGAGACGTCGGAACTCTATCTGGAGTCCAACGAGATCGAGCAGATCCACTACGAGCGCATCCGCCACCTGCGCGCCCTCACCCGACTGTGAGTATCTTGTGAAGTGCATCTCCAGTGCAGAAACTAATTCGCCACTTGGCCTTCCATCCACAGAGATCTCAGCAACAACCAGATCACCATTCTGTCCAACTATACCTTCGCCAATCTGACCAAGCTGTCCACACTGTAAGTGCACCTAGGCCTAATGACTTTTTAATTGCTCCACCACCACAGCACGGAAACCACGAAATAACAGCAAAAGCAGCGCAAATCGAAGGCTCAAGAGGGCTTGACACAATTCTGTGCCAATTGCATCGTTTGTCGACCTGGCCAGGGGATTGGGACTGGGATTGGGCCATGGGCCGGGGCTCGAGGTCCGTCCCCTTTGTCCAGAAGGCAGGCCCCAGCAGGGCAGAGCACTGCAAGCCAAGAAGGCGCAGGCACGAAATTCATTCCGAGACGTAAAGTCGAAATCGTGACTCGTGCTTAAGCATTAGTCGTTGGCGCGGACTTCGACGTCAGCGTCAGCGACTCCTAGCCAAACAGTGGGTTGAAAACTAAGTGTTTAGGGATAAATATTTGTTTTATATTAGTTATCTAGAAAACACAGACTATAAAGACAAAGTAGAGAAGTATTTGACAATGTTTTACTTTACTAACGGTTACCTGCTTTGATTAATGTCCATTAATTAATGTTACGTAGACCAGATTGAACCATCCTGTTAAACTGTAGAATCGTTAGATGATGAAACTGCCTTCAATTAGTAAACCACTGTTATTAAAGACCCTGTCGGATGCTGGCTTTTCAACCCGTCCAGCATCAGCCCACTGTGTCCGTTGGTGTGCGCTATCCACAATCAAAGCTTAGCCGTTATTTCTGGTGTTTCTCCTCCGTTTGCGAATGGAAAACGTTTTGCAATTACTTTCATTTCTTCATCAATTGCCGCATGTGTCTGTTTGTGACTGTGTGTTGGCCTAATGCAATTTGTAAACGTTTCCCCGGTTCTCCTGCCCTTCGCAGCATCATCTCGTACAACAAGCTGCAGTGTCTGCAGCGGCATGCGTTGTCTGGCCTGAATAACCTGCGCGTGCTCTCGCTGCACGGCAACCGCATCTCGATGCTGCCGGAGGGCTCCTTCGAGGACCTCAAGTCGTTGACCCACATGTGAGTAGATTGGGACACTAGGATCCGTGTTGGACGGTCCATTGAACCTCTTCTTTCTGCAGAGCCTTGGGCAGCAATCCTTTGTACTGTGACTGCGGCCTGAAGTGGTTCTCCGACTGGATCAAGCTGGACTACGTCGAGCCGGGAATCGCTCGCTGCGCGGAGCCGGAACAGATGAAGGACAAGCTGATCCTGTCGACGCCCTCGTCGAGCTTCGTGTGCCGTGGCCGCGTGCGCAATGACATTCTGGCCAAGTGCAACGCCTGCTTCGAGCAGCCCTGTCAGAATCAGGCCCAGTGCGTGGCCCTGCCCCAGCGGGAGTACCAGTGCCTTTGTCAGCCGGGCTACCACGGCAAGCACTGCGAGTTCATGATCGACGCCTGCTACGGGAATCCGTGCCGCAACAATGCCACCTGTACGGTGCTAGAGGAGGGTCGCTTTAGCTGCCAGTGTGCCCCGGGATACACGGGTGCCCGCTGCGAGACCAACATCGACGACTGCCTAGGCGAGATCAAGTGCCAGAACAACGCCACCTGCATCGACGGCGTGGAGTCGTACAAGTGTGAGTGTCAGCCGGGATTCAGTGGCGAGTTCTGCGACACCAAGATCCAGTTCTGCAGTCCTGAGTTCAATCCCTGCGCGAACGGAGCCAAGTGCATGGACCACTTCACCCATTACAGCTGCGACTGCCAGGCGGGATTCCATGGCACCAATTGCACGGACAACATTGACGACTGCCAGAACCACATGTGCCAGAACGGCGGCACCTGCGTGGACGGCATCAACGACTATGTGTGCCGCTGTCCGGACGATTACACGGGCAAGTACTGCGAAGGCCACAACATGATCTCGATGATGTACCCGCAAACGTCGCCGTGCCAGAACCACGAGTGCAAGCACGGCGTCTGCTTCCAGCCAAATGCGCAGGGAAGCGACTACCTGTGCAGGTGTCATCCGGGATACACTGGAAAATGGTGCGAGTACCTCACCAGCATCAGTTTCGTGCACAACAACTCGTATGTGGAACTGGAGCCTCTGCGCACACGTCCGGAGGCGAATGTGACCATAGTGTTTAGTAGCGCCGAGCAGAATGGCATTCTCATGTACGACGGACAGGATGCTCACCTGGCAGTAGAGCTGTTCAACGGGCGTATACGCGTTAGCTACGACGTGGGCAACTACCCGGTGTCGACTATGTACAGCTTTGAGATGGTGGCCGATGGAAAGTACCACGCTGTGGAGCTGCTGGCCGTCAAGAAGAATTTCACGCTGCGCGTGGATCGCGGATTGGCCCGCTCCATCATCAACGAGGGTTCCAACGACTACCTGAAGCTCACGACGCCCATGTTCCTGGGCGGCCTGCCCGTGGATCCTGCCCAGCAGGCCTACAAGAACTGGCAGATCCGCAATCTCACCAGCTTCAAGGGCTGCATGAAGGAGGTGTGGATCAACCACAAGCTAGTGGACTTTGGCAATGCCCAGCGCCAGCAGAAGATAACTCCCGGATGTGCGCTGCTCGAAGGAGAGCAGCAAGAGGAGGAGGACGACGAGCAAGACTTCATGGATGAAACGCCGCACATCAAAGAGGTGGGTTTTTGATGGGATTACCCACTGATTTTACAGAACTAACACTATTTTCCCTATTTAGGAGCCGGTGGATCCCTGCCTGGAGAATAAGTGCCGTCGGGGCAGTCGCTGCGTGCCAAACTCCAACGCACGGGACGGCTACCAGTGCAAGTGCAAGCATGGCCAGCGAGGCCGCTTCTGCGATCAAGGTGAGGGCAGCACAGAGCCCCCAACAGTCACCGGTACATACATACATCTATCATGCTTATGCTACTCACAACTCACAACTTATATAAGGGGGTGTATGCCGTTTATTACTAACCATAAAAATGGGTAACGGAAAGGCCAATCATAACTTACAGTCGAGTGTAGCGGGGGCATGTAACATCTATATAGCCATCCATAAAACAGGTGCACCAAGCAATCAATAGAGTGCAGGCTTTTTTATGAGTTGTAGTTTTATGAGGACATGGATATACAAGTCTACTAGCTTAACTTTTTAAAAGAATCTGGCTAATTTGCAAACTTGAAGCAAGAACAATATAACTAACAGGATAAAAATGGAATTATTTAAAAGCTACTTAGCTAAAAATAACGTCAAACTAAATTTTCAACCAAAATTATCTTATTATCCCTAAAGTATTTTGATCCCATATATATTCTGTTTGAACTTAGCTTTAGCTTTAATGAAATCGAAAGTACTGATATACATATGTAATCATTTTCAAGGAAATTTAACCACGTAGCCTTGTAGCGTAATTGCAAATTCAGAAGTGAACTCTTCGCATACTACGACATACTAACACCCCCTAAAACTTAATTATTGGCACATATTCGCACACCAACATTCACGACACTCGCTTCTCACGCCACTCATCCATCAAAGGAAAATCTCAGGGGGTTTTTGGGGTGGGGACACTGTGCACTTTGTTAGCACTAATTATCCAGCCGCAAGGCTCACGTTGCAACCACTGCCTTAACCCACTGACTAATTGCGCTTCGTTGAATCCTTCTTCCCCGCAGCGGCGTCCACCTGTCGCAAGGAGCAGGTGCGCGAGTACTACACGGAGAACGACTGCCGCTCGAGGCAGCCGTTGAAGTACGCCAAGTGCGTGGGCGGCTGCGGCAACCAGTGCTGCGCGGCCAAGATAGTGAGGCGGCGCAAGGTAAGTGAATCTAAATCTCGTCTTTCAGCGCAAACCTAATCAATCACCCCTTTCATCTCAACAGGTGCGCATGGTGTGCAGCAATAACCGCAAGTACATCAAGAACTTGGACATCGTGCGCAAGTGCGGATGCACCAAGAAATGCTACTGACTGAAAGATGCGACTACCCAATTGCTCGAACGGAGCAATAGCAGCTTAGATGTTAGTTTAGGAACAGGTTTAAATCTAACTTATAGTAGTAGTAATAGTAACGATAGTCTTAGCCATAGCACTAGGGATAGCACGGATGTTGGGGGGGCAAAGGATGAGGCGGAGGAGAAGGAGGATGAGGATGAGGAGGAGGTTGTTGCCGCGGGGGAGACAACGGAGGAGGGGCGAGACGAGAGTGGGGATTACCCCACGGATGGCATGCAGTCCGATCTCTACGACGACACCATCGACGATGACGAGGACGATGGTCTCGATGATGATTATGCCGATGAGGAGGATGGGGAGGAGGATCAGGATCCCGAGCAGCTTCCCGATCCCAAGGGCCTGGTAAGTGTGCCCGAGGAGGAGGAGGATATGGGTTACGATGAGGACGACGAACGGATCGCCATGGAGCGGCCAAGGACAGTCAGGCCCAGGCCCGATGAGGAACAATTCGTGAACGAGGAGGGCAGCGGCTTCGGAGGCCTGCGGTCGCGATTCCGGCCGAGCAGCAGCTTCCGCGAGAGCCAGCTGGAGAACATCCGCAAGAAGCTGCTCACGGAAGCCCAGGCGGCTCCGGAGGTGGCCGTCGCGGTGGCCGTGCCGAGCACTGCGATCGATCTGCGCGAGAGCAGCGGCCACTTTGCCAACGATGACGAGGATGGCGAGGACGGCGATGACGGCGTCGATGACGAGTTCGCCGACACGGGTGAGAACCAGGGGCGCGGCTTCTTTGGCTCCCAGCAGCAGCAGCAGCGCAAGAACGGTCCGTACCACCGGAAGAACGGCAACGATGCCATCAAGATCATCTCCACGCCGCTCGGCAAGGTGAGCATCGTGTACCAGCAGACGGACAAGGACCAGAGCGCGGACAAGGAGGCGCAGCAGCAGCAGCAAAAGAAGCCCGCGCTCACCGACTTCGACGCCCTGTCGCCGGACCCCGAGAGCAGTCATCGCTTTCCGTCGCCCCACCCCAAGATTACGCCCGTTCTGACGCCCGATGGCAAGGTGGCGCTGCTCTATCGCGGAGACTCGGAGAGCTCCAAGTACGAGCCCATACGCAACATGACCCACAAGTTTACCGCCCAGCCGGCCAAGGAGCCCAAGGCCAAGGCCGAGGACTCCTCCTCCTCCGAGGACTCCGTCTACACGGACAGCGAGGATGCCGAGGATGCTAAGGGCGAGTCGGGGGCAGGAAAGCCCTCGCTTGTGGCCAGCACACCCAAGCCCCTGCAGCCGGAGATCCTGGAGCCACCGGATAACGTTCAGCCCGGCGGGTCCTTCATCATTCGGCCCACCTCCGACTCTTTGCTGCCCATGATCAACCGGCCGCTGTCCGAGGTGTTGGGCATCAAGAAGAACCAGTTCCAGGAGACGAGGGTGCGCGACCAGCTGCCCACACAGCAGCCACCGCCTCCGCTGCCGGAGGCCACGTCCCGCAGTCCAGCTTCCGGACATCAGTTCCTCGCCAAGGTGAACCTGGCCGAGTTCCCGACGTCCGGACGGACGCTGCAGACGCCGCTGATCCCCGGCAGCCACGACTTCGACTTCAGCCGTGACAACACGATGCTGGACGAGAGGTCGCGGGTGCGCGAGCTGGAGAAGCAGCGGGAGCGGGACAAGGAGCACAACGAGGCCACCAGCAAGGGGGCCACCGAGGCGCACACCATAGCCAACGAGCAGCTGCTGTCCAAGACGGAGGTCATCAACCTGGCCATTGTGCCGCAGTTCGACGAGGACATGGAGCGGCTGCAGCGACTGCAGGAAAATGGCGGTCGACGGCACCACAGGGCGCGACACCGCCATCGCCAGCAGTCCGAGGAGGAGCTGTCTGGCATCCATTGCATCATGCAGGTCATGATGGGCGTGGCCGCCGTGTCGACGGTCTTCGGCATGCTGGGCACCTTCTTCAAGCAGCGCATCCTCGATCAATTGCGCGTGATGCACTGGTAGTACAACACGGGGGATTCGATGTCCGGTGTCGAATGCCCCACATCCCCCCGCCACCCGATTCCCACTCCCCGCATCGTCATGATCATCATCCAGTCTATGGAGGCCAGCTGCCTTTTAGATGCGAGATCCTTCTTCTACTACTAGCGCTCCTCCAGCACTCATATACTCGTATATATACTCGTACTCGTACTCGAACTCGTACCATACGCCATATATTAATCGCATAATCTATGTAACACAGCGGCATCGATTTGCTTTCGTCCCCTTCCGCTTCTTTATATATATATACATATATCTATCTTATCCTTCGGCATTGTGCCTGCGAAGGCACTTCCTTGCTACACATGTATTCTATATATTCGCATATATCAATTTACTAGTGCAAGCTACCCAGGCGATGTACATAATAACAGAACCATAATACGGCGATCGATCGATCCGGATGTCTATGTATTTATGTGAGACGCAGCTGTAGCCCCTGCCAATCCTCCGGAAATTAGCTGACCCCCGTCACTTCTTCCCAGTTCCTTCTTTTCTCGCACGTTGTGTGCCCTTGCCCGTAGGACGCAGGATATAGAGACCATTCAATCATTCGACCACATCAGCGTAATCAAGCTTTAAGCAAGTCATTGCATGTGCCACGCCCCTCGAGCTCCCCGCCCAGCATGAGCCCCGCAGAAAGTACATTCCCCCCCTCCCCGCCTCCGTCGTCAGAAGCCCCAGTCGAGGAACTCGAAAATTGGACGTAGAACAGATTCCTTTTGTAGATAGAAAACGAAACAGTTGTTGGGAGAAGATAACCAGATGAGATGGAGTCGCATGACAAACGATAAATAATGATAAACTAAACTAAAGTTATAAACGAAAGAAACAGTAAAACCGCATAGAAGCACACGCATTACAAAACACAAACCTGCAGCGGTCGTTTTAAACGCGCCGTTGTTCAGGGGTCTCAAAGAAACGAGTAAACGATAATAAGTGCATAACGAAAACCTTCTTTAGTCTAAGTTGCTCAAAGGAAAGTATTTTGATAGAACAAGAACGGAACGAGAAACCAACAAACCACAAAGAATCGAAACGAAACTAAACGAAACAAAGGCCCCCAAACGTGTAACGAATTTCCAGCAAATTGTTGCAAGTGTTTTTCCTAGAATTAGTCCTAATTAAACTAAATGTGTGCAAATCGAAGCGTAACTAATATTACAATTAACCTAAACTAATTGAGGAAACAAAAACCTAAACATAATTCGGATAACAACATCTAAGCTGGGTAGTCGCATGTAAATCTCTAACAATTAACAATTACCGACCTAAGTTAGACCTAAAAATCGAGACAAAATCGAATCGCATTTAAAGAAACCTACATAATAATAATTATTTATACTAATCTATATATACTTATATGTATGCTGTATGTATGTATGACCCTATATGTATATGTAAAATGTTTTTGACTATTTTTCACTATTTATATCCATATATATTATATATGCATATACGATACATGTGTAATAGCCCCTTTTGGTCATTTTAGTTGTCTTTTATATATATTTAATACGTGTATTATTTTTATTAATTATTCAAGTATAACTATGCGCACCAATTACACGCATATTTTATGTATAACCTATTGACAAATATATATATATATTATGTGTAATAGCTGTTGCTAAACCAAGTTTAATTATCAGTTTTTCATTTTCACCTTAATCCGGCGAAGCTTTCGACGGTTTCACAGCCGCAAATTGTGTTCAGCTAATTAATTAGGAAGAGAAAGTGTCCCACATTGACATTGGGGGAAATGACAATTATAATATTCATTTCTGTGTGTAATGTTTATTTCCTAATAAAGATGACAAAGAAAAATGTTTCAAATCAAATGGTTTTATGTTTGAAGAACGTTATTTTGTGCTTGGAATCATTTGGATGATGGAGACGCAGATAAATTGGATCTTGCCGCAATAGATAAAGTAAAAATAATAAGGTTCTTATAGGCGGTTGAAACCTAAACAGATTTGGTGACCCTAATCCATTCTGATCAAGCTTTGCTGGATTCTTTTCTGGGCTCTTAACTTGACAAATTGGATCTTGGTTTTAAAGATATGTTCATATGTTAATCTAAATTAGATATGTCGCCCAGAGCGGTGGTCAATTTATTTATATTCCATGTTCTTGCCACACGAGTTTTCAGCGTTAAAAAGGTACTAGATTTAAATGAATGTTTCCTTCCCGCTCTGCAAAGATCTGGCAGCACTGTGTTTAGGTATTTTTGGTATTTAACAGTCAATCGATAGTGACCTATCGATGACGCATCAACCTGCTTTTGCCACCGCTATTTTCAACAGTTCGCGCGCTTTTCTCGACCATCTACTTTAAACAGCGCGTAAAAAAAACTTGTGGCAGTTGTTGACGGAGGAAAATAATATTATTAAACAGTGCATAATCCCAGCATCGCCACGCCATGGACATCGACTTCGGCGCGGAGGCGGGGCAGTCCTACCACACGGTGCAGCTCTCCGCGAAAGAAGTGCTCGCCGCTGGTCGTCGTCAGCATTATTGCAACGTAAGTAGGGCACCCAATTCAATTGCATAGCTCCCTCAATTGGCCCCCATTCATAACCGATAATCCCCACCCAGATGATCGACCTGCTGGCCAGCAGCTGCAAGAGCTCCGGGCTGATAGCCACCTCCTTCACGGATGACGAACTGGTAGAATTTTGGTTGGGCGACATTCTGCCCCTGATGTTCGATGCGGACCGAAAGATCCAGGACTGCGCCGTGGCGGCTCTGGCGGAAGCACTGGTGGCCCTTGATGTTTCCGCCATCCACTCGGCCAGGTGCTGGCCCCAGATTCGGAGTGAGTTCGTCAACAAGTACACCACGCTCATCGGGGAGATGCGCGACGCCAAGAACTCCAACTGGCACAAGATCTGGACACTGCTGGTGCAGATCATGGACGAGGACCTGCTCAGGGGCTGTGTGTACATCAACAAGTTCCTGGCACTCGTGGAACTGGGCTTCCGCAATCCGGACAATGGCGTCCGCTCGGAGGCGTTCCTCTGCTGGCGCGTGCTCATCAAGATCTTTGCCGCCTACGACGAACTGGCCTCCGTGAAGCGGCTTCGCCTGCTGCTAATCCCCCTGCGAACCTCGCAGTCGCGCTCCTCGCACGTCAGTGGCATTAAGCTGCGAGTGTGGTGGTACCTGCTCACCTGCCTGGACCTGGAGCTACCCAAGTCCTTTGACAGCGCCGTGGAGCACTTCTTGGCCTTCATGTTTGGCGGAGGTCCTCGAAATCTACCCTCGGGATTGGCCCACAACTACCAAACAGCCCGGGAATTGGCACTGCCTTGCTTGGTGGCCCTGTGGGGCGTGGAGTCCAGTGAACCGCTGCAACGTCTGCTCAGGGAACTGCGCCTGGAGACCTTCGCTCAGCCGTCACCTCTGATGAGCAGCGAGGTACTGCAGCAACACTGGAAGCCACTTTTGGCCGCCGCCGTTTCCGGGATGAATCTGCTTACTGAGAACGACGCCACCGAGGCGGAACAACTGCTGCTGCAGCTGCTCGTGCGGAATCTCTGCCTGGCCATGTTCCGGCTGGCAGTTGCCCCCTTCACCGTAGCCTGCTGCGCTGAGATCGAGCAGATCTTGATCGCCAAAAATGGCTCCGGTGGTCGAGTGGTACGGGCTCTCTTCAACACCATTGCCAGTGAGAACCTTGTGATGGAGCGTGTGGCCGGAAGCGATCACCTCGATGTTCTGGAGGCCTTCCTGAAGCTGATCCTAAAATCCAGGACGGAAGTCCCAGCGGCCATCCTGCAGCGCAGTATCGCTTGCATCTTCGCCGTCGAACGCATTGAGGCGGACAATCAGAACGAGTTCCGGCTACTCGGCTCCTTCGCGGAAAACATAATGCAAGCCAACGACGAGGAAGACTTTGAAGGCTTCGCAGTGAAGTTACAGGTGTGGCGACAGGTGTCGCAGGCTTTGTCCAACTACCTGCGCAACAATGCGCTTGAGTACCGCGTGGCTCACAACGCTTCCCTCCTGGACACCTGGCTGTTATGGCCACTTCAAACGTTGGCCGCTTTTGCCGGACGCCGTGCTAGCAACTCCTTCGATAGCTCCTTTTGCGAACAGTGGCGTCAGCTTCTGAATGCGGGTCAGAATGCCGCGGAGAGGAAGAAGTTCTTGGGAGAATTGAAGGCCGCGCTTGCAGACCTGTTCAAGAGCAAGGACGAACCGCTTTTTGCAGAGCTTTTCGATGCTTACGTTACCTCCGTACTCAAGCTGGGCCTCTGCAAGGAGGCACCCCTGTATAAGGACGTGTTTGGACTGCTTCATACCATTTTTGAGCACCCCTCCTCCCAGCAGATGCTCGAGGCCTGCTTGAACACCCTCCGCACGTTGGTGCTGGAATTGCGCCAAAACGAACTGATCGTGGTGTTTGATGCCCTGAAACCCACGTTGTCTTCTGGCATCCAGTGCTGGAACAAGATGAAGTGCGAGGGAGGCTTCCTGGAGGAGTGGAAGCGTGCCATTCTGGAGAAGTTCCGAAAGTTATCCATGAAGAGTATGGCCAACCAGCTGAGGGATCTCTTCAAGGGCGACGATCTCTTCGTGATCATCCCCTCGGTGTGGAGCCTGAACCCAGAGAAGCTAACGGATCGCCAGAAGGAGCGTTTTGCCGAGAAGTCGGATATTCCTGCCCTGTACAACGATATGTCACAGTCGCAGGACTCGGCATCCATTAAGCCCTGGACGCCCAAGAAGGTGGTTATCGCCAGGAGCAAACAGGGTGAGCTGGCTTTAACAGGCAAGGATGATGTCGAGGAAGTGATCGACATTACGACCAGCGAGGAATCAGAGAAGGAGCCGAAGACAACTGACGTCCCCACCCCTGTCCGCAAGCTACCCGGCCGAAAAACTAAAGCTCAAAAGGAAGAGGAGGCCAAGCTGGCCCCACCGGTAGAAGAGCCGCCCAAGCGTCAGACGCGTATGCGGTCGGCTCAAAAGGAAACGGAACAGGCGTTGCCCACACCTGAACGCCCGCTGAAATCGCCCAAGAAGGTGCCACCGCCCCCGGTCGCTCAATCCACACAATCAGGTAAGCAAAACAAGTAACAGGTGGGCTTAGGATGTTAATCCCAACACTTGAATTTTCGCAGCTGCCGGAAAGCAGACAAAGACTGCGAAACCCACCCCCGTTGTAGTTATTGAACAGAGCGAAGATCTGTTCCCAGAATTCACCGCCGAGCAACAACCTGAGCCAGAACCGGTTAAGAAACCCGAGGCCGCCACCGAAATACAGCTTACTCCGCCAGATGTGCCTTTGGAAGCAGTACCCTCCACCCAACTGCCGGGGAGCAGCGGCGAAGCTGCTCCTGCTGCGGTTGCTGTCGCCGCTGTAGAAACCTCGCCCAAGAAGCCAAGCACGCGAATATGCAACTTGGTGAGTCAAACAATATTGCAAACATTTATTATCAAAAAAGGGAAATTTCATTTTGTAAGGAATGACCTTTGATTTTTTGGATTTTGGCATTTGGCATTCGTTTATGATCTTTTGCCAAAAATTGACTGAAATTGTTAAACTGTAAATGCCACTCGATTTGAAATTTAATAACGAATTCAATGAGGTATGGCACTACAACATCTGGCAATTATTTCCCAGGGTTTTGATAAAAAAAACCGAAATAAAAGTGCATATTTCCGGATCTCCGGATTTTTACATTTTTCATTCATTTTTGAGAAAAATCGACCAAAAGCTGTGAATGCCACTCGATTGGAAATTTTATAACGAATTCAACGAGGTATGGCATTCCAACATCTGATAATTATTTCCCAGGGTTTTGATCAAAAAACCGAAATAAAAGTGGGTTTTTCCGGATCTCCGGATTTTGGTTATTTTGATAAGGGGTTACATCATGAATATTTGCCAAAAATCGACTAATTTGAAATTTTTTAGCTGTGAATGCCACTCGATTGGAAATTTTATAACGAATTCATCGAGGTATGGCATTCCAACATCTGACAATTATTTCCCAGGGTTTTGATCAAAAAACCGAAATAAAAGTGGATTTTTCCGGATCTGCGGATTTTGGCATTTTTGATAAGGGGTTACATCATTAATATTTGCCAAAAATCGACTGATTTGAAATTTTTTAGCTGTGAATGCAACTCGATTGGTAATTTTATAACGAATTCAACGAGGTATGGCATTCCAACATCTGATAATTATTTCCCAGGGTTTTGATCAAAAAAGTGGGTTTTTCCGGATCTCCGGATTTTGGCTATTTTGATAAGGGGTTACATCATTAATATTTGCCAAAAATCGACTAATTTGAAATTTTTTAACTGTGAATGCCATCCGATTGGAAATTTTATAACGAATTCAGTGAGGTATGGCATTCCAAAATCTGATAATTATTTCCCAGGGTTTTGATCAAAAAACCGAAATAAAAGTAGGTTTTTTCGGATCTCCGGATTTCGACATTTTTGATAAGGGGTTACATCATGCTTTTTTGCGAAAAATTGGAATGCCAATGAAAAAGTTATTTCAATTGAATTCTTTTGTTTTCTCTTCATCTCCGCAGAACTCTCCACCCGATCGCAAGCAGACAAACAATTCCTCGAGTCCCACGCTGCGTCCCAAGCCCACGGGCCATCTAACGGGACGCGGTGCCCAGCTGATCAACATGATCCGCAACAAGAAGCTGGATACCGCCGCCGGCTCGCCCTATGCTTCCATGTCGACCTCGCGCCTGGTCCACCAGGTGACGCCAGCGCGAGTCCTCGACCGCGCCGAGCAGGTGTCCACGCCCACCAGCGAACTATACGAGCTTACGGGCACGGATCACACCTCCACGCCGATTCAGGCACCGCCCTCTAAGGATCTGCTGACGTTCTCCAAGCGATTGCCCTCGCCGTCGGCCAGTCCCTCGGTGAGCATCCTGAAGCGCAAGCTGCGGTGCGAGAGCCTCGATGATGTCACTCTGGACTCGCCGGCGCTGAAGCGCAAGCGGGTGAGCTTCCACGACCCACCGGTGTCCGTCACCAAGGAGTACCTGCGGGATTCGGAAGAGACGCGCAGCTCGCTGAAGCCCAAGAGGTGCCTGCTCATGGACAAGGTGGCCCAGACCAGCGAAATGCGCCAAGCATTGAGGAGACGCGGTCGCCTGGACAGCATCATCGAGATCGAGCGCTTCGCCAGCGAACAGACGGCCAGAACAGCGACGACGGACAAGACGATGGACAAGTCCGCGGGAGAAGCTCCCGAAGAGGACGCCTTCACCAGCTTAAAGTGGAACGATACTGCCAATGCCCAGAACATAAGCCTCACTGAAGAGCCCGCCAAGGCCATGGAAGTGGAGCCCGAGCAGGAGGCTGCCGCTCGCGATCTGGCCATCATGGATCCAGATGCCGCCCTCGATCTGGTGGTGGATCAGCTGCCGCTGGAGTCGGTCCTGCAGCGCTATTTCGACAAGGGTCAACTGAAGAGCGCCGCCACGCTGGCCAAGTTCCTGTCCGCCCAGATGGGAGCCAACGAGAAGCTGAAGACGAACGTGTTGGAGACGCTGTCGGAGAATCACTCCAAGGACTTCCTAGACCACGCCGTGCGCGAGAATCTCTCGTCGGTGGTGTGTGATCGCCTCAACCCCAACTCTGTGCTGGAGTACGTCTGCGCCAAGTCCAAGATCAACAACAGTTGCCGCAGCGGGCTGCTGGCCCAGGTGCCGGAAATCCTCAAGAGCGGCCCACGCTCCGATGCGGAGCGAACGGCCTTCGTGCAGCAGCTGCTGGTGCAGTGCAGCCCCAGCGACGAGCAGCTCCTCGATCTCATTGACCTCCTGATGCGAACGCGTCGCGAGCGCAACACCAGTACAGCCCCCCACCTCCCAAAGGGCGTGGCATCCGCCCTTGGAAGCCCTGACAACGTGGCCGAGACCGCGGCGGATTCCTCTTCCAACCTATGAGTTGGAGTTACAGAGCCGAAGTTAAAGATGAAATATTGGGTAGTTTGCCATTGCCCTCTTTTGAGGATGGGAAATCGATTGTATCTGCTTAGTTTTAGTTAGTTACGTTTACTTTTCATTATGTTTAAGACTTTTATGCCCGTTGGTGTATTACGTTTCGGCTGCGAGAACTTGCTTCATTTTACAATAAATTCAAGATTTTATTATTAATGACAACATCGTTTAAAAAAAAGGGGGAACCAATTTCAGATTTAATATAAAAAAATTCTACAGTGCTTCTAAAACTGTGGGATTTACGAATTTAAAAAGGTCCAATGGCTCTCAAACTCGTAACAATTTGGCCGCCCAAATGTCAAAAGTCCGGACTTAAGCGCTTCATACCTAATTCTCTGATATCTTACACCAGGCGAACAGAAATGCCAGTAGGTGGCTGCATAATTTTAATTATCAGCAGCGCCCAATGGTATGCAATGAAAAATTCTACTTTCTCAAGTGAAACGATCGACTGCCCAAAAGTATGCAACACGTTTTAAACAACATTAAAGAGGTGTGAAAGTACTGCAACTCAAAAGTATGCCACACATTTTAAACGTTATTAAAGCAGTATTCAAACTACATTAAAGCAGTATTTAAACTATATTAAAGCAGGAAATAACTGCAGCCCAAAAGTATGCCACTTTTTTAAACTTTATTTAATCAGAGTGAAAGTAGCAGTTGTAACGGGCTTAATTTGAATTATAGATTGGTAAAACCCAGATTACAAATCGTATCTTAATGATTTTGATAGACAATAAAACAGCTTTCAAACAAAATAATCTATCAATACTGATTTGCTTCATCGATGTCCAACTTCTTTGACCTTGCTCGTCGTGGCATCTTCCCCGTCCATTGGTTGTAGAAAAACTGCGAATGAATTTAATTTAATATTATAAAATATATTTATTTATAACTTTAGGCATTTTCTTTTACTTCCCAAATCTTTTACGATTACATAGTCCGGCTGAATGCAATCTTTTTACATCCGCAAATTGAATAGAACACAATATCTGAAAGTAAAAGAGAAAAAGCATTTAAATTAAATTAAAATACAAAATGTGTTTATAAAAGGAAAGAACCCATTTGGTTAAGAGTCCAAAGTTAAGCGGTATACCTCATAGCATAATCGAATGGCAATAAAACTAGGCAAATCTAATCTGCTAAACGTTTGATGGTCCCAATTTGTCATTCCATCTACGCCACTAGTGACGAGGCAGAAATTATTGCGAACAGACAGATAAACAATTAAGTTCATTAGTAACTAATGGGTGACTGAATAGTATCATTGATAACATTTGTTCAGGTAATCATGATAATCAAATTAGACTACAAGCTTATTTTGGGTTTCCTAAATAAAGTCATAGAATAGGGCATCTTAAAGTCGACCAGCTTAACTACTGATTATGATTATGCTGGATACATTTGAGGGTCAGGCGGTGCACCTTCAGTGGAGGGCATCATAGGCACCTCCAACCCTATCAGGTTGATTTGCTGTTCTGGTCGCGGCAAAGTCAAACTACCCCGCCCTCCGTCGCGTCCACTGATAATGTTCACGTGCTAGCCAACGCGTCGTCGCCGACATCGGCAGATAGAGATACGCCTGGCGACGCCGACGAGCTTTTGCACGACCATTATATATAGTAAATAGCATAGGTATATGTCTCCGCCGACGTCTTGTTTCCATCTGTACAAGTAATAATAACTCAGCGTGGGCGGAGCACTCTGCACGCCGCGGGTGCGTGTTGAGCGTAGTACGTTCCGCCGGACAATCCGTTGGATACTTTGTATCAGTTACAGGCGGCGTGATAACTGCGCTTTCGGCACACTTAGACAGACGTACGTTTCATTTTGGGAATGCCAAGGTCGTTTGTAGGTCCGTACCGCTCTGTTAATCGGCGGGTCTCGCCGCATATAAATAGCCATGGAAAGTTCTTGCTCAATTGCGCAAGTGAAACTGACCTACCTAACCCAAACCATCTCGTGTGCCGTGACGTAGTCGCAGTCGCAGTCGGACCCATACTTGAGTCTCCTGCGCCGTCTGCTCTGTGTCTGGCCAGCCGATCGAGAGCAGGCTAATGGCCCATCAAGATATTCCCTCCCCCATATATATTCATCTGCCATTCGTATCCATGATTCATTCATAAACTGGTGCCCTCGAAATGCGTAAGGCACTTGTGAAATGGCTCTTATCAGCGTATCGGAGTGTTCCTGATTCGATTGCCATGGGGCGCCATGGAAATTCACGGAAGCGTAACCTTGTTGGCCAGTGCTGTTGCTCCGCGATTCTATCAGCACTCGCCACATAATTGAATAATCTGCCGTGCCGAAGAGCGCGAAACAATAAAAATATCAGATACGCCGCTTGTGTGCCGCCAGTTACAATATAAATACGCTCGGGACACAACGTGGGCGCATCTCGCAGGTGCCAAAAACGAGGTAGAATCGAGAAAAAGTGCGAGCGCTTCATACATATAGAGATCTCTATGGATGTTATATAGAATGCTCTCTGTGAACTAGAATGTGATATAAATTATACGAAATCGCTGTTTCTCTACCGCTTTGTGCAGACATTGGGTATTTCACAAATTAAAAAATACACACATAAATGTTTTTATATTATGTGATTGTGTTTCTTTAGAATTTTGATATTTTAAATGGAAATTTTTTTCTTCACTGGATTTGATATGACTGTGGAATACTTCTGATGAAATGGAATATTTTTTAACGAAATATGAACAATTAAAGCGGTGTGGTGCCTACTAAAATATTTAAACATATTTATCATAACAATATATTAAATCACATATTCGTTTCCCTAATATCTTTGAATGTTTGTTTGCTAATTGGTTAGAAGCCCGAACATTTAAAATATTGGAAACCAAAACCCCTGATAAAAAGGATATGTCCGTGACACTTAGGTTTTTGATTCGCTTGGAATTTAGTTGAAAGAGACATCTCTCACAAAAACACGATTAGCTGCAGCACGAGAATCTGTTGAATACCTTGTATCTGGCGAATAACATGTATCTTGAGATCTGCCAATTGGCCAATTAGCTGGGCCAGGAGGGGCGGCGAAGGGGGCGTGGCCCTAACAGCTGATTGCGCCGAGCACGAGCCACGAACTGCACTGAAAGTTTTGTCGAGCGGAAAAAAAGCTGCAGGCAGTGCAGTTTTGCGCAGAGCGACGGCGACTGGCGAATCAAACGGACGGAGCAAGCGGAGGAGTATCGCTCTTAGTTCTCAGCCCATCAGTTCCAGGCAGTCACAGCCACAATCCCGGAAATAAAATCGGAGTCCACAGAAGGCATCCAGAGCACTAGGTGAGCTCAATAGCCCATTCGAACTGGTCGAGTGCGGATGCGGGAAGCGGCAAGAAAAGTGACTCAAACTCTGATGTAATCATTTTCACATGCTGTTACGCCCGCTAAAAACGTTCCGTTCGCATTGGCATTCGCATACTCATTCTCATTCTCAGTCGTCGGAAATCGGGCGATTTCGATTTCGGATTCGGTTTGTGTTTCGCCCTCGGATTCAGTCTGTTGCTGAGGCACTCGCGGCCTGGAAGCCAAAAGGTAAACATGGTCTCGACTTGGATTGGATTGGATTGGATCGGAGTGGATCCGAAAAGTGCGTCCAACCTGCAGCCGTGCGGATTACGTTCTGGTTAAGAGCCAGTGTTCCGGGTCGCAACTTTCGTCACGATTCTATATCTCCATCTGGCCATCCGCAGTACCAGTATTGATTTAACACACATTCGGGTTCCGATGGATGCGAGTGGAGTGGAATGGAACACTCGTCGCCCTTCCAAGAGAGCTAAAGTTGGCCAAAAGCTCCGCGCAAAAGCTTCAGTCAGCTGTGAGCACCATGTAGCCACTGATGGGGGGCAGTGCTGTGGGGAGTGCCAATTTTATTCGGAATATAATTAGCTCTCTGCTTTTTTAGCGTTCTCTGAGCCGTCGCACTCTCTGCATTATTTTTTGTTTAGTGCCTGATTTTATGGTGTTTGTGAAATCATCAAATTCCTTTAAAACTGAGAGACATAAATAGATAAAACAAGTTTCAAGTTTAAGATTCTCAATCAAGTGTGTCACGGCAATATCGATAGTGGTAAATAGTGTGTAAACAGAATTTTCAGTTAATTAATATAACTTCAGAAAAAACATCCGAAATTAAAATAACATTAAAAAAATTTAATACTAATATGTATCTCTAATCGTAAGATAAAAATTGTACTTTTGTATCTACTAAATAGTTATGTATCGTAAGGTACTAATTCAATTTTTTTTTTAAAATTAAATTTATTAAATTTGTTTTTGAATACCTGAATACAGTAAAGGTATACATTTTATACCCTTGTTTATAACAAGTATTGCAATTTCAGAAATCGAATTCTTGTTCCTAAAATGAATATAAAATGTTTGCAATTTTCTTTTGTTTTCTAAAAGTTTCCTCCAAATAACAAAGATCAAAGAAACCCAAACATTTAAAAATTAGCGCTAGTTGTACTCAACCGAAATCGTTTTTATTGCATACTTGTGAGCTATGGTGCTCTAAAAATAAGCAAAATTAATTGCTTTTTGTTGTTTTGTACCTTTTCAGCACAATCAAATACTCGATCGTTTCAATAGTTTCGTGAGAGATCCCCGAGATGACCTCGCGAATGTTCAAGTTCGGCGTAACAGCCGCCAGTGCCTGCGTGGGTTCCGTGCTGGCCTCCTACACCCTGGATCGCTGGAACTCCCCCCATGTGGTGCGTACCCTCTGATACCCTATACTAAATCTTATCCTAATCCCCTGTTCTTCTCCAGGTGAATAATGCTCAGACGCTTCCGCCGAAGAGAAAGCGCACTTTGCCCCCGCGAGGCGATCAAATCAAATCCCTGATGAGCGGCGAGGAGTTCGACGTGCTGATCATCGGCGGAGGAGCCACTGGAGCCGGTTGTGCCCTCGATTCGGTGACGAGAGGTGCGTAGACATTGACCCACCTCCAAACTAGAACCCCTTCTAAAGAAACCCTCCCCCAAAAACAGGTCTGAAGACCGCCCTGGTGGAGCTGGACGACTTTGCCAGCGGCACCTCTTCCCGTTCCACCAAGCTCATCCACGGCGGAGTGCGCTACCTGCAGAAGGCCATCCTGGGCGTAAGTTTTAACTATACCCCTTCTCCTCCATCCTCCATGGTAAAGTGCTAATTATCATCTATCATCTCAGCTAGACCTTGAGCAGTACCGCATGGTGAAGGAGGCGCTGGCGGAGCGCGCCACCATGCTCGAATCGGCGCCCCACTTGACCCACCCTCTGCCCATCATGCTGCCAGTTTACCAGTAATTAAAAATATATTTTAAAGCCAGAGGTTTCACAGAGAACAATAATAGAAAAGTCCTTACATTGGTTTTCCATTACTTGATGTAGCAGAAAATATGGTAGAAGTAGTAGTAGTTTTTGTAACTCAACTCCCCCGGTTTCGATCACTTTTTGATTTATTATTAAGCACGTTTTAAACAAGTTGTTTATTTTCCGTTTGAATTTTTCCACTAATGCTTAACATTTGTGAAATTTTATGTATATGCATTAACCAATTGGTTAAAAAAAATTGTTTAGAGACATGCGCAAGAATAGATTAGACTTATTATACGATGAGAAAAAAAAGCTAGACAGTTTTTGTTTATAGAATCAACCGAACGATAAGAAAATCATCTTTTGGAAAATCTGTGACACCTCTTCTTCTGATACTCTTATGACTCAATTAACCAATCCCGATCCCGATAGGTGGTGGCAGGTGCCCTACTACTGGGTGGGCATCAAGGCCTACGATCTGGTGGCCGGTGATCGCAACGTGAAGAGCTCGTACTACCTCTCCAAGAAGGACGCCCTCGAGCTGTTCCCCATGCTCAAGAAGGACAAGCTGTGTGGTGCGATCGTGTACTACGACGGCCAGCAGGATGATGCCAGGATGTGTTTGGCAGTGGCACTGACTGCCGCTCGCCACGGAGCCACCGTGTGCAACCACGTGGAGGTGAAGGAGCTGCTCAAGAAGGACGACGGCACCGGCAAACAGGTGCTGTGCGGAGCCAAGGTCAAGGACCATATCTCCGGCAAGGAGTTCACCGTGAAGGCCAAGTGCATCGTGAACGCCGCCGGACCCTTCACGGACTCCATCCGCAAGATGGACAACCCCTCGGTGAAGAGCATCTGCTGCCCCAGCTCCGGAGTCCACATCGTACTGCCCGGCTACTACAGTCCCGACCAGATGGGCCTGCTGGATCCCTCGACCTCCGACGGCCGCGTCATCTTCTTCCTGCCCTGGCAGCGCCAGACGATCGCCGGCACCACCGACCTGCCCTGCGAGATCACCCACAACCCCACGCCCACCGAGGACGAGATCCAGTTCATCCTCAACGAGATCAAGAACTATCTGAACGCCGACGTGGAGGTGCGCCGCGGCGACGTGCTCTCCGCCTGGAGCGGCATCCGCCCGCTGGTCTCCGATCCCAACAAGGACGACACCCAGTCGCTGGCCCGCAACCACATCGTCCACGTCAGCCCCTCCAATCTCATCACCATCGCCGGCGGCAAGTGGACCACCTACCGGGCCATGGCCGAGCACACCATCGATGCGGCAATCAAGGGTGAGTTGTGAAGGATCTCATTGTATACTCGGACATATGGAAATTATTTCAAATGAGAAATTAATAAGACAATTTCAAAATTCCCGTGAAAATATTGAAAGAGATTCAAAGAGAGATCCCAGGATTTAAGAGCCCTATTTATCTGATTTGTTTTCAATTTGTTACTTCTTGCTTTTCGCAGGGAAAAAGTTTTCCATTATTAAACGAATTTTTGGGACTGGTAATACATAAATTTAAAAAAAAACTGAGATAAGATAATGAAGCAGATTTATAGATGCAATGACATCAGCAATTGATAACCTTATTAGTCAGAAATTGTTTACTTAACTACCAATGACTTAACTATTAAAGTACTATCGACTGATACTTACCCAAGCAATAATAGCCTGCAACTTATTACTTATTACTTTTAAACCAACTGATACTTACCCAGGCAATAATCCAATCCTTTTCCTACTCCTTAACAGCCTGCAACTTAAAGCCAGAGCGCGCGGAGGCCGTGACCTCCTATCTGAAGATCGAGGGCGGCCAGGGCTGGACCCCGACCATGTACATCCGCCTGGTGCAGGACTTCGGGCTGGAGTGCGAGGTGGCCCAGCACCTGGCCAAGTCGTACGGCGACCGGGCCTTCGCCGTGTCCAAGATGGCCTCGCTGACCGGCAAGCGCTGGCCCATCATCGGCAACCGCATCCACCCCGAGTTCCCCTACATCGATGCGGAGATCCGGTACGGAGTGCGCGAGTATGCCTGCACCGCCGTGGACATGATCGCCCGTCGCCTGCGACTGGCCTTCCTCAATGTCCAGGCCGCCCAGGAGGCGCTGCCCGTGATCGTCGACATCATGGGCGAGGAGCTGCAGTGGTCCAAGGAGGAGAAGGAGCGCCAGATCAAGAACGCCACCGAGTTCCTGGCCAACGAGATGGGCCACTCGGTCAACCGCACCTCCAAGGAGCGCATCCCCATCAAGCTGTCCAAGGAGGAGATCCAGACGTACATCAAGCGCTTCCAGCTGATCGACAAGGACAAGAAGGGCTATGTCTCCATCAACGACATCCGCCGTGCCCTCAAGAGCTTCGGCGATGGCGACGTCTCCGGCGAGCAGCTGCACGACATCCTGCGCGAGATCGACACGAACATGAACGGCCAGGTGGAGCTGGACGAGTACCTCCAGGTGGGCTATGTCTATCAAAGAAAATCTCAGTGCATGGAGATGGCCATAAATAGGGCTTCCAATTCATTATTATTCCTTCCTTTCAAGTTAGAAATTTCTTATTTATGATCTCCATAGCTTTTCATGAGTTGAAATTCAATTTAAATAAGTATCTTTGCCTTGAACAGATTGATATTTAAATAAGTACGCATTGAATACGATAAAATCCGTTTATTAAATGACAGAAATTAGCCCTGGCCGTTGTCCAATTAAAATACTACAAATTCGAAAGAGACTTGATTTATATAAAGTTGTACAAAAAACTAACTCCTATCGGAATCTAATGAATTACAGATGATGTCGGCCATCAAGACGGGCGACGTGGCCTACTCGCGATTTGCGCGCATGGCGGAACTGGAGGAGCAGAAGCACGAGGCGGCCAATCTGAAGCAGAAGATCAGCGTGGACCGATCCGGAGGAGGGCTGTAAGAGCACAAGCGACTTAACAACGACGACCACATCACCCGGCCAACGGAGGCAAGGATTAGGCTTAAGATCGAATGGTTAAGATCAAACTTATTTTCATTTTGCTGTTAATAAAACTCTTTCAACTCACAGAACGCCGCCGCCGGTCACCGCCATCTAACGTAATTAGTTTATCAGGCAATTGGAATTTTGTTTCTCACTCGAAGGTGGTTGTGCCTTGGAGTCACCATTTCCGTTGACATTGGTCTTCGGCTTTGCACCATTGCCATTTGGATTGGAACTATTTGCTGGCTGTTGCTGTTTAACGGCCACTGGAGGATTTGGCTTTGGTTGGTTTGCCTGAACAGGTGAAGTTGCCACTTTGGCTGCCTTCTGTTCGTTCGGTTTTGGATTTGGTTTGACCGGCTCAGCCTTCACCTTGGCTTTGAGTCCATTTTTTGCCTCCACCGGCTTCTTCTGTTCATTCGGCTTTTGATTTTGTTTGGCAGGGGCAGGTTGCACCTTGGCCGCCACAGTTTTCTTAGGTTCATTCGGTTTTGGATTTAATTTGGAGCCAGGAGTTGTCTCCACCTTCAACTTGAGTTTGTTTTCAGTTTGGGCATCAGCACCAGTTTTTTTGCCTTGTCCGTTTGCAGGCTTGTTTTCAGCGCCTTTGTCCTTGTTGTTGGCTTCAGTAAAAAAGGTGCTTATGTTACTAAAGTTTAGATTTGGAATTTTTCGATTTCATACTGAACGACCCCTTAACATTGTCCTTAATGTCATCAGTGAGATTGCCATCGCCCCGGCGGAAGATGTAGCCACTCCTGATCACGCAGTTATACATGTCCGTCCGCTGGTTCTCGGTCAGATCGGCGAACATATCCAATTTGGGGTCCCAGAAGAAGAGCAACTTGCCCTTGGCCGATGTCAAAGCGAGGGTGCGGCCCAACTTGTCGAGCATCTGGAAGGAAGAAAGCTTAGATCTATTTCCACCCAAACTAGCCTTTCTGAGCTCATGTTTCGTGACGAATCGAGAACTGAGCCAATTAAATTCTGATATTCACCTCGATCAGTATCTCTTTGAGTGGCTTCTGCCAGTAGCTGTCGTTCTGAACGGTCACCTCCCATAGGAACAGCGTTTTGATGTAGTAGCTCTTAAGGTTGCCCATATTATTTTTCGTGTTCCTGTGCTGCTTTAGCAGTCGAATGGCGTTCTTCAGGTTGTTCTTGCCATGGAGCAGCCTGCGCTCGGCATCGTAGTACGAGGCCCTGAAGGATGGGTTATTGTTTTGGGCTGGCTTCATGGGCTTGGGAATGGCATCCCAGTGGGGTGTTTGCCCAAAGTGCTCCTTCTGTGCCTTGGCCAAAACGGACTGGGCCGCCGATAGCTTGATGGCCGGGACAAAGTCCACGGAGTACTCGTAACGCCCCTTCACAAAGATCGTGTGGGCGGGACCGCACTTCTTGTAGCAGATGGGCGACACCACACCGTCCACCTCGATCTGGTTGCCCATCTTGTTGATTGCCTGGCTCATCAAGCCCTGCAGCGAACTCTGCAGCTTGTCCTCCAGCAACTCATTCTTGCCGTTCACTATCTTCTGCAGGAGCTGGAAGACCGCTCTGTGGTGATTCCGGATGGTCTCCATCACCTCGGTCATGTCCAGGATCACGTTGCCTTTTCAAATCAGAGTTGTTACGCAATTGAAACAGATTCCGTAACAAAATCCTCACCTGGCTTGCGGGGATCGGCCCTCACCTTGATCTTGTCATTCTCGGGAAACACCAAGTGAATCACCAAGTCAAACTCATCTGGCATCGACACCTTCAGGTTATCGCCGTAGCCACCTATCAAGGAGAAATCGTGTACATTACTTAAGAACTAGGTTAACAACAAGCGTTATCCAACGAATGCACGTTATCTGTTGTATTCCAGGAACTTACTAAGGAAGTCGAAAGATAAAAGGAATTTGAAGCCCATCACATAACAATCTAAAATCGCTTAAGCTTGAGAAGTAACTATTTATGGGATATGTCAGCTTCATTACGTCTTTATAACGAATTTGTTGTGCTAAAATCTATTCAAGAAAGTTTTTGGTGAGAAATATATTACTCTTATAATGAAAGAAGCTTCTAGAATTTCTTATTAAGAGTTGGCTGGGTCGCATTGAATTTGAGTACACGTATGTAACAGAGAGTTGAGAGACTCGTTCTGTACATTTAAAAGTTTGTATATTCATAGTGTTGGTTAAATCTGTGGTGGTAACTTGTAAGGGGCTATTCCCTCTACTATTTAATTCACAATACAAATAAATTTAAAAGTACATAGGAGTAATTATCTCGCTGCCCACTCTCGATGATTACTTAATATATGAAAGGCCACTAATATTTTTAATTTGCCCTAATTGAATTCAATTTTAATTTAGTTTCTTTTATCACTGTAAAAACTAAGTTTTTTTAGATGTTCGGCACTTGTAAATGTAATGCTATCAGCAAGGGTGTAAAACTTTCGGCGCTCGCCAATCATACTTTTCCGGTCGTATTTTGGTTTAACGTTTGCTGCTTATCGCAGCTAAATAGTGACGTCACAACATCAATGCAGGTTGTCTAGCTAAAGCAACTTAGTTGCAGTCTCGCTTTTTCGCTTCGAGGAAAGTTACAATTCCCCAGGGCAGAAAACTGAGAACATGGAACAGGGAGCTTACCGCCCAGTGTGTATCCATTGACCAGCTTGCCCAGAACGTCCGATCCCTTCCACTCGGTGTACAACTTGTCCCGCAGGGCGTTGTAATGGGTGGTGTACTCCTTCCGGTGCTGATCGAAGTTGACGAAGTCCGCGTTCGCCTGGATGAGGCTATCTTCCAGATTCCTTGCCATATCGCTGCTACTGCTGCCGAATTGCTTGCTTCTTCGAATGCCGCCGTTTCCTATCTGAACTATCAATTTCACCGGCTGGCGAGAGGAAACGTACTGTTCGCTCTGTTTTCGCTCTCCGCGGTCTCAACTCTCACTATTTCAGCTGATTGACGTTCGAATTTCGAATTGCGAAGAGCGAATGTATCTTTGTTTGCGGAGAAAGAGCAGACTGGCAACAAACAATTAACCCATGAGAATTTAAACAAATTTTGGGTTATCAAATATTATATTTTAAAGTAATGTTATTTATGTAGCAATTAAAATAAGCTACATGGTCAGAAAATAATACTATTAAATAATAAAGACTTTTTTTTAAGTTTTAGGGTAATTTTCATAGCTATAAAAAAATAATTAAATTATAAATCTGAATAAGAATCTATAAATGCCAAAAAGTCAATTGATACTTGAATTTTGACCACAAAAGAAAAGATAAAATCAATTGATATTAAAGAATCTTAATATGCTTGAACCTTGGAGATAAATAAAAAACAATGCTTGGTTATATTGTAAATATTCTAAATATGATTATTATTATTTTGTTCAGAGCTATGTATTAAACAAAACTACTGTGATAATAATATAATGGCAAAACAAATAATGCTTTTAATGCAGAATACCACCAATTTTCAAGGAGAGGGTTAACAACGCCACCAAATGTTTACAAAGCCGGTTCTGGAAATTCACTCAACACAATCTGTGAAAAATTTGGGACTTCCCCATTGTCCACAGCATAAGGAATTCCTGATAAATTCAGAAAAAAATAAACAACTAACAGGACACATGGGTTTTTAAAATGCAATTTCAAGAATATTTTATTGATCGGTATTTTTAATTTAAGTGGTATTCATATTGGTTTTCCATTAGCGCGTCAAATTTGCAGAATTGAGAGAACAATCATAATTCATTGATCCATAAGTTGAATGTTATTACATTTGCTTCTTGCTTCGTTTGACTTTGGTTTTTCGCTTGTTTTGTTTTATGTATGCACGTATAAATACTAGGGAGTTGCAAAAATATGTTACAATAACAATCAAAAGTACGATCGATAGTTGGTACGTTGGATAATTAATAGATAAATAGATTAACAAAGGCGTAGGCCAATAAAGCGTGGAATCTGCTGTAAATCCTAGTTCTCAACTAAGGTGTGTGGGAGGGGGTCTTGAATTTCGAGGGTTTTTCGAGGGACAACCCATGGAATTGAAACCACTTTCAGCTATCGGGGTTCAAAGCGGATTTCGGATGGAGGAGGAGGAGAAATTAGCCTGTCCTGATCTGATCTGAAATGTTCTTCTGCTATCGGAGGTTATCTTCCCTTTGGTACAGATATTTCTGAATCAAAGTCGGCTGCGGGTTCTCATTGTTTGCATTTATGCTCAGTTGCGATTCATTTTAGTTAAATATATGCTTATGTAAAAAAGAGTAAAAAGACGCGCAGATCTCGCGCTGGCGCCAAAACTTAATGATTAGCTTACAGCTATATATATATATATATCTGCCCGTTAAATATCTATTTATTTGCGCGAGCTGCCCAATATTGTTAATATGCCATGTTATCGGGTTGTAGTAGAAAATTGGAAGAGAAAAAGAGCGGCGCAAATGCCAAGTTACACGATAAGTATGCTCTATCTATGCGAGTGTCTATTTATAATTGATTTTTACACACTTAATTGTAATCGCATGCTTGGTGCTCGATTCTTGCGATAAACAATTTCCGATTGACCAAAGTAGCCATCGATAAACACAACTCAAAGGTAATCGTATAAATATATGTATAGGTATCTATCTAATCGCAGATACATTGAGAACATTAAGAAACGTTTCGTGTTTTTGGTTGTTTGCTAGAGTTGTATAATTAAGAGTTTAGGTTTAACTTTGAGACTTTTGCACAGCATTTATTTTTTATACATCCTCGTTTATGTTATATATATTCATATGTCTATATGGTATTCCCCGTACAAGTACAAGTCGAGTAAAAACCCCTCTATACAAATCCAAAATCAATGTAAACCAGTGAATCAAAAATAAATGCGAGTTTCGTTAACTAATCCGAGTGTAAAAAGTTTGGAAGCCGGACAACAAACAATCGAAAGAAGTGACACCTATAGAAGGACACTCTAGGGATAGGATAGATGGGGATTTTATTTTGGAGGAGTAGGGCTGCAGCTACCGTAGAGCGTATAATGAATCAGTCTTTGCGCGTCACAAGTCATTAATCGAACGGGGAAACGATACGATAAATATATCGAAATCAACGCTAAGCGGGGTTCGGATTTTTCGATTTTTCGGATCGGGAGTGGGAGTGGGAGTGGGCGTGGCGGCTACTAATACGGATTCGACTGAGGATCCTCGGGCATACAAACCGTACAAAAACTAGCTAGATACAAACATACAATACACATTATCAGTATTATCATCGATTCGATTCGATTTGGTTTGGTTTGGTTTGGTTTCCGTTGTATACAAAGTAGATAATATTCGAATTACAATTATAATTGCGGTACGAGTACGTAATTAGTGTAAACACGGTAAAACAAGTTAACAAGCTTTAATGCAATTATACCGCCTCGAACTCGAATTCGATTTCGCTTAGAGTCGACGTTAACGTTAGTTTAGAGTAGAGTGTGAGTTAGAGTTAGGTGTGGGTTAGCTTTGAGCCTAGCCAAAAATTGAATTACAGAATCGAGAGCGTAGCGTAGTATGCAAAGTGGTAGTATTTCCATATCCATATCCATATCCATATGTATATCGACGCAACGCATATCCGATCAGATATCCGCCGGCCGGCTTGTTTACTCGTAATTGGTGCTTTTCCATTTCGTTTAGGTTTAGGTTTAGAGTTACAAAAAGTACTTGGAGTAGAGTAACGAATAAAAATCTCATCTCTGCCCTCGGCTATTCATATATGTGTGTTTGCTGTTATCGAATACAATACAATACAATACGTACAATAAAAAAATGTATAATTAGATTTATAATTTCTTTAGAATCGAAGTTCAATGCAAATGAACGCCAATAGCTGCGTGGCGCCAGCGTTTTAACCTTCTTCTGCATTTGATTTCTGTTAACCTGAATACAAAAATACATTATCATAAATATATTTATATGTTCGCGTGTATATGTATGTATGTATATGTATGCAATTGGTAATTAACTGTCTGGTAACGACAACGACAAAACGATTTCGATACGGATTTGTATTTGCATTTGGATGTGGTTGCGTTTCAGGATGCACTATGCATCTGTGGGATGTCGGGACTGTAGATCCCCGATCCTGGAGCCCTGCTCTACTTGTTGTTCTGGGCCATCACATGGGGCGACTTGTAGAAGTTCTGCACGAATTCCGAGAGGCTGTAGACCGCTCCAGGACCTTTTCCTGCGCTCATGCAGATGAAGTCCCCCAGACAGTGCATGTTGGCTGGGAGTAGAAAGGATATAGGTCAGTAGTCCCTCTGGATATTCAGCTTAAGCACTTACTGTTCGAGAGAATGGGTGGATATGAGGGCGGCGGCTTGATCCAACTGCCATCCGGCCGACGCATGTGACGCCGATCCGACGAGAACTCAATGAGATATGTGTCTGCGGGTATGACTCTGAAGAATCTATCGGAAGTGAAGGAAACAGTTGCAGTCTGATTCCCCCTGCGGATCCTGCAAAGTACCCACCTGTGGTGCTCCGGTCGCAGGGCCAGATCGGAGCGGAACGTCTCCGTCACGTACTTGTGGAAGTATGTGGGAAAGGGCAGCGTGGTGTCCAGATCGAACACCAAACAGCGATTCAGCGAGGGATTGTGCATGAAGAAGACGTGGTAGTCCTGAAGTTGAGTGGTAATGTATAGAATGATAATTTACAGATATGTTCTAGGAGAGCAACCTAATTTCAAAGTAATCAATATGCTTTACATTTAAGACATGAATGTAATGAAGACTACAAATTGTTTTGTAATTTCCTCTTGTATGTTTCTTAACTATTTAATCACAAGTTAAGTAAAGTTTGCATTGATTTATTTATAATTATAATTATATACTTCAAATTCAACTTAAATTATCAAAGCTGGTAGTTAACGGTGCAGCGGCTGCCTTAAAATGTTGAGTGCTGCAACGTGAACAACCCTTTCTTAATGATTTGTTTTATTATTTCTAGATTTGATCAGCATTTTGATTGATTCAGAATCGGTTTAGCTCCCCCACTTCTGTGGCGCATCCACTTACCCATATCACAACTTGATCGTCGCCGCGTCCCGCCTTCTGGCGCCACAGGGGCACGGTGCGACCCTCGTTGGAGACGAAGACGGCGTAGCACTTGGACAGCTCCTCGGGCCGCGTACGCTTCACCTGCTCGCAGAGCTTCCACACGTTCTCCTCGCTGGATGGCGCAAAAACGCAAAAACAGAGGCACAGTCTTAGCAATCGATAGATGCCCTGCTTAGGAGCAAGATTAGCTGGTCCAAGTCTTAGTCACAGTCTGAGTTCCAGTCCGGGGCTAATCCCTGCACGAAATGTCAAGTGGCCCAGCCCAGCCCACTCTAACCTTTATCAGCAACAGGCCGCCTCTTTGGCATTATAATAATCGATTTTGCTCGGCACGCGGCTGACTTTTGGCCCGTGCTTCTTGCCAGTTTGGTGTTTATGGCTCTTTCGAATAAATTCCAATCAATTCTACTGCCACACATTGTTGCTCGGCTGTTGGAAGAATGGGCGGAGGGGTGGGCGGCCTTAGGAGCATGCGACTGGGGCATTAAACTAGGTGGCACAACACAAAAGCAGCCACATCAACAGTAACAGGTATAACAAGGACTCCGGGGCGTGGGGTTTCGAGTGGCAGAAGGGAGGAGTCAGGTGGCATGCCCCACTCAAGTGGCGCGGTCAAAAGTCGCGACTGAAAGTGGCTCGCGGCGATATCGTGAGCTGGTGTTATTAATGCCGCCAGGCAGAGATTGCTTTAAATGGGCGAAGGGTAGGGGTTTCCTTGGTGGTGGGGTGGTTCAACCCGAGACCCAATTGGAGAGGCTTTCCCAAACCCACACAGAAAGAAAAGCTAACATATGATAATCATTTTATGACTTTCACTGAATTGGTGGTGTGATTTAAAACCACCTAACTACTTTTGTATTTCAAAATGAATTATGATGGTGTTTAGATAATATTTCGCCATTTTCTCTCTCGAAGGACATTCGAACTTTTATAGCTATCAAATTATGAAGACCTGGTGTGAAAGAATTAATAATACCTGTACTTATAGTCTCTCTTTGCCAATATAATATATATATATATATATATATATAATTTTTGTTTTACTTTTAAAGCTTATTTCTTTATGGATTAATGTAAACGAAAGAAAGTTAGCATCAACATTACCTAACTCGAAGTCTCTATAAGACACACTATTTTTTGTTGGCAATAGAGAGTATAAATACAGATAAAAGAAATTCTCCAGAATGATAGTGGTTCAAGGTATGTTTGGCCTGAGCTGGTTTTTCTCAGTGCATTGGCCAAAATGCCAGAAGGCAGTGTCTAAACTCGCGAGCCGCTGCAACACGCAGCCCACAGATGGCGCCTGCTGTGGTGTGTATGCGAAGGAAAACGAGAGCGGTGGGTTTTCCAGAGTTTTCCTGGAAGGAGAGATGAATCTGAGTGCAAATGTGAGTGCGCGAGCAGTTGCGAATTAATCAATGAACATGTCCTGCGGGAGAAAGGGGGCGTTGGTGGGTGGAGGATAGTGGGTGGTTGGGTTGGATGGGTTGTTTGTTTGGCAGTTGGGCGTTATGAGGTCAGAGAACGCGACGACATTTTATCTGGCCATGTAAATGGGTGTGCGTGTGTAAAAACTTTTTTATGCTCTGCGCCTTTTACTTTATATTTTTTTGCCGCTTATTTTGTGCGAGATTGTGTGTGGGTGGCGGAACATAAAACTCATATCACGCGGCAGGATAAACAAGTCCGCGCCGCCGATTCCTCGGGGGACCGCCTGCCAAGTTGCCATTACTTTGAGCCCGTCGCCGCCATGCCATTGCCGCCATTTTTGCAATTAGCATTTTAAATATTGCAGCAACGCGGGGACATGATGAACATACACCATATATGTAGTGTATCGTATAGTATAGTACACTATAGTGTGGTATGTATTTTGTTTAATTTTTGCTTTGCTTTTCGAATGTTTTTGTTGTCGGTCGGTCGTTTGTTTTATAGTCGAAACGCGCCTCTCGCATGTGGCCATAAAAACGAACCCCATCCTTCAGCCCGTCCTACCCCACACACTCACACAGATACAGGACACACACACTAGTGCAGGAGCACACCAACACAGTGGCACGCTTTTCTTGTTAGCAAACATGACCGTTTGACCTAATTTCTGGAGCTGCGCAGCGCCAAACGGCGCCGCATCAGGATGCTCAGAAACAGGATTCAAACTCGGGACGCCAGAGGGGCGATAAGGAGGGGGTGACAAAAGGATGCCGGGACGCAGGACTCACAGGAGTGAGTGAGTAATGAGCGAATTTGAATGCAAAGCGAGGAGGAGCACGGAATAAGCGCTGGCATAATGAAAATCATCCAAACAGGACGAAGGACATGGCTCCGCTGAGTGGCGAATGTTGTTGCCAAAAGAGATAACGCACAAAAATAAAATATACATAATTAAAAGAAGAAATGCTCGGCAGTTGGGACTGACCAAGCATGAGATAATCACTCACAGAAGTGTGAACCGCAGTGGGAAAATGTGTCGAAAAACCTGTAGTTCTAAGACCATATCTTTTCTTACTTATCCGATTTCAAAGTGTCATACTTCTAAATATTTTCAGTTTAATCCTCTACAAATCTGCGTTTACAAGTTGGTTATTATGGTGTCAAAAAACATACACTTCTTAGATTTTAAACTTTGTGAAAAAAGAATGGAAATATAATTGATTTTAGTGATTTAAATATTCTTGTTTGTTATTTCAAAATGCATAAGTAACGATTAAGATCTTCTAATTTAGATATAAATACCAATTCTTTAAAAAGACAATCACCACATTAATCAAAATGGGATAAAAGCGATTTAATACGATGTCATTTTTATTTTTACCTGTTGAAACGTTGAAATATTTTTATTGATTCAATATATCTAACCTATTTTTGTTAATCTTATATAAAGATAAAATTTCTAGAAAAAATAAATGATACCCCAATCATAATAAACTTCAATCCCCAAATTTGAGCCTGTTGAAAGAATATCTCTCACATAACGAGTGACCACTGTGTTTAGTTTATTAGGCTGAGCCGTGTTCTCTGCAGCTTTCGACTTCCCCTGGGAGGTATCCTATATATCATGGCCATTAGCTGCGCTGCCACTGTGTTAATATTCAGGTGCTGAAGGTTGGGTGAATGATTTGGTCTGCCTAATGAAAAAGTTTTCCATCTCCGTGGCCCACTGCGTTCGCATTTTGTTGTTGTTTTCGTTTGTCGTCTGTCGTTAGCTGTTGCTTTTGTTCCTGCCCGAGGGGATATAGTATCCCCACTCCTCCACATATATATATATATATTGTATACAAATATATATATGTTTATTTACTCACCAGTAACAGGACACATAGGAGCAGTCCGCTATCTTGGGGAACAGAAAGTCCGTGGTCATCTTGATGCGTTCCGGGATCTGTGGTTCTGGTCGCCTCTATTGCTATTGCTATGGCTATGGATGTCCTTGGGGCAGGAGCTGATGTGGGTGGACGATTGCAGGGTGGATTGCCGGGGGCCAGGGGCTAATTGTCACTGGGGACTGGGAGATTGCGCGAGACACGAGACGAGCGATACACAATCACTGCATTATGCGTCGCTGGCTGCCTGGACAAAAGCAGGGTGTGTATCTATGTCTATGATGCGGTGGCATCGGAGGATGCTGGCCTGGCTAATCCTGATCCTGATCCCGACAATGCTCCTGCTGGCATTCCTCCATTCCCAGGTAAGTCCTCCTGCTGCTACTCAGATGATGTGCCTGTCTTGCCTGTCTGTCCTTATATTTTTGTTATTTTCCCTGTCTTTTTCTGGCTTCCAGGATGCTGCTCACTCACACTCTTGCACACGGACACGGACACACATACACATGCACTGGGCTCTCTCACGAAGGAGCCGATTTCTCGTTTTCGTTTCGTTTCGATTTTTGCGATTTAAATTATGCTGAGGACTCTGGAGCTTTTATCTCTTGTTGCTGCTGATTCTGCCTTTGGCTGCTGCGATTTTTGGCTTGTTTTGGAAACGCACACCTGCCTAAAAACAAACGCGCTCATCCCCCGTTTCCGATATATTTTTTTGAGGGGGGGAGCCGGACAGGGATAAGGGGGCGGGCAGGCTGACCAGGTGACAGAGCCTGGGGCAACACACTCAGCAAACCATGAACGTATATCCTTCTTGAATGTCGCAGGTTTTCTCCGATCCACAGAAAAGTGCAGCCAAATAGAGTGTGTCCTGGAGAATCGCAAGGAATGCAGGCTGTGTGTGTTTTTGGGCACCCTTTCTATCAGCTTTTCCTTTTCCCTTCCACGCTCTGGTGGTGACTTTTCCGCTTTTTTTCTCGGCGCACTCCGCTCCGTGTTGTGTACGCGTTCCCGAATTCGCACAGTGTGACCCACGGGGAGCACTCTAGAATTCCAGCACAAGTTCTGCCACAAAACGCAAAATCCGAAAGGGTCCCAAGTTTCACACTAACTCAAAAAGCGCGCGCAATTTGATTCAAAATACGTGGGTTAAATTGATGATTCAAACAAATTTTTTCTAGTTAGAATATATGAAACAATAATCTTTTAAAAATTAAATAAACAAATAAAAAAGCTTATACAAAAATAAATAAAAACATGAAAGCAGAAAGAGGGCCGATAATTAACTATTGCACAATATGGTGGACTTAAAATAAAAATCCATTAAAATGGAAGTTGTAGAAGCATTTTAACAAATGTAATAATATATTATTAAAACTCGCTATTAGTTGGTTGGGGACCAACTATGCTTAATTTATTCGTTGAAAAATTAATTTTTAATAATACAATTAATTAGTAATAAATAAAATTGTAAAATGTAGATGTTTTAAATAAATAAAATCGTAAAATGTAAACAAGCCAAAGTCCAATAAGCTTTTTGTCATACTAAAAATAAACTGGCCCAATAAGAAATCGACAATATGGGCAGCACTGCTATTTGTGGAAATGCCAGTGCTGCCCATAGCTCACAGACAACGACTAACAGCTATGCCATTCCCATAAATTAACTGACAAACGCTAACTTGTATGCTACTATCCAACGGTTTTTCGTTTTTCGGTTTACTTAAATTTTTACGAGCAAATATTTGTCTCTAACACCTTCGTTAATCAGCACTATCTAATCACTTTGATTGTTAATGGCCAATTGACAGCCAGCAATTTCGGCAAAGCCAATTAGTCTTCTCCACCTCCTTTCCCCACTGTCTCTTTTTTTTGCAGTACTCGACAAATATTGCGGCAGGCAAGGCGAAATACCTTTCATTCGATAAGATAAATCTGCGCAGTCTGTGTTGCCATTGTAAACGCTTCTTGGGTTGACTTCCTCCACACCCACGAGTTAATCGGAGCGACTGATAAGTAGTATCTGTACTATATGTTATAAGGCAGATTGACTTAACCCACCCAGATCGACGACCAAAGGCCCCTTGGGAACTTAACATTATTGTTATTTAAAGGGCGCTTAATATACCGCGACCAAAAAACTGATAAGGAGCAAATCTGACAGCTTGGCAACTGATCGAAAAGTATAGGAGATACGAGATACAAAATCCATATGGGACAAATTGGGCAACCCTTTACTAATCAAGAAGTCCCAGCCGATCAGTATTCTTCCATTATCAGCAATCAAAACGATCATGACACACAAAACGCAAATCTATCGGCGGGATGACGATTCTTATATGGCAGTTGTTGTAGTTGTTCTGCTGCTCGAACCGCTTTATCGCGGGAAAGAGAGAGAGAGAGCGAGGAGCGGCGATGAAATCCGTGTAGTTTGGGGGTCCAACAACGTGGCAAGCGGCATTCAGTTGGCTCCAGCGCTTTACCGTCGACGGGTTCGCTTCGCTCCGATCCGCTCCGCTTTGCAGCATTTGATTTGGCAGTGTACGTACCACTCGGATCTTGGATCCACCTCGAGTCACGACCTTTTTTTTTGGTGAGCGGCACAGAACCTGTTTACCCGCCTCGTGGATTTTTGGGCAGCAGGTTGTCGAATCCGGTGAAAACCTAATCGCATCCACACAGAATACAGAAGTAAGTGCTCCCGAATGGAATTGCCTGGCAAGCGAATCCATTGAATGTTTTAATTGGCATCGATTGATCAAAGCAACGCACTCAGCTTGCGATCCACAAACAAAACGATCGCTGAGTCGAGGAATCAGCTGTGGCCCAGTCCCACTTTCAGTTTCCAGTGGACATCGCGAGAACAGGGTCAACAATCGCCGCACTTCTTATCGGCCATATATATTATGTTAGTACGCGTATTAGCGAACTGCCGATGGCAAGGCCATCTCATAGACTTACTTATAAAAGTCATAAACAAGAAAACAGGAGAGGAAGGTTAGATGTCCACACCGAAGCTACGAATACCCTTGTGCAACAGGTCATTATACATAGGAGTAATCCGGTTAGGTTCGAATAAGGAAACTAGTTTATTGGTTTATTGGGTGGTGCCCACGTTTTTGTAATCAAAGATATGCTACTTTACAGGCTAAAAAAAAAAAAAAAAGAAAAAATTAATATAGGAACAAAACTAAAGCCATTATTTTATGTAGGATACCTATCTGAAAACTCATTGTTATTTGTTTAATACTGTCCAAACAACAAAAGTCTAACATCATTTGGTTGTTATGGTTACCATGTCATTAGTGATTTAAACACTGTGTAATTAGAGTTTTTAGCAATAAATATGATTCTCATACTTATCTTGGTTACAGAGAGAGACAAGTCTAGCCATAATCTATTGTGTTCTTATAAAGCAGTTGAGCTGGGCAAATATGCAAACCCTATACTTTATAGTAGCTTTATAAAACTTAAGTTATATGCAAAGGCAAGCAACGAATGAGTAATCATAACTGATGAATTGTTTGTTTGCTTTTCTTGGGACTATGGCATAGCGTGGTAAATTTGCATTGCCCTTTAGTGGAGCACGGGCAATAACATTTGGGTTAGGGCCAGTTATCTGAGCAGGAAGTGTTTACCCACCGTGAGAGTGCCAGCAAATGGCAAATCAGAATCATTCCCGTTTAAAAACTCTCTTCTTTTTTACCAGAGATAAGACGAAATCCCACCTGCCAACCAACGAAATGGATGAGCAGCATCGAAACCTGCAGCAAAATGGCCACGAAGTCAATGAGAAGCAGGCCAGGATCGTGTCGGGATTGGATCGACCGCTGAAGACTCCACCTCCTGGGGAACAGACAAGGGCAGTGCGACGCCAGGTGGTCGCCGTCATCTTGGCCAACGTGGGTGTGATCTCCACGGGCATGACCTTGGCCTTCCCCACCGCCACACTGCACCAGCTGACGGACAACACGGAGCCAGTGCATCTGAGCTCCTCCCAGGCCACCTGGTTCGCTTCGGTAAATGCCCTATCGGCTCCGCTGGGCGGTTTGCTGTCCGGCTTCTTGCTGGACAGGATCGGAAGGAAGAAGTCCCTGATCGTGCTCAATGTACTCACTATCCTCGCCTGGATTTTACTGGCCACTCCCAGCGAAAGCAACGCTCAAGCCTTCTTTTGGCAACTCGTCGTATCACGATTCATGCTGGGTGAGTTTAAGATCACTCGATGACTGTTCTTAAAAACTAAAGAATTACTTGGATTCCCAGAGAACCCAAGTTCAATATATTCAGATAGAGAAAATCATATTTATTTCTGTAGTAACAACTTAATCATTTATCCTATATTCTTTTCTAGGTATTGGCATGGGTCTGGCCAGTGCCCCTCCAGGAGTTTATGCAGCCGAGATCAGTGTGCCCAAAACGAGGGGTAGTCTTATCCTGGGCACATCCATTTCAGTGGCCGGCGGCATCACAGTTCTCTACGGGATTGGGTATTGCATCCGCGATGACTTCCGACTGATTGCCATGATCTGCTGTGGCTACCAGTTGGTGGCCCTGCTCTGCGTCCTCCCACTCCCCGAAAGTCACTGCTGGCTGCTGGCCAAAAAGCGGGTGACGGAGGCCAAGCGGTCACTCAACTACTTCCGTGGTTTTAACAAATCGGGTAAGTTTCTTCCTACTTACTGATTAAAGTTACTTTGACCTTCAGAGTGCAAAATAAAAAAGGAATATCTAGATCTTTGTAAATCGTTCTACGTCAGACGTAAAATTTATTTATAACTGCAAACAAATCAAAGTCAAGTGGCGTCTTGCAATCAAATGATGATAACCTATTTATTTGTCCTACCACTGGCTTATCTTTTTATACCCGTTACTCGTAGAGTAAAAGGGTATATTGTATTCGTGCAAAAGTATGTAACAGCTAGAAGGAAGCGTTTCCGACCCTATAAAGTATATATATTCTTGATCAGGGTCACTAGCCGAGTCGATATAGCCATGTCCGTCTGTCCGTCTGTCTGTCCGTCTGTCCGTCTGTCCGTCTGTCCGTCTGTCTGTCCGTCTGTCTGTCCGTATGAACGCTGAGATCTCGGAAACTATAAAAGCTAGAAGATTGGCATTTTGCATGCAGATTCTAGGAGTTCCTACGCAGCGCAAGTTTGTTTCAAAAAGGTGCCACGCCCCCTTTAACGCCCACAATCGCATATATACGATTTTAAAAATTTAAATATTTCGGAAAAGTAAAAATGCAGTTTTATTGTGTTTATCAATACCTTTCGAAATGTAGAAGAAATTTTTCAAATCGGACCATTCGTTAAAAAGTTATGCGTGATCAAAGTTTCTATCTCCATCTCCCTCGCACTCCCTTTACCTGAGTAACGGGTATCTGATAGTCGGGGCACCCGACTATAGCGTTCTCTCTTGTTTTGTTTAGCATTTAAAATTTAAAAAGGCCATGGTTGGCAACGACTTAAGATTGATTAGAGTGATGAAATAGCTTTTAAGTGTCATGTGTTATGGATTGAATTAAAGTCTAATTTTTTCTCAGATGAAATCACACACCCCCAAGTGCTGGAGGAGTTCCAGATTCTGCAGAAATCCCTGCAACAGCGGGACACCGAGGTGAAGGAGTCCTTCTGGCGGAGTCTCAGGCAACCGGAGGTCCACAAGCCACTGGTCATTCTGATGACTCTGTTTGGCTTCCAGCAGCTAACGGGCATCTTCGTGGTCATCGTGTTCGCCGTGCAAATTTCCTCGGAGGCGGGCATTGAGATCGATCCATTCATGTGTGCCGTGCTCATTGGTTTGGCCCGCCTGGTCACCACCTGTCCGATGGGCTACATCCTGGAATTGTGGGGTCGCCGGAGGGCGGGCATCATCTCGGCCTTGGGCATGTCCGTCTGCATGTTTCTCTTGGCCGGACACAGTCGAATCAAGTTCCTCAATGAAGTTCCCTACCTTCCGGTGGTGGCCATTGTGGGCTTCATTGTGCTGAGCACTCTGGGCCTCTACACCCTGCCGTTCTTCATGATCTCCGAGCTTTTTCCGCAAAGGGTTAGGGGTCCAGCTTCGGGACTCACGGTGGCCGTCGGCATGTTCATCTCCTTCGTGGTGCTCAAGACTTATCCCGATCTCAAGGGCAGGATTGGCATGTCCAACTGTTTCATCTTCTTCGGGTTCATGGCTTTGCTGGCCCTGGTCTTCATTTACTGGGCTCTACCCGAGACCCGTCGTCGCACGCTCCTGGAGATCGAGGAGCAGTTCCGCTCGGGACGGAGTCGCCAAACTCAAGACCAGGCTGATGTCGAAATGAAGGAGGTCTTTGTCCGAAGGCCAGAAGAATAATGTTTTTAGGGGAGGTGCAAGCTTTAGAGAGTGACATAATTTACTTAAGTAGACCCCGTCGAGTGCTTAGTACTGTGATAGACAATAACAACAAAAGCAGAAAGACAAAAACCCATTTTACAAAATAAGAAATAATAATTCTTTGTTTTCCTCCTGAGAGGTCTAGAAATTTTACAAAAATAATATAAGAATAAACTTAGAGGAAACTAGAAAATGATTGTATTTTAATTGGTTATATGTTATTGAATTGTCTATAATTATTTACTGCCTGTAAAATTTGAAACCTTAATACAATACAAACTTTCCTGTTACAAGCGAAAGAAAACTGTTTGTATAAATATAAATCATACATGTAGGCCACCTAAATAAAATTTAAAAGACTTAAAAATAATCGCAGTACATAAATCTAGTTTATGTTTTTAAAAAATAACAATAGCTGAGTTCTAACTATAGTTTGTTTATTTTGAGTAAGCAGCGTGGAATCAAGTAGATTAAGTCAACCTATGCCGCTTGCTGATAAGAGTCTAGCAAATTCTTACCTGCTCACCAACACATTCTTACTTTGACTTACTCACTTTTGAGCACCCTGATATTCTCACACACCTGCTCTCTAGACAGTGATATAAATTAGTGGCACGCACACCTACTTTACCTCGATCTAACCTCTCAATCTTTCACGGAATTCAATTAGAATGTTGCTCTTCGAAAGTCAAGTTCGTGGCCAACGTCATTCGTTTTACGATCAAAGAGAACGAGAATCAATATCAACTTATGGGGAGAATGAGAGAAAACGTAGAGCGTAGCCGACAATCTGATTCCTATTTCCATACACAAAGTAGGCGCGATTATGCAAACTGCAGTAGGCGCGTTCGATTAATGCAGATTACGTAAGTATTTTAACGGGTAAGTAAGTAATTAAAAACCACTCCGTACCTAATGTGGTTGCGCTTTTTTACGGGATCGGATCATTTATCTACCAATTAATCTGGAGTTTAAAAGATTAATTGCCGAAATTGTAAAATAAAAATGTTGGCAATATTAGACTTAGAAGAATTTAATAAAGATTTCTTAAACATTTTTTAGAGATCTTGAATTAAACCTTGATAAAAAAACAATAAAGTAAAAGTCAGATTATAGAATGACAAGCAATTGCCAACAGATTAACTGGCTACCTTACTAAGTCTTGACTAAACAGTAACTCTAGAAAAGAGAGAGCTACAATCTTGTATACAAATATAGAGTTATGCATTCACCGATGGAACCATGGTTCTAAGACTTCTTTTCAAAACAGATAGATAAATGTTGTTTAGCAACGCAAGACAATTGGGTTTTTTCAGTATTCAATATTTGTTTCAGTACTTCTAAATTCGAAACTAAAAATCATTCTAAAATTTACTCCTTCGTTATTATCTGAAATAAGGAAATTGCTTTAACAGAACGTTTCCCAGCTTATTTACAAAAAAACCTTTGTACCCGAAAATTAAATGGTTACTTAAAAAAAAAACCTTTGCAGTTCTCTGATGTCTACGTGTGTGGTCGAATTGAAATATTTCTTTCAATACTCGTTAACTGGTATTCAATAATAGCGTAGCAGATGCAATTGCCAGCAATTAAGTGCAGTGCCGATCTTCTTTATGGTAATGTTAATGGTAATGTTGATAATGTGGACGGACCGCATGTTTCCAGCTCGGGCCGAAAACTCAGCACCACCTTATGCCACGGGCATTGAAAAAATGGAGGAAAAATCTGTTCTGCTTTGGTCGTTAACGAGCTGCAGTTTCGGCAGACTCTCCAAGATGCGTGTGCCTCCAAATTCGAACTCCTTGCGAAGCGCGTCAAAAGCACATTCTGACCAGGCTTCTTTCCCCCTAAAACGATCCGCATCCCAACACTCAGAGAAATGGTATATTTAAATTAATAACTTAAAAGTCCCTATACTAATTCATATTTAAGCACTGATACCATTGTCTCTTTTTTAGGCATGATTAACTGTCCTATTACAAGCGAAAACATTTAAATAAATAATTTAAATTACTCTCCAAGAGCTTTTAAAACAATCAACATTTAAGTCAAGAACCTAGAGGGCTTAACCATTAAAAAATACGGAACATTTTGAATATTCCGACGTTAAAATGTTGTCTGGTTCTAGAAGTCTAGGATTACCACAACATAAAATGCAGCTCAGGTCCTGTTTTGTCGTTCTCAGTTTAAACATTAGGTAGGATTATAACTGCAAAGTTCCATACGTTTTTCCAGTTTAAAACCTTCCTTTGACTTATCATTTAGACAGAACAACATGTCTAAGTGTTTCACTTTTGGTTGCCATACAGAATGCAAATTAAGAATAATCTCAGTATTGCATTATTTAGAACTTTTTCCTCCGTGCATCATGTGGTTTGCTTGGGGCGTCGAGGCGTACGTTTATGTAATTATAATAAGTTTTCAATTTTATGGCTTAATAATGCGGTGGGCAGCGGACACAGGGCAGCAGGCGGCACCGGGCAGGTAGCTCCTGGGCCTGGACCAGCTCGAAGTGCATCCGTCGCCAGTTGGAGCTGCCCCGTCATTAGGCGACAAGCGTTTAGGTCATGTCAGAAGCGGAGCAGCCGAAAATTGTTTTGCGGCGATTAAGTCAACAAGACGGCGCTAAAATGGACCACAAGAAGGTTGAATGAACTGATGCTGGGGACGGGATAATGCCGAAAATTGATGAGCTGCAAATGTGCGAACATTAAAGTTTCCGCTGGCGATGAGCGGCGGCCCAACCTCCTCTCAAACTCCATCCATCCATCTCGTACTCCTTGGTCCTGGTAATCCGAACAACACCTGCCGTGAATTTCGCACTTGGACGCATCAATTACCGCACGGCGGATGGCGAATGTCAACGGCACGAAAATCGCAGTTAAATGGTACGTAACGATTGCTGTGCCAACAAGGAATTGGACAATCGGCGAAGGTGACATATGCGTAACTCGAAACAACAGCAATCTGTGCGGTTTTCCGAGGATTCGGAGCAGGAGTAGGGGTAACCGGCTATTCAACGATGCGTAAACCGCATCGGGGTGGGATGATCATCCTCGGCATCCAGCATCCTTGACGATCATCCCATTGCCCGCTCTGCGGATCTGTCATCATTATCCTCAGCAAACTCAGCACGACGCTTGTTTTGGGTTCGGGGTGGCGGCTTTGTTTTGTTTTGATTCGAATTTGATTATGTTTATAAGGCAATAAATTAGAAAATCAACACCACAACTATGACTATAACCGCTTTGTAGCGCTTTGTTCGCACTGACAATGCATCGAGAGTCCATTAAACGGGTAATTTATGGTTGGCCCGAGAGTCGAGTCCTCTTTTAGGGACCTGGGTGGGTCCTGGGATCTACCCCTTACCTACTCGGCCACCCTCCTCCCCCCGCGTAAATGACATTGTTAAAACGCCCCAAGTGACTGCAATTTGTTGCCGCACTTAATGTAGTTATAATTTTTAACAGCACTGCACTTTTATCCTGGATCCATTGGGTGCATTAAGCCCTAACCCTTCGCCTGATCGCCCGGACTGATTGCACACCTTGAGGATCGAGCTCGTCAGCAAATTACAAGTACGCCAAAAAGGGAAGAAAAAGGTATCTGGGGATCTGGGGTATAATGCAGCTGCAACTTGGCAAAAGAACTAAGAATTGTTATGCAGACTATTAAATACCTGGTGAAAAATCCACAGATATCTTGGAATGTATTTTGTTTAAAGTAAGTAGTTTGTAGATCTATTAAGAGTACTCGTATACATTTTAAACCTCTACTTAAATTTCACAAATTAACTTTTAAAAGGTCGAAACTATTACAATGCAATATGTATTTAAAGATAATCATAAAATTGTAATTTATTTAGCCAAACAAATTATCGATTATTAAGTGTTTTTCAAATGGTCAGAAATAACATAAACTTTTATTTTAAAGGCTGGTGGGTTAAAGCCTTTAAAATAAATCTTAGCAACCATAATTTATGAATATGTTTCCAGGCGGTATCATAACTCTAAATAAACATAATATACCCATTGAGAGGGCCAGTACCTGGTATAAAGTGTACACACTCCTGAAACCGATCATCGCCCATCGATCAGCGAGGTGGGCAAAAACCAGAAGTGATTTTTGGCAGCATTACAAATTCGGCACTCATGAGGAGGGAGGGGGAGGGGAAAGGGTCTTGGCCAGAACCTGTGTTTACCTTCGATCCGATAATCGCAGCGACAGCCGGGAGGTTTGGCCTCACTTTTTAAAGTGTTTGGCAAGGTGTGCAGACTGCCACATTAGCAAAAGCAGAAGGGATTCACCTTGGGTTGGACACCATGAAAGGTGGAAGCTGGCAGGAATGTGATGCGATCGCACCTAGTCGAGAAAGACAACTAGTCACCCAGCTCTAGGTGGCCCCTCTCTAAAAAAAAAAGGAGGTGAGAAAGCAGCGATGAGATGCAGCCAGGAAAGACGAAAGATTTATGAACGAATGGGCGGTGGGCGTCTCTGCCTCAACTGCTGGTCGGTGTAAGTACTTTGGCGAGACTTTAATTTTTCAATTAGTCGAGCTACCGTATTTGACTTTTGCTCCTCGCCAGCCGAGTTATCCAGCCAGCAAGACGACCACCGCCAAAGGGGCCAACGAACTGGATGATCATCCTGTGTTTCGGACTTGGGCTTGAGATGGCGATTGTGATTGCGACTCGAACCCGAACTTCACTGAATCCCTGGGATTGACTGGCCTGGGTCGTAAAAATATTGCATTTAGCAGGCAGAGCGGCGGACGCAAACGCTTTCCGCGTTTTACGATTACGATGCAGCAGCATCAGTAGCTGCAACAGCAGCAGCAACAGCAGCAGATGCAGCAATGGACTCGAAGTGCCAAAGTTTTATGGTTACTTTAACACTTTTTCTGGCCTGGTACTTGGGATATGGGAACCGACATCCGACAACGATCCTTGGGAAGGAGCAGGGCCGGCGGGCAGGAAACGGAGCAAGCTCGATGCCTAGACAAGCGTATAATTGATTTGGATTCTATGATGTGTGCTGGCCAGTTTCCAGAGGCGTTGCGAGTCATAAAAACCATAATTACAGTCACACACAAGTGGAAGAGGTGAGATCAAGGAGTTGCAGTAGTTGGTAGTTTCCATCATAAACTTAGGTCACTCAAGAGTGGTCCCTTTCGTGGACTTTCAAGACGAAGAGAAGACTTTAAAGGGTTCGAGTTCAGTGAGCTTTGAAAGTCCTGGGGTCTTTATTAACCGAAAATTGGGGCACCCTGTTCCCGCATCGATTATAGGGGCCCAATCTATAATCTGTATGTCCTTTGGCACATCCTATCATTAGCCTGTCAGCGGTTCGAGCTTCGGTGTTTGCCTCTGTCTCTGGCGTGTTTATTGTGTTTGATCAAATAATTTCTGTTTTTATGGCACAGTAAATGTCCTGGGTCCTTAAAGTGCCATGTCTCCTACCCTCCTTTATTTGCCTGCCAGCTCCTTGCTTTTCTCCTTGTTTTTTCAATTTAGCCATAATTATGTCAGACATTTAATTTATCGCAAGCAAAGGTTCTCGTCCTTCCGCTGCTGCCCCATCTTCATCACGCAAACTTTTGGGCCAGGACTCTAAGGGTGAGTCCTTTCTTCGCCCGGCAGACGAGCTCTCTCTCCTCCTTTTTGGGCGGCCATTTTGCCAGTGTGTCAGGGTTCAGTGGAGCGCAGGACGAGAGTCCCTTAATGTGAGAAAATGTTACAATTCCAGCAAAGTCCTGTCAGAGTTCCTCCCGTAATTGCTCATTTTGCTTATCGGCCCGCCCAATCCAAAGGCTCTGCAGGTGTGGAATGTCCTGCTCTAGGGGGATCAATAAAACCCTGTAGACTCCATAAAAATTTCGATTTGTGGAAATTGCGTTTTTATTAATTGGCTCTGACATGCCAGTCACTCGAGTGTCCTAGTTTACCAATTTCATTTTTATGGCACTCGAAAATCGCGTGCCTATTGTCCGCCTACAAGTCCTTTTTGGAGTGGGAGAGAATTGCGGCTAGTTGTGCAACTCCTAGAAAAGGTACACGATCCTTAGATCATTTTATCTTATCGTTTGTCGGCAACTGTTTACGAAATTGCCCGATTGTTCGGTCCGTTTTGGGCCACGCGCGTCTGTAAAGCAAGGTGCAACAGGATCGAGGACCCAGAATCGAGGATCGGGAGTAAGGAATAAGGAGGCGAGGCGAGGCGAGGCTGCAATGCAACCTGCCTGACTGCATCCATCATCGCGTGGCAGCAATGCTCATGATTTGAGGCACATGCGTAACCTGCGCCAATTTGGCGACCCGCACACACTGAAATCGCCTTTGTCTTTATATATAAATTTCTGGTTGTCCCTTTTTCGTACAATTTTCGGGACTCCTTCGGCTTGCATCTGCTGATTGCAAAGAACGGGGGCCCCGAAGCGAACCCTCAATTAGGCCGCCCCTGCAATTAGAAAATATATTCCATACCAGGCTCCGTTTTTTTTCGCTCCTCAAAGGCATGCAAAAAAAAAAAAGAACAAACTACAGTTAATTTGCCGCAGGTTTGGGGCAACTAATTTCAGATTAGAAGGGCGCCCACGCCACGAAGACCGAGTTTTTGCTCGATTCCCAGGCGCATTCCTGCGGACACCGCTCATTAATGACCATGAAATCTAGACTCTGCCCCGGAGTCATTTCCGCAGACTGACCTCCAGGCACGAGCCGCCCAAAAACACAGCTCCTAAATCGGGAGCAGCTTCTGTTTACTGGGTTTTTTGTGGCATCCCGCCTAATGAGTTGGTGGCACGCATTGTGAAATGCCTCGCCTGTGGCTGGATGATTTCGGCATAATTCGATTAGGCAAAAAGTTGATGTGGGTGTCAGTCCTTTGCCAGGGTCCTCTCCCCTCCAAAATACAGACCCAAATCACACCCCGATCCGAACTGGATTCCATTTCAATTACAATATAAGCGAGTGTAAGTTCTGCGATTGCGATCGCATTTGGGCGCGTGGTAAGCCAAGTCAATCGGAAGAAGTTAAGCCGATTGTCCCGCCCCTTTTCATTACAGCTCGTTTTTTGCCGCGCCGGAGGTGCACAACCCCTGACACCCGCCTAATAAAAACCGGAGCAAACCCACTTCCGTTGCTCATTTGAATGCCCTTGCAAGAAGGGTGTGATGAAAGTTTCATTGGGTTTGTAACTTAACAGGAAATGACTTAGCCTAAACTGTTCAATAAAAAGTATTTTGCTTGGTAACACATATTATAACTTATATTAAAGTGATTGAATAGTAACCAAAAGTTAAAGAATATGTAAGCTTTTTGGAAAAGTAAATAGGACGAAAGGTCCATAATTGAGATCAAAGACTTTCTTTCCTTGAACTAAGAAGGCAACACGATTTAAATAGTTTAATTTGTGCATTAAAAATGTATTCTTCTTAATGTTTTACATTTATTTTTGTGTAGTTTTTAATAATTACTCATAGGGCGGAATAAATATTTAGACGAGTTTGTATATTGTAAAACATAAACCACTTTTGAGAGAACCGAATCAGGTTTAAATTCCATGGTACTATCCAATAGCAGTATTCCCTGTCCCAAATCCCGAAAAGGGTATCTCCTGATCGGTGCTAGCCTGGCCCATCCTTCTTTGCTGCCCGGCTGAACGCACTTCCCACACAGATTTGTGTGTGTGCGCCTTAATTGGGGCGTAGTTGGCTTTTTGGGCTCGGGCCGGGGTTTGGGTAATTGCTGCCACTTGAAAGGCTTTTGGTCGCATAATCGCCTTGTCAGATAGAGCAAGACACACGTTGAAGTTCTCTGCTGGGGGAGGGGTTGTTGGGCGGCGAACAAGCTCGCTGGGCGTTGGGCGTGCCGAGTTGGGTGGGCCAGAGGACCGAGGACCGAGGACTAAAGGACCGAAGGACTGAAGGACCCTGGGCCAAACAGAGACAGCGAGGTGTGTGCTGATGCCACCACGCACGGCTGACTCGCTTGATCTTATTACGCCGCGCTTGGTTGCCTGGGAAAAGTCGGAGGCAGCTGGTAAATGGCAAATGGTTACTGGTTACTGGTAACTGGCAACTGGTAACCCGGCCTTTGTGACAGTTTTATCTCTGGCCAGCAGAAGTTTCAGCCAAGCTTTCGCCGTCCTCCTGCCATGGAAAATCCTCGCTGAATGGGCCTAAGAATTTTGCATGTTTTCGCACAGGTTTTTGTGGTTTTTGGTGGCAAGTGGATTTGCATGCGCCACGCGGCTACAAAAAGGGTTTGGTTTCAGCCAGTCTAAGAACAGCAGCACCTTCGCCCGGGGCCATTGATTTTCTAGTCATGGAAACTAATTCCCATTCATCGTGTCCTGTCCCTCGAACGGATCAATATTGCCGCTCTCCTCCCTCGCAACAATTACAAACAATATGACAGTTTTATCTTTCAGCGCCAGCCGCCGTCGCAGTGGAAATTCATTTTCGATTGTGAATGCCGAGCGACAATTGTCGAATTCAATTAACGCCTGCGGCACCACCGAGCGTTACTTAACGCCACCACCCACCCAGTCACCACCTCATCCCATCCCCTCCCCTGGGAGTTCTCAGTGGGTGGACGAGCTGGCAAGGACGAGCCGTAGCTGTGGCCGTAGCTGTGGCTGTTTCGCCAGGGTAACGGCTATGCAGTGTCACAATGCGGATGTGGACGGGGCTCTGGAGTGGGAAGATTTGGGTGCTGAATACATATACCATCCATAGAGGCAGGACGGGATGGGGAGCGGGGAGGGGTAGGGGAGTGAGAGCGTTTGCGTGCTGCGTTGCCTCCGCCGATTGGCCGGAACGCGGCTGCAACGGCAACGCAACGGCTGTGGAAACGGCTACGGCTAAGGCTACGCTCTGCCGCAACGCTCTCTGCCCAGAACCGAGAGCCCATCGACCATCGATGAGGCGACTACCCCCAAAGCGGGCAGCACGGACGTCATGCATCCGCACCGTGGGACAACAGGCATAAGGAATCCTATCTCACAGAAATACAAAAAATCATTAAAAATTACTTTAAATTAAAGTTGTTCTTCCTTGAGTCCAAAAGTTCCAATGGGAACAACGATTACTTAATGATATAATTCATCATGAAAGAGATTACTTAATCTATACCTTTGCTAATTTTTTATAAAAAGTTATAACATTTTTTTTTTTGTTTATAGCATTCCATTTCGAATAGCTTCAAGTAAGGAAAATGTTACAAAAGCTAGAGTTAAACTAAAACAAAAGTTATTTAACTATGTATGCTTTAAAACATATAAAGCTCCTATAGAAATATAGGTGTTAGACCTTTTAAGAAACCTTGTTATATTAACTTAACCGAATAAATAGATAACTTAGTATTGCTTTTTTTGAGGCTCTCCCATTTTAAACCATTAAAGATAAGCTAAGATTTCATAGTTAAAATATGACTAATGTTGTTTTCCATGTTATTTTCCATGCTGTCTTCCATCCGTTTGGCCGTATACCTAACCCACTAGCCTCTGCACTCTTGACCCACTGTGGCGGTGTCGATTTCGCTCCCGGAGGACGCGACACCTGGCCCCCGCCACCTCGCCTGGTTTCGGCCAATGGCAGCTCTTCGTCGACGCAGCGGGCGACGCATGCGCACCGGGGCAGCTCGCTGATTGGCTGGCGGTGGGCCAAATGGGGCTGGAACTGCGGCGAACGTCGCAGCCGTGAAAAACTGGTTACACCAGAAAAACGGTTCGTCTGTGAGCCCGTGAAGGGGATTGTCAGTGTGTGCGTGGCCCAAACTCGAGTGTGTGAGTGAGCGGCGGCTTTGCGGTGTCGTTTCGGCCCGCTCTGCTCGGCGGCGCTTCAGTAGATATCGTTGGCTGATGGACCGCGGGCGAGGCACGAAGCCAACTCCAGTTCCACTGCCACTTCAACTTCCACCAAATTGATCGGATCGATGCGCCGGCCCCGCGATTCGCGTGCAGTTAGTCGAATTTTTGACGGTCGAGTGACAAGGTGCGTCGCGTCGCAAACTCCTAAAAAACCAAAAAACTAAAAAACCATAAAAGCAAATAAGAATCACAAGCCGTCGCGCCTCTGAACTGAGTAATCGGTCAATATCCGCGGGATAAGTCCATTGTGCATACTAAAACTCGAGCGGAAAGTGTTGTGCTCAAGTGTTCAAAGGATCCAGTAGTTGCCAACTTTGTGGATAGCCGGCGTTCACTGGGCGAATCCAGTGCTCAAAGATAAAGGTGAGAAGACCTTAAGAACTCAGAAATAGAGATGTGGGATATTTGTGTTCAAATCAGCTTTTTGTTTAGAATTTAAAATTTTGAAAGAATTTTTGAAACTTACTTAGACAACAAATTTATCAATTTAATACATGCGATTCGAAACAAATTTGTATTTGTTTCTTAATAAATTTTCTTTAAGTTCTGAACAATTTGATAGAAGTTGGTATTGGTTAATTATTTGGTCAATTATGTAGATCAATTTATATTGAACTCGAAGTAATTAAGGTTAATAAGAAGTAGAGTGGCTTCTAACTAATTTAGTATTCCCAAAAAATTGATTTATCTTAGCTAAAGGTTGAGTCAGAAAATAAACAATACAAAAAAATATTTGTATATTCAGAAATAGACATCTTGAAGCTTTAAATTATTCAGTTATATCTATTTAAATGACTCCATTCAGGTAGAACTCTTTCTAAGTTTGTTGTGAACGCTTTTAACCAATGTTTACTGGGATTTTCCGCCAGATGTGTTATCTATTGTTTCAATACCAGATAAACTAAAATGCAACCGCTGCACTTGAACTTGGTTAAAAGAATAGACTTTGCTGTTGAAGTGCAGACACACTTAGACCAGCACTATCCCCCGAATCCTCAGTGTTATTCCAACACTTGACAAAAGCTAACGACGATGACTTATCGGTGACTTAATTAAGACCTCGCCGCACCGATCGACCTGCCCATAATGACCACCATAAACGATCGTAATCAATTTGTTTGCGCATAATTTGCTTTCTCAACAACTAAATCATTAAATCGAGTCACTGCCGAGCAGAGCAGGTTGCGGCATTTTTTGAAAGGCTTTAATAACGATATTTGCTTATCGTGTTCGACACATCGGTCTCAAGTCGCAAGACCCCGTCCCTCAGCCCCTTTTTGTCGATCGATCGGCTTATTTCTTAATGAACGACGATCTGATCTAACGGATCGGAACGGAACGGATCGGGGCGATCTCCATTCAAGCGGCGGCGTTAGTTTCGGCCAAGATTTGTTTGTCCAATATTGTCCGGTCTTGTGAATGAAGTGGAAGATGCCACCGGATGGCCCCACAAAATTTGCAATGCAAAACTACGGCCAATTGAACTTCCGCCGGACCGAGATAAGTCATATAATTTGGCCCAAACGATCGTTTGGCAGATCGATGACTGCCCCGCCGACAAATTTCAGTTTTCCCACGAGTCCGGCGAGCGACAAAAGTCAAAAATCGTATGCTAATTAATTCTTTGTCATGCCGTCTTTTCTGGCTGCCATTATGGCTCATTGATTTGGGAGCTTTCTAAGCCAACGAGCCGCCCGGACAACTTACTTAAGCGTGGTCCAGAAAGAGCGAGCTAATCATATTCAAATGGTGAAGCGTACGTTTTATTATAATTTTTTTATTTTAATTAGCGGCTGTTAATGCCCCGGTTCGATATACCGATCTGGCGATCGCTTCGTCCGAGAATCAATCCATCTGCGGGGGGCACCAAAAAAAAAAGGGAAAAATCCGAAACAGAAGCTCGGCCAACCTGTCGGTTCCACTTTCGGTAATCGCACGAATTTAAATTATTATATGTTTAACTAATTTCTATCGGTTTTTATGTCTGTTCCGCCTGACATGTGCACGAACCTAATTGAGACTTACGAGTGGAACTCTGTGGAGAAATCGGTAGCAAATCTGGATTATATATATTCTGCTTCTAAAAACCTGAATGGATTTTTTGGGAGAGGCCAAAACAAGGCATGTCTTTATATACAACTTGCAATGAAGCTTGAAGATCATTTATAAAATACAACTTTTAGCTCTGAATAAAACCTTTGCTACGATTTATATTTTATAATGCCGGGCTTTTTATATTGTAGTAAGGTTTAAGTACCATATAAATTACATAACTAATACTCCAAGTTTCCTTAACGCTTTTTTTTTCAAACGCTCAGCTCTTGGCTTAAGCGGAAAATAAAAGACACCATGTTCTAGATGTTTGAGTATATGTCTTAGGACCATTTACATTTCATGTTCTGAAAAATCTAGGGACAAGTTATTTTAATTATATCAATTATTTCCATAAAGAAACCAGCAAAACAATGATTTGACCAACCCAAAGAAGGGCCAAAAACCATCTCAATATTAGGCTATTTGTAGGGGTTGGCTCTTGTCCGGAACTATTTAGTTTTGACTGCTCAGTGGCCTCGATTGGGCCAAAAACATTCCAGCGAAATGGGCGAACAGCACGCCAGCGGGGAAATTAACCCTTTCATTGTGGCCAAATTGGATTTGGCCGGAATGTCTGTTTCACTTTCTACAAAACAGAGGGAATGGAATCCTTATCGCACTGTCGGCCAAAGTTTGGCCCCGGGCCAACTGCGAACTTTATGGCCTTAACGGCCAGCACGAGTTTCCCGTTCGCAGTGAGCGGTAAGCGGTAAGGTTACCAACGAAAAAAAACAAAAAAAAAAACTGAGACTGAGACTGAGGAGAGCCAAAAAACCTAATGAACAACTTAATTTCGAGTTCTTTTTCGGATTTCTCGTTCTGTTCTGTTTTATTTTTTCCGTTTACGAAGGGGAGTATGTGGTGCGTGCGGTGGTTCGGTGGCTTAACACGCGCATTTCGGTGGTTTTACGAGCTGAAAAGTGGCAGGGAGCTGGAAAAGAGGGCAAAGGACTCGGGGCTCGGCAATTAAATCTAATGTGAATTCCATAATAACATGGCTATGACAAAGTGTGGACCGTCGGCGGGCAGTGGCCAGTTACAGTTTTTGATTTATACGGTTCTTCAGCCCGTTTTCATGCCTCTGACAGGCTGGCGACAGGCCCAAATCCTGGCCAGAAATGGGTATAAAGGGAAAACAGGAAGCGGAAACCACCGGGCGCAAGTTGGTGGTGGTGAAAGCCCATTTGCATATCTCTTGGCCGGTTGCATATTTAACGAAATGAGCAATTGGCCAAAATTCACTTTAATTGCTAGCCCACACCACCGGCATTTGCATACTCTGTAGTTTGGCTCCGGCTTGGACCAAATGGTAGGGAAAGAGGGGGACTTCTCGATAATGGGCCAGCAGTTCACGCTGCGCCGGGAATGTGCCTGATAAGCAGCTAATTTGAGATACTCCCTGGCACTGGACATGGCCATTGAGCACATAAACCACTGCACATTAAACTCCCAGCCGCGTAGTTTTATAAAATAATTAAGTTTTATGTATTTTCCTTACTAGATTTCCACTGCTCAGCTCGGCTCGGCCCGGTTCGGTTCGGTTTTGGTTTGGATCATCGGATCGGTTCTGGCCCGGCCTGGATGCCGTTCGAATTCGTGGAAGCCGTAAAAAGTCTTCGGGGAGTGGGCCGCCAGCATCCACCATCAACCATCCACCATCAGTTCGAGTGCTGAGTCAAGAGTCTGAAACTGAGCATCCTAATAGCCCGGCGACCACGACGACATCCATCAAAGCGTTTTTATGACGTTCTTGCTTGAAATTTGATTAAAATTCAGCGATTAACTAAGCAGCAGCCGCAGCAACGGGACGAAAGACAAAAAACAAGAAACAAACAGCCATCAGCAAATAAACCAAAATACTTTACGGAGGCTAAGCGACTGCGAACGACTACCGATCGAATCGGATCGTATCGAATCACTTTCGGATTGGATTGAATTGAATTGTTGATCACATTTCAGCCATGCCGCATACAGGTGAGTGCCGCTAATGAACTCCGAAAGGAAATTAAACGAAAGCGTCCGATGAGATCTCCAGAGGCCCCCTCCATTTAAACCCCTCATTCCCTAGGTCTCATGTAGAGCCACGGTTATTACTGGCGCACTTTTGCTGCCTCCGTTAACGATCGCAGGTTGGTCAAAATGGTAGAGATTAGCCAAGTCAACAGGGCGGTTGCCAAACTGCGGGTACTTGGCCCAGACGCGTGTGCCTATTGTAAATCTTCCCCGCTTTGTTCGCTTTATTGCGAAGCTTAGGAATGTGTGCTTCCAACCAAAAGATCTAAATATTTGTCTGGCAAACCTTTTGATTTAAGAGGTTTTCGGGGACCTAGAATTAATTTTTAAAACTAATTTTTCAGTTTGTTCCTAAACATATTAATATCCCTTTAAAAATGGGTTACAAAGACGATTGCTTTGGAAGACTTATTAATTTTCCTAATAAACAGGCATAGGTGCAAAATGGTGACAGCATACAAAGCAAGTTTATTGTATACAATATTGGGATTCTAAATAAATGGTTGTTAAACGGGGTTTAAGTGTCTAAGCACCTTATATTATTTCTAAACTATTATTTATTTAAATTTCTATTATTATTGTTTATTTTATTTGCTATGTTTAGGTCAAGCCGGTGTAAACCAATTGGGTGGAGTCTTTGTGAATGGCCGCCCTTTGCCGGACTGCGTTCGTCGCCGCATCGTGGACTTGGCTCTGTGCGGAGTGAGGCCCTGTGATATATCCCGCCAGCTCCTGGTTTCTCATGGTAAGTCGTCTGCTACAGGACCATAACTCCTAACTTTTAGCTACAACATTTTTTTGTTTTGTACTTCTTCTTTGATAGGATGCGTCTCCAAAATACTGACTCGATTCTACGAGACTGGCTCCATTCGGCCGGGTTCCATTGGCGGCAGCAAGACCAAGGTAAGTGGGTTCCGAATGGGAACGGGATCTCGAATGGGGTTGGGAAAACAAGAACTGGGGGGACGGGAAACCACATGTGGTCTGCTGTGGTGCATGAAATCAACAAACGATTATATAAAAATCAAACGCACAGCAGTAAATCCATAAAGTATCACAGATACACGGAAACAGATAGCCCAGATAAGCATTGTAACCAGCAGCTAGTTTACATGTTCTCTTATTCCGATGACAGCTTTTATGGTCGCGTGGGAGTGGCAGGTGGGCGGAGTAGCGGGAGGGGGAGGGAGGGGGGAGAGGAGCAGTGGGCTTTCGAGTGGAGAGAGCGCAGCAAATCAATCTCGCCTGGCCGAGGATGATAACTGGAAGTGGGCTACCTGGCTGGATGGATAGATGGCTGCATGGAGACACCTGTGCGGTTCGCACGCCCAATCAAGTGTGGCTGCTACCGTTTAAGCCGCTGCTCGCTTCACGGCCCCAAAAGCTGACGACAATGGCATGATGATAGTGGTGATTGTCGTGGGCCATGGAATCGCGATAACACCGAATCACGACCCAAACACAACGCAGTTAACGCTTTGCAGATGGGTACTGAAACAAAAAATTGCACCCTTGTTACTTATTCCGATTTTTTACTATACACAAATTTTCATAACATGAAATACACTGTCTGCCTAGGTCTAGTGGGTTCGAGCTATAAAATTGCTTTACCTAGATACAAGTTGAGTAACTCAGAGCTAAAGAAGTTCGTTTACGTAAGCCTTCCATTAAATTGTAGTTTATGTTTTACACATTAAATGCCGCTTAATCGATCGGTTTTGGCTATTAAAACATTCGTAATTTAAAACTCGAATGTTTTTATGATTGGCACCCATATAACCTACGGAAATATACAGAAATATTAAAAATAAAGGCTTTACTTTTACGATTTTCATTTTAAATGTCTTTAGAATATGCTGAAGGGATTGATAAGAACAGTTTTTACTATATTTCCTTTACTGCAATGGTATTCTGAATGGTATTCGATCCGTGAAACTACCCTATATATTTCGATTCCCCTTCGACTGCGCAAACAATTGCTCAGGTACGATGTTTGCCGACGGAACAGAACGCCTAATTAACAGTAGTTGCAACGCCCACCAAGTGCACAATGTACTCGGACACTTCGCCCGTTGAAGAGGAGGTGGTGGCCCCCACTCCATCTGTTACCCACCCGCTTACATGGTGATTCAATAAGCGCTCTGCACTCGCTCGAACAAAACGCGCATTTAACACCTACGCTGGGTCAATAAAGAAGTGGCCCCCCTCCCCATTACCCCTTAAATATATGGGAAAAAGGGACGGAGGGCGGCGCAAGGACAGTGGTTACAAAGAGTGAGCGCGCGTGTAGATTTCCGATAAGATCTGGCATGCAAGCTTGTCGACCCCTCAAATCCCCATCCCCATCAATAAACCCCCTCTTAGCGTATTTATGAATTTTTAATGAATTGCCGCGTCACACGTAAAAAGCGGGCGCCAGTCAAAAAGGAGGAAGGTCCTTCGAAATACTCGGACAAATTAACATATGCAAAAGCAGGTACAACACCTATGTATGTGGCTCCGATGCAAATCTCCCTGTGAACATGTCAGCTGAAAAGGGGCGTGGCTGCGTTCGCTGTCAAGTTTCGCAATTGTTGCGAGTGCGCTTTGGTTTAGTTTAGTGCACAATTGAATTTCACGGCAATTAGTCGTAGGCCGCAAAAAGGGGGCAACACCAGAGACACCTGAGCGTGAGAGGGTTAAAAGCATATAGCTGGGGGTTTAAAGTTGTATATTTTATCAAGCAGTACATTATCAAGAATATGTTGTCACGCAAAATGCTTTCAGTTTTATGGTTATTACTTTTTTAATACTGTAAGTAAGAATTCTAACCAGTCGTTAAGTTATTTTTGTTTATAAAAATGAATAACATTTAAATATTATGGTTCCCCTTATCGACTTTGGATAGAGAGATATTTTATTTATTATTAAAGCATGTGTTTTGTTTAAATATAAAAACACATTTGTCACAGTTTTATCATGATGTACAAATCATAAAACTTTTTTTTAAAGAGTTTAAAAGTCAGATACCTTTAATCAATCGAATATAATTGAAGACCTGTAGACCCTATGGGGAAGATAATTAGGACTTACGAAATAAACGTAAATCTAAACAATACTGAAAATTCTTTTGAATTCAATCAGCCAAAAGCCATTCATACAATATTTTTTAACCTTTTCGTATCTCTTTCTATCTTCAACCCATTTAAATCTTTTGTATTTTCTGTTCGTTTCAGCAAGTGGCCACGCCCACCGTGGTGAAGAAGATCATACGGCTGAAGGAGGAGAACAGCGGCATGTTCGCGTGGGAGATTCGCGAGCAGCTGCAGCAGCAGCGCGTCTGTGACCCCAGCTCGGTGCCCTCGATCAGCTCCATTAACCGGATTCTGCGGAACAGTGGTTTGTGGACGGACGAGATGACCTCCAGCCAGCAAAACGCGGCAGCTGCAGCGGCGGCGGCGGCAGCTCATCAGGCGGGCAGCGGTCCATCGAATGGATATGGCCCCCAAGCTCCTCCTCCGCCGGTGACCGTAGCCCCGCCCACTGCGGCAGCCACGCCCTCTGCCGGACGGTATGCGAAACCGCCGGCGCTGATGATGAATTCCGTCGGCGAGATGCCCATTAAACCCGCTCCCAAAATGCCGCCCAGCATGGGACATGGCCACAGTCACGGCCTGAACCCGAGTGTTTCTGGCCTGGATCTGAGTTACTCCGCTCTGCACAAGCACTGGCTGTGGAACCCCTCCCTGCTCTACTACACCCAGGCCCACATCCAGGCCCAGGCGGCTGCCTCCGGTGGACAATTCCTGCCCTATGCCGGCGGCTATTTGCCCCATGCCATGGCAGCGGCGGCCGCATCCTCCACGTCGGCCCTGGGTGGCTTCACCAAGTCGGAGAGCTCCATCGATCTCTCGACTCCCGGAGCGGCCGGCGATGCCCTTAGCGATTGCGATTCCGGCAAATCCTCCCCAGCGGCGCTCTCATTAACCAACGCTTCTGGCGGCGGAAGTGGAGCCGCATCAGCTCCAGAGGCTTCTCCGGGATCTGCACTGAGCCACAGTCGTAAGCGGAATCCCTACTCCATCGAGGAACTGCTTAAGAAGCCGGAGAAACGACTCCGACTGGATAGCAATCGATTGGAGTGCTTGGAGTCCAGTTCCTGCGAAAGCAGTCAGGATAGTCCAGCCCCTCTTCCCCTAGAAATCCCAGAGGATGAGGATCCCGCCGAGGGAGAGGAGGAGCAAGAGGAGGAGGACTGCAGCGTGGAGGTGGTCAACTGAATCCACATGCACATTCCCACTGTCCCAGTTTTGATCTGTGTATATATAGCAACTTAGTTTAATCGTAAACGCCCCTGAAACCAATACCATTTCAATCAGAGTTGGAATCGGAATCAATGGAATTTCACATTCCACAATCTGAACAATTTCTTCACTCCAAAAGTGGATCGCTGATAAAATGCTTTCAAATAAACAACTTGCTGGATTAAAATAACCGTGAAAATGTATGTTACACCTAATATGATTGATTTGGTTATTGGTGAAAAGGGGTGATAATAATATAAAAGTATTTAAATAAAACAACCCGAGTATTTGTGCTGAGTAAATCATGTGTTTTATATTATTGGTGGTTAAGTGGTGAAGTTTAATTTTTTACAGTTTTGTTCAACCAAAAATATTGTTTTAATTATCTCAAACTGGAGTTTTATTTTGACCTATATGTATTACGTAATTAAGCCATTTATTAAACGTGTTAGAGTTTTAGGTACTCAAAATGTTATTTATGGTGCATTAAATTTTCAAGTGAGATAAGATGATAAACTAAACATTGATAAGTTTCCTGGTGAAAATCTTTATTCCTGTCGTAACCCATAGTTTGAATACATAAATAAGTTTTTCATTAATTGAGGTTGCAAATATGCCAGACAATTTAAACCAAAGAGGCAGATGATAAATTCAATTTTGTGAAATTTTCTGCTTCGAAATTCATGTAATTTGTATCGAGATACCTATTTAAATGATAAATGAAGTGTTTGCCACCACCGCCGGTGGTCGGCTGTATCTGCGGCTTCCCCTCTTAATTAACTTGCGCGCCAATGAAGTGTCAACAAGTTGCCAACACGCTGGAGGAGGGGAGGGGGGTTTGGGTATGGGTATTGCGAAATTACAGGATGTCTGACACGACCATAACTATCAATCGCCCGCGGAGGCAGTGGCGGATCGAAGGGGCCGCCTTGTTGGAGGCGACAATGGTTGCCAACTGCAACTGCACTGCGACTGCGACTGGAAGTGCGAAAATGGCATTGGAATCGGGAATCGGCATGGTGTGGCGGCAGGCGATGTGAGTGGAATTCGTAAGCAGGTGGAAAGGTGATGCTGTTGGTGTTGCCGCCGCCTGGGGAGCAGGGCATCGCCATCCTGGGCGAAGGTGTGAAGTTGCGAGAAACTTTCCCAAGACCGCTGCCACTGCCACTGCCACTGCCAACTCTGCCACTGGGCTACTCTGAATATGCCAACAATAAATCAGTGGCTAAAAATAATTGCCGCGACAATTGCGCGCAGTTAAATTATGCAAAGCGGGCAAAAAATATGCGATGCGAAAAAAGCGCTGCCATAATTGTATCACGTGCAGGCCAATGTAGCGATTCCGCATCCTGGCCATCCAATGCCCAATATCGCCGCTCCTTACCACTCCACTTCATAAACAATGCTAAAAGGCGTTGAGGATGCGCGCAAGGAAACTGACGGCCAGGAATGCAGAGCCGGCTGAATATGCCGGGGAATCGGCACAAGAAGCCTCCTGATCATGGCCAGATTGGAATGCCCTGGCATGACTATGACTGACAGCCACCGGGAGCATCACGCAAAAACTGGGCACAGAGAAAAATATATCTTTAATTTGATCAACTTTATTTAGGTAGATAAAGCTTTAATTAAGGAACAAAGTAATACCATTGGTTAGAAACAAAACAAGGTATGTCAAATTCTAAATGATGTCTTACTGAGTTCAGGATAGCCTTTTAGAGATTTATGTTAAATTCTAAGTGGTTTAAAATGAATCTAGCTGATAAGAATAATATATACTAAACTCTTGGATAGAGAAGCAATTATAGAGAAGCAGTACCAAACAAATATTTAATTTTAAGACTTTGGATATATTATTAAAATATTTGATTAAAATATATAGTAAAAGTAATTAGGTACATTTTTTTCTTAGTGCAGTCAACAAAAGACGAAGGGCTCTGGATCGCCGGATCGACGATGATGACGATGATTTCTGCTGATCGCTGATCGCAGCGACGATCCCGCTCGGGCGACACTTTTAGGCCAGGCCAGGATTGGAATCAGAATCGGAATTGGAATCGGGATCGGGATCTCGGGATCGGCCACAACAGAATATTTTTATACGCTCGCGCTCGAAATATCAATGAGGCAGAGAGACGCGTTTTTGCTGGGCGCATTTGGCGCGGCAAAAAACGCGCGCGCCCGCTCGCGTTTGGACTTCGCGCTCGCTTTTGGCCTTTTTTGCTGACCATTCGGGCCAGCTTGCTGCTGCTGCTGCTCCTGCTCCTCTTGTTGGCCAGCATTTGTGGGATCTGTGGACGGAGCTGGACGCGCTGAAGCCGGAGCAGCGCTGGCATGGATTGTTGCAATGTTTCGTCGCGCTGTTTGCGTTTGATTTGTGTTTTCGGTTTTTGCCCGCTCGCCTCTGCGATTTCGGCATAAATCAAAATCCAGTTGGGGCATTGGAAATTGGACTCGGACGCGGAATGGGACACAAGATGTCGTCGTGGACGTTTGCCGATGCGAAGCCCTTCTGCGCGACAGATATTATGGCAGAAAATTTATTTTATGGCGGTAATGGTGTTATGTTTTACGCGATTAGCAGATCCAAATGTTTGACATTGCGACGACATCGGGCTGGGAATGGAATCGCATCGCATCGCGGATTTGCCCAGCCGATGGGGATGGTAATGGAAATGCTGATGACTGACAGCAGCATGCACCGCAATTAATGGCATTCAATTACGGATAAACTCTCTGGATTATGATGGTGGAGATATAAGGCAAAGGAAAAGTTGATATTTTTTTTAATTTTAACTTTAAAATGGTTTATCCTTAAAAAAAATTAAATCTAATAAGCAGCATTAGGGTAAGTATTATTTAAAATAAATAACCCCTTGTTCAGATAAAAAAGTTGATTATTTTAGAGTTAGCTATTTAAGTTTTGGTGAGGTCCTTTTAGTAAGCATACGAACCGAGTAATCACATTTATATATACAAATGCTTTTATACAATTGTATATTTTAGTTAAATCTCTCAGCTGGTTTACTTATCTCGCTAATGAAATGAAATTGAGACGTATTTTCAGCTCAATAATTATTATGTATGTGACATAGTAAACAAATTTCTAGGGAAACTGTTAGAAAAGTAGCCTAAAAATGTTTCTTGTTTTTATTGGCACACATCTTCCGCTTCCACCTGACGACTTCCTTTCCCGGTGGGTCGAAATCGGGGGTCCAGAGCTTCCGCTTTCTAGGCCAGAACCTCTGGCCCCCGAACCCAGAGATGTGACCCGACGTCACTCTGGGTTTTCTCTCGACGCCTTTGGCATTTGGCTTCTTCTGCCTTGCGTTCGGACATTGTCTGGGTTGGTTTGGTTTTTAGTGCCGAACTGCCTTGTTAAATGAAGCAATTTTTTATGGTTAATTTCCTAAAGGTGCACTTAAATGCACCTCGGGGTCCGGGGTGACTCCTCGCAATCTTTGTCTGCTCTTCGGTCGGGACCTGAATCTCGGGCTGCTCTTGGCCTCACTTGTCAACGCACTTCGAGATTGATTTCTCTGTTTTGTCTCTGACCGTGGGCACAATTAAACCGTAAAAAGCGGCAACACGGGAAGGGGCATATCATCGCACGGCAGGGGGGGAAGGGGTTAATTGGCGGTGGCAACAGAAGCAGTTATGTTCTCATTTAGAACGCTCCCGACAACAGGTTAGGACCCAATGTGAACTAATAAAAATTGAAACGTTTCGAGACCATTAAATTGTGAGTTTTGAGCGCGTTTCGGAATCGGAATCGGAATAGCCATGGCAATGGGAATGGGAATGGGAATCGGAGTGGGAAATGGAAATGAAAATGGAAATGGAATCGACGGTGGACAGTAGCGGCTGTGTGACATTTACATAATTAACCTTTATTGTGGCCATTGATTGGGGCCGCAGGGGCGGAAATGAACTGGCCATGGGTGTGAACCGGCCGAATTCGAAAGATCTTTCGCAAACGAGGCGATCGATCGATCGCTGCCAAGACGGAGCCACCAAGCCAATGACCCTTCGGTGGTCCAGCGGCCGACTGTGCGGCAATAAAAGTCGAGTTAACAACTTACAGGAGCCAAACACGCCACACGTTGATGGATATCTCTGCGACTCCCTGCGCGGCTCTCCTTGAACAGCGTGGCCACTTCAGCTGGTTTGCAGCCAGATCTAGCCTTTTCAAACTATTCGTAAGTTGTCGTATTGATTCGACGTATTTCCGAGAAATCTGCCAATGAAAGCGGGGTTGCAGTAGGATGTGTTAGCTGTAGAGACTTTTACCCGAAACTATTACCTAATTAATGGTTTAATATTCTGCTAACAATGTTTCATTCGTTATCCTTTGAACTAGACGCGGTTTATCTTTAATTTATGATGCTAACATAGGTCACTTTTAAACTAAATTTATGGTTAATATAAATACATACCATACATATGCTAGCAAATTTTTGGTCACTCAAAGTTAATTTAATACCAGAGTTGGAATCCAAGCCTTGTTGCAGGTTGTGTTAGCAAAAGATTCTTATTTTATTTCATATATTAACCCCAAAACTTGTTAATTGCAATAGAATTCATGGTTACATGTTCTCAGGACACAATTTAACTTTAACGTATGATAACTTAATTTAACTTAGCAAACTTTTAATCACTGTTGGCTCTAAAATTCCAGCAGCACTGTCCTGGAACGTGGGTTCTCGTTCTCCGTCTGCCTCTTCTTCTGGAGCTGGGACATCGCACCATCGCCCGCTGGGCCGCCGAAGTGGCACTCTCCGCTGGACGGCAGATGGACCTCCTCCCCGGCCCGCTGATGCAAATGAGCCCCCGGACTGACGGGGCCCGAATTACGAATCACGGCTCCTCCTCCGCTGAGCAACGCAGTTAATTGGGAGCTTGTGTTATGACATTCTTATCGCCGAATGCGCGTCGACCCCACCTGGCGGCTCATAAAAGCAAGTTAAGGTGGTTGTGTTTAGGTGGTTTTGGTGGTTCTGGCGGCTGAGCGGTTCAGCTGGGCAGCTGCGGAGGCTCATCCTAATTGGCAGTCCTCCGGGGACGGGAAGTGCGCGTTTCGGACATTCCATCAAATGCGGATCGGATCGGATGCGCTGCGAATCGGGCGAAATGCGCATACTTCCGCATTTTGGAGTTCGCTTCACGATTGACGATTCCCGATTCACCTGCTCGTCAGCCAGCTTGGCGCGTTCTGGCCACATTAGCACGGCCCGCATTATCCTTGGCCATCATTAGTTGTCGGCTCGGCAATTACGCCACTCAATTGTCTTTGACTTGCACAGGATCTCGGCCCGGGATCAGCAGCACCTTACTCACCTTACTGCCAATGGGTTCTCGCCGTTCCTGTTGCTCCCCGGTAATGGAATTATAATTATAGCCTCGCTCCCTCCGCTGCTAATGTTGTCAGCGAGCACGAGTTTCAGGCCGATCCTGAACCCGAGGAGCTTGGCTTACAGACTCGGTTTCAGGCTGTGACTGAGTTTTCGGTTTCGGACCTGCAGCTTGATGATTGTCGTCACATTAAATTGTCAAATTGTTTGCGCCCGTTATCGCGATGTCCTCATGGGCACGTGCCTTTCATCCTTTGGCGCTTGCTAACGGGAGTAGCAAGTGCAAGGAGTAAATATTCGATCGACCCATCAGGTGGATGAGCCTAATAAAATAATGTGAAAAAATATATTCAAATACTTCACATCAAATTTTTTTGGAACCAAATGTCTTTCTACAATTTTTATCTTAAAGCTGAGGGTATTTTAATTTTGGTCAGCTTGAGAAAATATTACTGTTGTAGACCTAGTTCGATTAAAACTTTTAACATAATAATTTAATCGGAATGATTTTTCAACGTGATCAGCATGACTGCGCGAATATGCTGCTCATAACCGTACGGTTTATATGACATCTATAAAATCAACCCCCATTGTACTAGTTAAAAATTATGTGAGAGGGACATTGAAGTGATTTTAGATAGCTCAGAAACTCAGAGACCGAAGATAAAAAAAATGTTGTAAGTAGAATTTTAGAAAATCTAGGCAAAAACTTCTGAAGCATGCCTACTTTGATATTACAATGACGTTACAAAGCTATTTAATTTTAAAATTTTAAAATCACCTTGCCGCCTATAAAATTAAGCATAAAATTCAAGATTAATTTGAATCTTATAAAAACGTTTGTAAGTGGTACACTGTGTAGAATACATAAATTTTACTTATATTTCTACATTAGTCCCAGAACCTGTCCCAAAGAAAACGCCACCTATACGACCTTTACAAATTTTCCGACAGGCGCGCCACTCGAAATTAACATTTATTTCCAACGATTTAACTGGTTTTCAAGCCAGTAGGTTAGTGATTCGATACCAATCTTAATTTATTTATATATATTAAATACAAATAAAGAATTTACTTATTGTTCACTTGGAAAAGTCAATCAAATAATTGTGTGAGCTCTATATTTGCATACATTCTTTGATTCAGTATTTATGATCATAATGGAATTTATAATTTATAGCAAGAGACAATTCTTCGAACCGATCAGTAATGATTCAGCAGCTGTGCTGATAAGACTTTCGTCGACTTCTCTTGGTGAATCTATTTTTTTAGAATATATTTCAGTTGCATAGCATCTTTTCTCTGGGAATGATGTCTGCCTTGCTGTCGTTATCTCTATTAGCATTGGTGCTTAGCCATAATTCATTCGCACAGCTCTTGGATGAAAGGTGCCAGAAGGGTATTGAATCGCAAAATTTCAACACACCATGGATGGCAAGCGTTTACAATGGAAATGAATTTATTTGCGCTGGAACGCTGGTGCACAAACGTAAGTATAAGACAACCATTTCTCATTATTTGCTACAGAAATCACATAAATTTTCACGAAGTTTACAGCCCTAATGAATTGTGACCGTTTTTTGTATGCAACTCTGATTCGAATATAAGCCATATATTAACATTATCTGCTTTTAGTGTTTGTCCTAACGGCTGCCACTTGCATAAAAGAAAGGAGTCAACTGTAAGTATTACTTATTTACTATAGGAATCAATTCTGATTGTCTATACATGGCTTAGGTTTGTGCGTTTGGGGGAGTTCTGCGCCACATCGCAATGCAACAACATTGAACAATATGGTGTGGCGATTGCTATTCAACATCGGGATTTCGTGCCCATCGAAAACACGAACGATATAGGTCTGCTGAGACTCCGGGGTGAAGTGGTTTACAATGGTAAGCATATAAAATGTTATCACTGCTTAAAATTGGTATACAAAACAAGGAAGACAAACTTTGGCAGCCGAAGTTAATATACTTCTGCAGTTCTTACAAAAATCAGTTTAGAGAATCAAACTATCACAAGTACTAAGAGTTATGTCACTGTGAAATCGGATTAAATTTGGTAAAGTTTGAGACATATCATCTTGCAACTAGGTGACAGCTAAGGAGAGTTATCTCCATCTTTGAATAACTATCAAAAAAAAAAGTTGGAAACTGAAAAAAAAAATAACACCAATATTTAATATTCCTACAGCGCACATTCGGCCGATATGCATAATCTTGGATGACGTCATTACTTCAGCGCCAATCCCAAAATTCATTGCCTTTGGCGAGCATGAAAATCATGTACAGCAAACCATATTCCTGACCCATAGGAAATCGTTCGAGTGCTACCGAAATGGTAAGATTTTACATAATAAGCAGATCTGCACCGGATCTGTAGCCACCCCTTGTATGGGAAACACCGGTGGTCCGCTTGTGGCGTATTTCAATTACGGCGGAGAAAAACTCACCGTACAGTTTGGGATCGTGAAGAACGGCAGTGAGTTGTGCAACTCGGAAAGCATTCACACAGATGTTTCGGCCTACAAAGAGTGGATTTATAATACTGTGCGCAACTACGAAACCGAAGGCGATCGTGTTTTGTACGAGGAGTGCAGCAGCAATTGGACTGCCGATGTTATTGTTCGCCTATGGGAGGTTTCTCTATTTGAGAATACCTTCTCTGGAGCGCTAATCACAAACCGTAAGTACTTTTTAAATCCACCAAAAAAGTTTTTTAATTATTATTCAAATTCCAAAGAATTTGTCATGACTGTTGCAAGTGCCTTTCTCACAGCTTTCACTCCGATGTAAGTATTAATGTTCTTAGCCTTATTTATTTATTTGAAAATTCGAAATGTGTCTATGCAGAAAGGTGGAAACAAAATATCATGAACGCTTTGACGTTGAATCGATTTACAAGCATCCACAGTTCAAATATTCATTAGAATCAATAGAGAACAACATTGCCTTGCTCAAACTAACTCAGAAGGTGCCAAACTCAGGTAACTATGATCAGTTTACACCACTCCCTTCTCCTAACAGATGTTTATGTTTAGATCTTGTAAAACCCATCTGCATTGTCCTGAACCCTACAACTCCAAGAACGTTGACTGCTCTCGTCGATGTGATCACGGAAGATTTTATGGGCGTTAAAAAACTAACTTTGAGCCTCATTGATCATTCTATTTGCGCCCAAAAGATTGGAGTACCATTAGAACCTAGTCAATTTTGTGTCGAGAAACCCCTCGATTTGAATAACGAAAATCCTGGCTCAATATTGGGTCTATTTAGAAATATCAGCGGTATCGGGAGGTACCTTCTCTTTAGCATTAAAAACTTTGAAAGAGCTGGATTAATTGTTTATACAAATATACAAAGTTACGGAAATTGGATAGTGAATACAGTCAATGATGATTAGAATTACTGTTGTTCAATGGAAATATGAAGTTTGTAATATAGAAGAAATAAATGAAGAAACTAAACCATAAAAACATATACAGGATATTCAGCTTTAAAACTTATCTTTAAGAATGTTATCTATGTATTTTCGAGTGGACAAAATAAAAATATTTAAAATTCTTTGGCAGAATTAAAAACAATATAGCTTCATTTTAATTTGTGTGTTTAAACACTTTAGAAATTGAGTTTATATTAAATTCCTCCATGTGGCGCTGTTCGTGTGTAAAATGATTGTAAGATATAAAGGTTCAGTAAATTATCGCTAGATGTCGGAGGCAATCATCGGCAGTCGTAGTTCGAGTTTTGAACGTCGATTAATCGTTTGGTGTGGCGCAAGCACATTTAAATAATTCAAACAATGAATTTTGCTAGTAATAATTAGGGGAAAATAAAAAAAAAACACATTATAAGATTTCTTTCAGGTGGAAATCCATGTGACTTCCTTTCAACAGGCGTCCATAGGTGTCAACTGCATTTATTCAAAATTTATCTGCCAACAGCTAGACTTTTATGGCTTATTCCCAGTCAATTTCCCCATTATTTCCTCGCTCATTAAATTGTAAAGCCAAGTGTGTCTTGCACTGGATTATTTAGTTGGCACATCCTTTTGCCCACCGCACATCCTCAACGCAATTACGCGCATGCCGACGGCGCATGCGTGACATTTTCCAGATGACTGCGCCATGTCGTTTCCTTTCCCTCAATTCTGTTCGCAAGTCCGATCTGTGGACTGTTCAAACAAAATACCTGCACAAATGATTTACTGCCGCTTTCGCGTGCATTAGTCAAGATCATGGGGCTAGCACTTTTGGTTTCTGTTTGTTCTTTTCACCTACAGTTTGAGGGAGAAGGGGGAACTGTTGGCCCGCTTCTCGCTCTTGGTCAATATCACTGCAAAGGGCCGAAAGCAGCCGATCTGCAAGGCGGCAACCGGTTTTCGGCCAACTGCGCAGTTTTATTGCTTTTTTTTTTGGGAGGAACTGCATTTGGTTTGGTACTACTCTTACAAAAGGTTTTTACGATTTGTCCAGAAAGTTTGATTCTGGTACTTTGCAATGGATAACATCATTAGCAAAGTGTTTAACTTGGACGAACAACTATTTCTTGAGTGAATTTTATCAGGAAACTTGTAGCTATCGATTAGATATGTGGTCAAAAACTTTAGAACCTAATACCCTGCGTAATACATACAATAAATGGCAAATTACAAAAAATTAAAACTAGAAATCTACATATAGTATAGTATTTTTTATTTGTAATTTATTTGCCAAATTCAACTGACAATATTTTTTGGTCAGCAAATTAATCAATCTCAGAAGTTAGTAAATGTTAGATAAAGAAGAGCTTTCTTAACAAAAAAAGGGTGTAGCAAAAGTGCCCCATTGACGACTTTTATGGTTTTTATTTTGGCGCTTAAAAGGAAAACCAGGCAGCGGCGGCGAGTGAAGCTTTTTGCCCGGCCAGAATCGGGGTGTTTTTGTTGGGGCCGATGTTGTTTTGGGTTGTGTAGCCGTCACCCAGATTATCAGGAAACTGGAGGAACCAGTTTCGGTGCGATGTGGCATGCAACCTAAATATAGAATCGCAGCGCAAAAAAAAACAAAAAACAGTGCGATTTGCTGCAAATTAGCCCGGCCAAATTATTGATCCAGGCCAGTGATCCAAAATCCTAGAGCAGAAATGCGACTATCACACGCTGCGAAATTCGTAGTTAAAATTGCGCCTGATGTTTGTTTATGTTTACGTTGCTTTTTCGGCTTTTCGGGTGTTATCTTATCAGCAAGTGCCGCACACGAGCGGCTCACATGCAGATACAGATACACTGCCAGATACAGATACATTTGCGCACCTTTCGGCTGTCCGCTTACCTGTTGATTGAGCCAAAGAAAGAGAGAGAGAGAGAGCGCGGAGTGCAGGTGTGTGGGTGAGCGGGAGTATCTGTGAGAGTCGCTCGCCTTTCAGTGCGACTCCAAACAACCCGTCGTCGTCGTCGAGATCCCAGCCCTCATTCGCTCGAACGCAACGATCGCGCGCGGTTGTCTCGCCCAGCAGAAAGATATTAAGTTCCGGAACGAAGTACGAAGTGTATCGCAGAACTCTGAACGAAGTACTCTCAACCCCCCACCCCACGCCCACCAATCGCTTTTCATTTTCGCAGAGAGAACGATCCGAGTCCGCTTGCGATTCCAACAAGTGCGAGTGAAGTGTAAGTGTCTTGGCCAGTTTCTTGTTTGCCTCCTGCCAAAATCTTTTTTGAAAAACGGCCGAGAAGAGCCGGTTTCGGGGCCACAGGGCTCGCTCGAATGATTCACGGCTCCAAAAGCTTGACCGTTGACTCAGCATCCCCGAAAATCAAAGACAGATTTAAGCAATTAACCTCTTAATAAAAAAAAAGCAAAAGTGTTAACCGCAAGTTATTGTGTAACTAACCGTTGTCATCGTCATTAAAAACGAAAAAGATCGCCGAGATGCGGTCTTTAAACTTAATTACGTTTATATATCGGTTGTTCGGGATCTTAATCGGCAGGCAGAACAGTGTTTTTTTTAGTGATTTGATTGAGTTGCGCGCAGCCCAGCGCCAGATTATTTAATATTATTTTTACCACTCAACATGATTTAATTAAAAAGCCGAAATTGTTTTTTCGTCGAAAAGATAGGCGGCGGGTGGGTTTATTATTATTTGTTTACTTGTTTGCTGTTCTTGTTTAACTCGCCTGAGCTTTTTATGCCGCCCGTGATGTGATGCGATGTAGACACAAATACGCGCTTGTATAAAACATCCAAATATTATATTATATTATACATATTTATCCACATAGTCAGCCATGTTTTCGTGTATTATTTTTTGTGGATTGTTTGCCTCGATTCGATTCAATTCGTTTCGTTTCATTTCGCTGCTTGATTGAGCACATCAGCGCTGGCAAAAACATATTTGCGTTTATTTTTGTAAGCGTAGCGCTATGGCAACATTTTAACATATTAATATTTTATGGCTCACTTTTCATGCACTCGAAATTGAATTTGTGGAAATTTCGTTTTAGCCAGGGCATTTTGTTTTTTAAAGCGACCTTCGATCTCTAAAAATGCCCGCCTAAAAGGGTATGTGACCCCGACGGAATGATTAATCGATTATTGGGAAATGCATAATGGCTCGGATAGATCATAGTTCCGATGGAGTCACCACCGCTGATTCACGCACTCAGGATCTTTTGTGACCCAAATTCCTTACACTTTCCGGGGTTGTTGTTCTCATTTCAGTTTACACTTTGTTGTGGTCTAAAGAAAAGCAGATCACGGGAAATAGTTCACCAGCAGAAACTGAATACCACCTGCCGTTGTACTCAACTTCAAAGAGACGTGCCAAATGTGCGTTTCATTAGCATAGGGGAGTTTTGAAATTTGTGTAAGAAAGTGGGCAGTGAATTTTCCTTTTTTTTAAAAAATAAAATAGGGGCTAATGTAAAACACAATGTTCAGAAAAGGAATCTTTAAAATAAGTAGGTCGAAAATGTGGGGCCAACTTTAATTTTTAGGTAGTCGGAAAACCGGTTAAATATTTTTGTTCTTTTTAATACTCCAAAAAAGATCTGTTTGCTTTACAGTTTTAAATGTTATATAATTTAATAAGCAGTTATAGAAGTGGTTGTTAACCTATTACTTAATACTTATAGCTATAGTTATCGGATTTCTATGCATTACAGCCCCGAAACGGACTGCTTGCACATCAGCATTTATCTGGCTGCGCCGTTAAAAGCTTGGGAATGAAAACAAAATACAAACAATTAGCCAAATAACAAAATATATCCCGAACCAAGAACAACAAAAACTAGCGGCCACAAAAGCCAGACAGACATTGGCAGCCGTCGCCGTCGCCGTCGTCTGGCGTTTGTAGCTTTGCGGCTCTGCCGCCAGAATCGGTTGGGAATTGAGCACCGACCATGTCTATATAGCCGCCATATAGCCTCTCGCACGGCCCAAAAGCAGCGACGCCGACTGCGACGTCAGCGGCGACGTCGATGCCAGCGATGTGGTTGAAAAGATTTTTGTATTCGAAAACGGCACAAAATGCACATAAAAATTTTCGGTTTCGGTTTTTGCTTTAGTTGAGAGAAAATCGTCGCTTAGTTAACGTCGCCCAAGAACTGAACAACTGGCAGTGCACCACAAACGCCACGAATATACGAAACCGATCCAAGTCGAAATCACAAGCCAAAAAACCAAATCGAAACCGAATCGAATCGAATCCCAGCTAAAGCTAAAGCACCCGATCGGAACAAATCGGTCAGTACCAGTTCACATGTGAAATCAGCAATCAGCAATACGTAGGGTATAAATCAGCTGGTTATACAATAGCCTGCAGCAATCGATTTGCAAGGATCGCTGATGAATCAGAAAGACCCCCTCCCCCCTTTTCATTAATCAGTGTCTCGTGTGAGGTGTGAGTTCTGTGAAGGTTAACAACAAGTAAAATCCCTTACGAAACCAAAGTCTCAGCTCTCGAATATATTAAATGGCCAAATAATTTTCTTGGCACGCCGATCCAGGGAATTTCTTTTGACGCATATATCAGTTTTGTTGGCCAGAGATACAGATACAGAGATTCAGATACGTCGTAGATCTTCGGCTCGTTGAAATTGAATAAAATTATATAGTCAAAAAGCGAGAAAATTTTTAGAAACTTTTCAAGGTGAGTTTATTTTTAGCGCCTCGAAATGGCTGCGCGGATTGGATTTGTTTCCGAATATTCTCGCTCAGTCAGTCAGTCAGCGCCAGCAGGCAGCACCCATCCGCCGTCCACCATCCACCGTCCGCCATCCGCCAGATACAATATCTGGCAGATACAGATACACAAATTGCGAAAGTGCTGCGGATGTGGCTGCCACCTCCTGCGCCTCCTTCTTATGCTCGAATTGCTGCGGTTTGGCGCCACAGTTTCTGAGACATTTAGAAACGTTTTGAGCGATATATAGTCTATATATCGGCGACAGCATAAGGCATCGCATATTAATGAAGCCAGCTCTCTAGGTCGCCTGCTCTGCTCGAAGCAAAGTGTCTTTCGCGTTGTCTTGGCAATTGCGATTTTCGTGGCTGCTCTTCGCTTTTCCTTTTTGCCCGATCTATTTTCAGCCAGCAGTCCCTCTCTCTCTTTCTCTCACTCTGGCTATCTCTGACATCACGTATACGCAGTGGTTGCTCTCCATTTCCATTTGCCATTTCCAATTCATGCCAGACCACCAGCAGTCAGTCAGCCTGTGATGTAATTTAGCCATGACCAAAACTTGTTGATATTCGCACCGTTCTTGCCCGATTATCCCGTGGTTTTATTGTGTTGGCCAGGGTTCAGTGACCCCCTGATCCATTAATCACCCACCTTCTTATCTTCCGCTCATGTCATGGTTGGTCACCTCACCAATAATAGCTGTAAGGCAATCGAAACTTCTGCCGAATCAATCTAGCAACGCCTTACAAGACCCATGAATCAATGCCCGATAAGATAGCAGTTCTATAAACTTGAATGAGCTAATGGCCATTGCCACTGCCCACTTTTCACCGATGAATGAAACGTCTTTGTTTACACTAGGGTTTATCAGTCCAGGGCGGAATTAATTACCCAGCGGATGCTTGAAATAGAGGAATACATAGAAAGCAAATACTTAAAAATAAGTACTCCATGGTTTTGTTACAATTTTTAAAATGTATTAAATGGGGCTAGGAAAAAAATACGCATAAAAATATATAGAGCCCTATCATGATATTTTCATTTTACTATTTGATTAAACATTTTTCAAGAGAAACGTATATATATTTATTTTATTACTATCCAATATCATATTTCAAGGGTGATTTGTTAAAAAACAAAAATAGGACAGCAAGGATAGTGGTACATAGTATTATCATTAACCATATATGGACAAGTATTTTCAAACATTAAACCAGTCAAATTATTAAAAGAAAAGTCAGTCTTTTATTTAAAATTTCTCTCTGTGCTGTGGAAATACTTGCAGTTTTTTCTTCGGCCGGGGATCGTAAATTAAGGCGGTCGCGGAAATGTAGCTGAGCTCATTAGAATGGCACTTCTCGCTCACATCCTATTCCGTTCCTGGGTGCGTGACAATATTTCATGGCTTGACTTCACTTGACTCGGATTCGTGCACATATTGCAGCAATCGGGGGGACTGACGGGAAAAGGGGAGACATGCTCTAAAAAATTCAAACAGCTTTGCGTATATTTTAATTAGTGCGCTCCCGCATTGGCAGTTCGTTTTTTGCAGTTTTCAGTTCTCTGCGGTTCTCTCGGCACCAAATCATTTCTCAAGAATTTAACCTTCGCGAACTGTCATGGTAGATTGCATTCTCGTTCCCCTTTTGCTGAGGCTAGCACTTTTCCCGTATCTTTGTTCTTCAGGGTTCGTATGTCATTCACAGACCAAAGATAATGGCTAAAGAATATTTTTACAGACTTTGTTGACTCTGTAAAAAGTTGGGGTGTACAAATGAGAAATGACCTGATTTTGGTTGATCTTGAACTGTATCCGCTCTTATATTCTGGGTGGTTGATTATTATTATTATTGGAAGTAGTTATTTTTTGCTATCTTTCTTGAATAATACTTGCAGTGGTAAATAACTGTGAGTAACACTTATTTACTCCCTATTATCGAAATACTTCTGATTCACTTTCTTTCAAAAAGTTCAGTCCCTGTCATTTTATAGTTTACTGATTAAGTCAGAGTTAGTGCGTGAATTACCGAAAGCAAATCTCAATGGCTCTCGCCTAAAAGCCACTTCGATCTGCAACCATGACCTTAACATCTGCCAACGAGTTTATCACTTTCCCCTGGCCAACAACTCCGATGGCACACTTTTTCGCACAGATATGAAATCGCAAGTGAAAAATGCGAGCGGAGACGGAGACAACGGAATTACACAATATTCGAGCGGCAATTTGACTAAAAGTAATCACGTATCTGACGCCTCGCAATTACATAACCGCAGTGCGTTCAAAATAAACGCCCACAGACGCGAAATCTTCGACGAAGAAGTGCAGACTCAACTCGACTGTACCCTCCTACTACCTTTTACCCCTTTTTACGCGATGGAGCCAACGCCACTGCTCTTTCTGCACCACAAACGTGACTGGCAAACATTTTTGGTTTCATCGCCCCGGCAAAAGCCACAGAAACCCATCGAGAGATTGCGATTGAGTC